AAACATACACACTGAATCTTGTTTCACAACCAGTGATCCAAACAGCTGGCTGTGAGAGGGTGCAAGCCATGGCTTAATGACTCCACACAGCTATCACCTACATTTAACCATCCTACATTGATGCTGGGCACTCAAGCAATACTGGTAAATCATGTGTTGGTGTAAATAGGTTTGATAGTCAACATCATGTCTGTGTATATCTTTGTGACCTAAACTTATTTCATTTTCTGCTTCATTTGCATCGCATATAATCTATATACCATATTTCCTCGAATAAATACGTATCTCTGATAGGTACTGAACCCCAACAAACGCTGGGTAAAAAGGAGTGTACAAAAATAGCGCTGGGTATCTAATAATCGCTGGGTATGTTAGAACTACTTCTCTCTGGACAAAAATAAAGGCTTAGGAACAAAGAGTCCTGTTTAAGAACGTCCATATATCAATCTATTAGTGACTGAGCTTAAAGGGCAAGTTCACACGGAAATGAACCTATTTTTCTTGTACTTTTTCCACATTAAAAGTGTTAACATAGAAGTGTCATAGACAAAAATATAAAAATATCACAATTAATTAACATATTTTTCGCATTAAAACGATTTATATTTTTCACATTTACCTAGTGTTCTATTTCCACAACAAAAACACCATGGCTTATGCCCCTTGCAATATGACGTCATTGGTGCCAATTGATAAACATTATGACGTCATCATGCTTTGTTAGAGCCGCTTCACGTGGTGTAGGTCCAGGTGTGTGATTCTAGCGTCTCAGATGCCAGCCAGCTTAGTCTTATGATGAGTCACCACTGCGCCGGAGTGTGTCGTAGGCCATGTTGTTTTACCGCAAACTGGTACTTGATATCTTTTGCGTTGAGAATAGACAGGGACCCAGTTGAATTGGCACCAATTACGTCATAATCTAAGGGGGATAACTCAGGCCTGTTTAGCTCGAAAAACGAAGGCCTCATAACGGCATATCATTTTCACACTATTGTGAGCTTCCTACGTTCACTGTGAAAAAAATGAGTGTATATTTTCAAACACAGATACTAATTAATTCTAAAATTGCTTTTTGTTTAGAAAAAGAAAGAAAGTGATTTTTGCGTGTACACTTCCCCTTTAAGCAACACCATACTTGAAATATTAAGTGTTAGGTCTTCACTTGATAACAGGCCTACTTCACCCTCTGGGTTTGGAATCTTGTTCAAAGAGTAAGCGCTGGGGGCATTTATTAGAGGAAATATGGTACTTCAGCTTTAGAATAGAAGGTAAACCTACTTTAGGGCAGCCATAGTATAAGTGATGTATCATATGTCTGCTGTGCTACTGTTGTATTTGTGAGACAGATATTATGTGTGACATCATGTAAAAAGTGCAACATTGTTACACTGTAAGCACAATGTAACATTACACTGTAAACACGATGCAACATTACACTGTAAGCGGGATGTAACATTACACTGTAAGCACGATGTAATATTGCACTGTAAATACGATGTAACGTTACACTGTAAGCGGGATGTAACGTTACACTGTAAACACGATGTAACGTTACACTGTAAGCACGATGTAGCATTACACTGTAAACACGATGTAACATTACACTGTAAACATGATGTAACATTACACTGTAAGCACGATGTAACATTACACTGTAAGCGGGATGTAACACTACACTGTAAGCACCATGTAACATTACACTGTAAGCATGATGTAACGCCATGCTGTAAACACGATGTAACCACCCAAGATTTTGCTGAACACAGTTTGCAATTCCCCTCTCTTCAGTATCAAAAAGAAATTATCAAAATCCATTCACTTTGACAATATTGAACATATTTCATACAGTTATGTTTGGTAATATGTAGAAAAAACAATTACAACACTGCAAGTTGTGTATCAGTACTGTGCTGCTCTGATGCTGCAGGGTACCAAGGCCAGATTTGTGTTCCTCAGTCATCTTACATATGTAGCATCTGTCTCCAAGACCCTAGAGAATATATCCAAAAAGGAGTCTACCCTCTAGTCTAAACTGATCTGGCAAGTCTGAAATTAAGCATTGTTCTGAGCTCCATTTTATGCTTACTTCTATTTTGTGGACATATATTTTCAAATGAGATTTGTGGGACTAAATGATAGTCTAACACAATTTTCTTCTAACTGTAACAGCAGTATGAGCAACTTTGTCAAGGTTACAACCATCGCCTGTTCAATCACTGATCAGTGCAGCTATGTTTCACTGCCTCGCCATCACACAGAAGGATCAGCCCAGCGACAGAGGGAAGCTGATAATCTTATCCAAGTCATGACTCGTCTCTCAGCAAGGTTGACAAAAAGCTAGCCTGGCTGACTACAACAAGTAAGATCAGGAAAAGACTGAGTTAAGAGGACAGAGCCTACTGTTGTTTCATTCCTTGGTCTTGGTCACATGCCTCCTGCATCTTCTCCAGAACACTACATACATATTAAGCTGTGAGGCAAATAGAGCATTTAAATGTCAGTTATGTCAGCTTATGTGGGAGAAAAACCAAAAACAACACATGTAACAGATTTTGGCAGCTCAGAGACAAAACTTAATCGGCTTTTAATTCGTGAATACAATTCTTAGATTCTGATAGCACCTCTTAGTCCAAGATGTCAGCTCTTAAACAGGGAAAACAGCTCTTGGATGCCCAGCTCTTAGAAAGGAAATACAGCTCCTAGGGAATACGTCTCCTAGTTGGGGAATACAGATGCTATTCGCGGAATACAGCTCTTAGGGAATATGTCTCCTAGTTGGGGAATACAGATGCTATTCACGGAATACAGCTCTTAGGGAATATGTCTCCTAGTTGGGGAATACAGATGCTATTCACGGAATACAGCTCTCAGTGAATACGTCTCCTAGTTGGGGAATACAGATGCCATTCACAGAATATAGCTCTCAGTGAATACGTCTCCTAGTTGGGGAATACAGATGCCATTCACAGAATATAGCTCTTAGGGAATACGTCTCCTAGTTGGGGAATACAGATGCCATTCGCGGAAAACAGCTCTTAGGGAATACGTCTCCTAGTTGGGGAATACAGATGCCATTCGCGGAAAACAGCTCTTAGGGAATACGTCTCCTAGTTGGGGAATACATATGCCATTCACAGAATATAGCTCTTAGGGAATACGTCTCCTAGTTGGGGAATACAGATGCCATTCGCGGAAAACAGCTCTTAGGGAATACGTCTCCTAGTTGGGGAATACAGATGCCATTCACAGAATATAGCTCTCAGTGAATACGTCTCCTAGTTGGGGAATACAGGTGCCATTCACAGAATATAGCTCTTAGGGAATACGTCTCCTAGTTATGGAATACAGATGCTATTCGCGGAATACAGCTCTCAGTGAATACGTCTCCTAGTTGGGGAATAGAGATGCCATTCACAGAATATAGCTCTTAGGGAATACGTCTCCTAGTTGGGGAATACAGATGCCATTCGCGGAAAACAGCTCTTAGGGAATACGTCTCCTAGTTGGGGAATACAGATGCCATTCGCGGAAAACAGCTCTTCGGGAATACGTCTCCTAGTTGGGGAATACAGATGCCATTCACAGAATATAGCTCTCAGTGAATACGTCTCCTAGTTGGGGAATACAGATGCCATTCACAGAATATAGCTCTTAGGGAATACGTCTCCTAGTTGGGGAATACAGATGCTATTCGCGGAATACAGCTCCTGGCCAGGGAACACAAATCTGATTATGGACAAAGGACTTCACTGCAGCATTCTAGTCTTCATGTACAACACTGTACAGATTTGTGCAAAAACATGCCAAGGAATTCATGCATAAGTATTGACAGTCACATCAGCACTTATCTGGTAGGTACAGTTAAACAAGAGTAGAACCATGATACTTATTGCTTTCTATTTACAAATATTCACAAGTCTAAAATCCAACTTATATATTACAGATAGATGAAATATACAGTTTGAATTCTCTATAATATAAATAACAACAACAGTCCACTCCACTTTATTGGGATAGTCAGGAAATGTTAGTGTTGTAGGTCAACACACTGAGGGAGACACCTCCACCCCTACATGGGTCCCCACCCCCACACCACCTTCACCAAATGAGATGTGTGCGTCCCCACCCTGTCCCACCCTTGTTATATAAGTGAAAAATAAATCAAACAAAATACATATTATATTTAAAAAAGGTAGAAAGGACCAATGCACAAAATATCTCAAATGCCAACATGCTCTCACTCCTTAACACTGAACATGCATAATATTCTGATGATAGTTAGATGTGAGGTTGTGCTACATCCATGCACAGCACCTTCTACGCTACATGACACAACCTTTGGATTGAATGGCTGTTGTGACCTGGGTTATAAGTGAGAGACTGAGTGAGTATTCCAGTTATATCATGGCGTGTCAGCTTGATGTGGGATTGAAGACCGAAGTGATGCAGGTCTCAGACGTTTACCACTTTAGTGAACCCAAAAGCACGAGTATGATGCTGACAAATCTGGAGACTAATTGGAGTGAACCAGGATTCAAACCCATGATCTTAAGTTTTGGCGTGCCTAAGGGATGCAACTCTACACAGCCAATCGGGGCTCGTAAGATGACTGGGCACCTGTGTCCCTGCTCTCTGGGTCACAAAGAACCAGGTTTTGTAGTTGTTCAGAAAGAGACACAAATTGGTTACAAATAAAAGAAACGAAAAACTGAAGGTCACTCCAGTCTGCCTTCTACCTTCCGACTGAAGCTATAAATGCCACTTCTTTGGTTTGACAACTCAATGCAAATACTGTTATAAAATGCAAAAACTGTGTGCGTGGTTTGATATACATGACTGTACAAGAGATATAGTGCATCAAGGCAGGGGAAAGAAATAGCTACAATCGACTGTGATATGTAAACTGTAAGTGTCTCCCTCAGTCCATGGCCTCACATCAAATATGTTCTCGGGGACCTTCCTGAGTAAGTTACTGTAACAAGGGAATCAACTCTTCGGGATATAACGTGACAATAACTTTCAATAATAACTTTAACAGAATGAGACTAAGTTGAGTAATCCTCAGAGATTCTGCCACTCTATGGCAGTGAAGTTGCTGTTAAACTCCAGGTTGTGTGCGATGGTTTCCGGGATGGCGTGAGAGAACCAGAGTTTCTGTAGGCCCCTGTACTTCTCCTCACACAGGCGTAGAGGGTTCCCGCGCCTACAACACACATGCATACATCTCATGACGACTTCTGTACATATTGATTGTGAGTAGACTTTGCACACATATTTTCCCCATCAGCACTTCCCACACCAACATGCATCACTCAAATCACTCCTTGTGTAGAAATGTCTGAAACATCTTCCAGGTATTCCTCACCTCTCAGTGATTTTACACATGAACACAACTGCCAACTTTCCCAATTACAATTGGTATTTTGTTTCCACCTTCTGGTCAGGCAACAAAGTCTGACCGCCCCTTCTGGGGAGGAAGGAGGTGGGGGTAGGTATGGGAGGGTGCACTTTACTGCTTAGTCTCTATTTTGACTACAGTATCTTCGAGTGGTGTGTCTCAATTGCAACACTATAAGCAGACTTCATACCAGTTGATGAAAAAGACGCTCTTGCATTTGTAGCATTCAGTGTAGGGCTAAATAATGACCCTCTCTTTATCATTCCTGTTTATCGGTGTCTTAGAAAATTTAGTCCAGTTATGCATTAAAAATGCTGACAATGTTGTGATGAGGATTTGACACTGATCCAAGCTACCACGATATGAGCAAACACTCAACCATCCAGTCACAGTGACACCATCTATTAATCTGATATGTGACGCACTGAAGGCCAAAACACTGTGAAATAAAGGTGAGATCCCAAAGATTATCAAGAGTCTGTAGTTTCATCATGACTTGTGTGTACATTATTAAGTGGGCATGACTAGTATACATATATGCATTATTAAGTGGGCATGACTTGTATATATATGCTTTATTAAGTGGCCATGACTTGTATATATGCATTATTAGGAGAGCATGACTTGTATATATATGCATAATTAAGAGAGCGTGACTTGTATATATGCATTATTAAGTGACCATGACTTGTATATATGCATTATTAAGAGGGCGTGACTTGTATATATGCATTATTAAGTGGGCATGACTTGTATATATATATATGCATTATTAAGTGGGCGTGACTTGTATATATGCATTTTGTAGAATTTTCCTATTCGGAATATTCTATAAGTAATACGTTACCACTGTTATACCGAGGCTGTTGTCTCCCACAACTGCTGCTATAGCGAAATCTACCACAGAGATCTCAATTACCTCATGCAGCACGTGCGTAGCCACCTAGCTGCAATGTGACACCCTTCACTCTTGTCTCTTGCGAGAGCAAGTGCTCGGGGGACGGACGGGCGGGCAGCAGCCCAGTGGTAACGTATTACTTATAGAATATTCCGAATAGGAAAATTCTACAAATACATTAAGTAATACTTTACCACTGTTATACCGAGGCTGACTACCACAGTAGGCGGTGGGGAGCACCTACAACCCGAATCCTGACTGCTAGCGTTCCTTCCGACCAGCGGAAGTAAACACCAAGGCGGAAGCACTCGATGCGCATGCACCTAGCTAGGCGTTACCCTATAGGAATACCAAAGCACTGTCAAGCGCATACCGTAAGGCTCAATCGTCATTGCCAAAACGATTGGTGACTCCAAACGGCCCCACTGGATAGGTATTTCATCGCCGCAGCGGATGAGAACACTGTATCCGCGTGAGCTTAATCTTAGATCAGGTTAAACAGTCAAAAAGAGGGAAATTAATTTCATTCAGACCGTATATCCCAGAGCAAGCCTACTTAAAGTATGCATTAGGCGCGTGACCTAATTCCAGTATTTGTAAGCATGCATCACAAGGTTGGGATACACGACAGACAATTAAATACATAATTGTCAAAATACAAATAAGGACAAAGCACACAAAAAGCCGCCCTCACCTGTGGTGTGAGTGCGCTGGTTTGCGGGACCCCAACTCCTGTACCCACGGCAGTGGGAACATTGGAGTCGACCCAGATTGACCACCGTGCAAGGTCTGACGCCTGAGGAGTTCGGAATTGCGCTGGGCACACCCCTTAGGTGCCCGCTTGCCCCGCGATCCGCGGGCCAAGACGGTGCACACTCTCCACGACGGCATCAGCGACCTGTTTGAGGTAATGATTGCCAAAAACCGAGTCAGAACGCCAGTTACAACCTCGTTATATTCTGCGAACAGAGATATTCGAGTGTAGGGCAAATGTTGCCGCTAGCGCCCTGATCTCGTGTGGGTTTGACCCCGCTACCGGTAACCCCCGAGACCGGTACGCCAGATTGATGACAGAACGAAGCCACAACGCAATCGAGTTGCGAGTTATGTCAACCGTGCGATTAGGGTTACACGATATGAACAGACGGTCACGCCCTTGTCTACGTTCATTCGAAGCCTTAAGATAATACTTAAGGGCCCTAACCGGACACAGCGCTCTGTCCTCAGTATCAGCAGGATGTAAGATTTCTTTGATTGATCTTACAGTGAATTCTCTCTCCGTTTGCCCGATGCTCTGATTCTTGGCGACGAAGCCCATGAGCAGGCCCAGGCGGACCGCTCCTTCATCACCCCTATCGAATCGTACCTTGGCGACATCGAGTGCATGAATTTCGGACACACGTGCCGCCGTGGCAAAGGAGAGGAGAAATGCTGTTTTCCAAGTCACATGCCGGAACGAAGCACTATGCAAGGGTTCATACGGAGCTTCCGTAAGTGATTGCAACACTAGGGAAAGATCCCAGGCCGGTGCCCGAAGGCGGCCCTTCTTAAGATCGTGCTGTTTGAAACCCTTGATAATACCCCGTATCACCGGCTCTTTGGAGAGACTGGCAACCATAGCAACGTCCCGTACCGTAGCAACAGACGAGACATAGTTGGCAATGGAACCCCCGGAGAGTTTCCGGGTCTCTCGCAAGTGAGACATGAAACGAGCAATATCCTGCACAGATACCTTATCTGGCGAATGAATGTGATGTTTACAACACCACTTCGTGAAAATAACCCAACGTGCATTATACACCTTCTGGGTAGAATCACGATTCATACTAACGTATGCCCGAGACGCCCGGCGAGAAAAACCTTTACTCCTCAGACACTCGGTGACAACATCCACGCATGCAGATTGAACTGCCCTGCGTTTGGATGAAGCTGACGGGTGTGAGGGTGGATCAAGAGATCCGGTCTCACAGGCAGTGGAAGTGGCGACTGCGTGACCTGGGTCAGCAAGTCGGGGTACCACGATCTGTTCGGCCACATGGGCGCGATCAGTAACATTCGACAGCGAACTCCTCGGAGCCGGCTTAGAATGTGTGGTATCAACGCTGTCGGCGGGTAAGCATAAGCGTCCAAGCCCGTCCAGTCTAACGCGAGAGCATCGTGATCGATGGCCCTCGGGTCCGGGACTGGTGATACAAACAACGGGAGTTGATTGTTGAACCGCGTTGCGAACAGGTCGACCATCGGACGACCCAAACGTTCGCACAGCCACTGAAACACTACTTGGTTCAGCATCCACTCTGTGGGGCTTGGATTCTGAGGCCTCGATAGAGCGTCAGCCAGTACGTTCCGCACACCTGGGATGTGACGGGCGCGTATCTGGCACGGGACACTGTCCACCAGAGCGTAAAACTCGAACGTGAGATCGAGTAGCGAGTGACTGTGGGTTCCCCCCAGTTTGTTCACATAGGACACTACCGTTGTGTTGTCGGTCGCCAGCATGAGCCGGGCGTCGACGAGACGATGCTTCCAGTGATTGACTGAGTTGATAACTGCCTTGAACCTCGAGACAATTGATGTGAAGACCTAGTTCGTCTACGCACCACAGCCCCGAGCTCACCTCCCCCTCTAGATGGGCGCCCCAACCCACTGGAGAGGCGTCTGTATACAGGTTCAACGTGGCCCGGTAGGGCCGCATAGAGACCGTCCACCACTCCAGATGCGGTCGGAGCCGATCCGGGAGGGCGATGGTCGCACTGTTCACCTCCGTTGCTAACAACTGGATTAAAAACCGTTGCAGCGGGCGGAGTTGGAGACGACCCCGTTCGGTGCAGTCCTGGGCTGATACAAGTAGCCCTAACAGCTGTTCCCAAAAGTGAACAGTCTGTTGCACCGCTAAGACTTTGGCAATTATCGCCTGAATCTTGTGCCACCAGTCTGGGGGGACAAAGAGGCGATGGGACACCGTGTTGAACCGGCCTCCGATGAACTGCAAGTTCTGAGAAGGGGTTAACTTGCTCTTGGGGAGATTGATAATCCACCCCAATTGCTCCAAGAGCCGACGTGCGAAAACGAGATGGCGTGACAGGGTGTCCGTCATTCGATTTGCTACTAGCGAGTCGTCCAGGTACGCGAAGTACCGGACACCCCTCCGGTGGAGGAACCCCACTATGGGGGTGGTTAACCGGGTGAACAGCCAGGGAGCAGAGTGAAAGACCGAATGGGAGTACAACCCATTCGTAGTGCCTGCCTTGAAAGACAAACCTGAGATACTTGTGATGATCCGGGTGAATCGGAACATGCAGATAAGCATCCTTCAGGTCGATCGAAGCGAGCCAGTCGGCCAGCATGATCAGTGCTTTCAGGTCCGCCAAGCTCAACATTCTGAACTTGGGCGGCTTGCGCAGGTAGAACTCGTTGAACAATTTCAAGTTGTGAATCATTCTGAGTTCGGCACTGTCCTCCTTGGGAACGGGAATTATCCTGGAGTAAAACCCCGGTGTTATTTCTGGTAGAGCTAACTCCCGTACTGCCCCTTCTCCACCAACCTGCCAATGGCATCGGCGAGGATGGGAAGATTGGTTTCCAAATCGAAACCTGCCAACGGGGCAACAGTGAGCGGCGGATTCGCTTTGAGATCTAGCCGATAGCCGTACCGAATCGTGTTGACCACCCACGGGTGGTCGAACACTTGTTCCCAATTCTCCCAGTAAGTCTGGAGTCTGGCTCCCACTGGGGAAGGAGAGGGGGCCCTGACAGGCTGCGGCAGGCGCAACTGTCCAGGGCCAAGTGACTCGGGTTCGCCTAAGGGCCAACCGAAGTTGGCGCTGTCGGCATACGAACCCCTCCAATGAGAGTCACCTGGAGGGGCCCTTGCCGTCCTTAGACGACTTGGGCTTCCCCCAGTTCCCCGTCTTCCCGCGAAAGGGCAGCTGATTGCCCATACCGGAGCCCTCAGGGCGGGGCTTCTTCCCAGAGGAAGAAGAACCCGACCCCTTAGACCTACCGACCGCAGCAGCCTGGGGCGCGCTCCGGTTAGGAGCGGCACCCAGGCGCCAATGCAGGGACCCAACAAGAGCAAGTGTGTGCCGAGAGTGCTAGGCAACGTACTCCAGGGAAGCATTTAAACAGCCCACGGGCCGCCCACAAGGGGACCCCGACCGGACGAGCCGGCCACCACAGGGGTGGAAACGGACTGCACGTACAGCCAGTAGCGCTCGCTTGCGGCACACCCCTCAGCTCCTGGTTGCGGGGGTAGAGGGGGTGGAGGACGGCGAAACATCCATGTCAGACATTTTGTTTGTACTATGAACAAAGAGCAAAACATGGTTACAACACACGCACCACAAATAGTCACAAACGAGTATTTTCACCAGAAAATAAACGAGCAATGCGAATATAGAACATACACATATAACATATAGAGGTATAAGTGATGTAAAAACCCCTAGATATACTAGAACAGGGGAACGTAAGACGCAACGTGCATACGAGACACCCCGCAAGTATATAGAAAAAAAGGGCGGGAAAAATATTCCCTTTTCGCGGGAAAATATTTCCAAGCGTAGTTACAGCAAACGCCCCGTATAAGCACAGTATATTAGAGAGAATAAACAGTAATAAATATCACCGAATGGTCGGAGAAACAGGAACGCTTGAGCAGTTTATTGTACGTCTTGCTAGAGCAAGCGAAGAGACAAGAGTGAAGGGTGTCACATGGCAGCTAGGTGGCTACGCACGTGCTGCATGAGGTAATTGAGATCTCTGTGGTAGATTTCGCTATAGCAGCAGTTGTGGGAGACAACAGCCTCGGTATAACAGTGGTAACGTATTACTTAATGTAATATTAAGTGGGCATGACTTGTATATATGCATAATTAAGTGGGCATGACTTGTATATATGTATTTATTAAGTTTACATAGCTTGTATATATGCATTATTAAGTGGGCATGACTTGTATATATGCATCATTTAGACTTACCTGAGCCCTTGATCAGTCTCGCCATAGTTGTCCAGATATGGGGGTGCTATGAAACAGCCTTTGGTTTTGCCTGCTAGCAGCAGTATCTGGCAGTCCCGCACCCTGCAACAGTGCGTCAGTTAAAATAATGATGTGTATTTTCATCCTGCGCTAAATCCACAGTCTAAAGCATGCTCACAGAGCACCATTATTACCCGATCAGTGTGCACTCCATTGTCATTCTCAGCTCCCTGGGGAGTATACTACCCAAGCTACCTGTTAGGCACTAGAAGGTTAACAGTCCCATTACCATCTCATCCTACCAGGTACCCACTCACTGCTGCTTGAACAGAGGCATATTCAATGTCACTTGCTTAAGGCGTCACCACATGTGGCAGCCTGAAGCCCTAAAAACTCTCAGGAGTCAAGCTGTCAAACATGGGTACCCATCTGACTAATCTCTGCAACCACTGTCACTTAACTTCACCTGATTTGTGACCTGTGCACTGTACACACGACCATGTGCCACCACACCAGTTAAAACAGTCACACATCTCCATACAATGGTCCACTCATATACAACACAATCGTGCCAGTCAGTCTTTATGTCACTGTCAGCAATATTTCATACACATTACATGGACCTGCTTTACACGAGTCATGGACAGGTGGTTGATAGTGTGAGCATCACCGTCTGAACACACCAGGGGACTGGCCAACCAGCCAGTACACACAAGACTCAAATTCTACACAAATTTCAGAATTATTATTAAATTGATACGAGAGTAATTTTTACAAACCTGTAGAGGTTATGAATTCTCTGATGAAATCCTCCTTGGGGCACTTATTGCATTTTCCTTGCTCAAGAAAATCTACATGACATAGTTGTAACCATTTTCCTTAATAAAAAATGTTACCACACAAAAAACTTCGTTTTTGTATGATATACGACCACCCTTACGGGGCCTCACCCCCAACGGCGCCTCACGCCAGGGGGAGCAACTCTCACCCAAATCACTTTCCATATGTCAAATGCTGACGGAATGTGGGGAGGTGGGTGGCCGTGCCCCAAGGAGGATTTCATCAGAGAATTCATAACCTCTACAGGTTTGTAAAATTCTCTTTCTGATTAAATCCTCCTTGGGGCACTTATTGCATCAAGACAGACTCCCAAAGATAATCTAGGAAGTGGCATCCGTCAGCAACAGGCGTAAATAAATACATCGTATTTGATTATTCAACAGAATAAAATATTGAGTTCAATAAATGGAACCAACCTTATCGTGAGGCACCACCGTCGAAAGGCGGGGGCTAGAGACAGGGCGTGGTCGACCATATATTATGATAAAGCCTGTTTTTGTGGCTTGTCCCACCCCCCCCCCACCCCCCCCACACTTTTTTGAACAAGTGATATAAGGGCGTAGATCACGAGAGACCATAACCAGCGCTGAGCTAGGCCAGAGGGTCCCCGAGGATCGAAGGAGTGCGTGCGCAAAATACGAGTATTATCGAGTAGTAAGGACTGATATTTATCGACCGCAGAAGATAAAATCCGGACCATTACTGAGCAGTATAACCGGAAGACTGTCTAAAATCTCAAATGCTCAATCAGCTAGAGATTAGAACTTTGCCCAGTTCGGAGAACTGACTGACCAAACCGAGTACGCTCGCTTGAGTGTTTGTCGAGTTGGTAAGGTTTGATGAATCGTGCTCGGCTGGCTCCAAATAGCCGCGGAGCAGATCTGCTCAATGGGCAGAGCCGCGGCGTACGCTTTTGACGCAGCCACTGCTCTAACCTAATGAACCTTCAACCTGGTAGGGGGGTCCCTGCCTGTAAGCGTATACGCTGTACAAATGGTTGAAACTATCCACCTCGAGATAGATTGTTTACTCGCAGGTGAGCCAACCTTCCTACCGCAGTAACAGCAAAATAGTTGGTTATCCTTACGGACACCCATATTTCTGCTGATATAGGCCTTGAGAGTCGTGCGGACATCCAAGACATGAGCATGTCTTGCAGTGGTCCCCGACGAGGAAGGCTGTGATAGAGCAGGTAGCTCAATAGGAGCCGTTCACGTGGAATCGTGTGCGACCCTAGGACGGTAATAGTCCGGTAGACGAAAACTGACTGTCCCGGTGATATTTATCGACCCCATGGAAGACAGTTATTTTGGGATCGGCTGACATAACACGAATGTCGCCTACCCGTCTGCCGGACGTTACCACCACAAGGAACGCCGTCTCCCAGCTCAACAGCTGAAGAGAGAGAGACGACAGATCCCGAAAGGAAGTACCGGACAGCCAATCGAGAATGATTGACAAGTCCCAAGGGGGACTGATCCGCCGGACTGGCGGTCGGATCCTGTCCACACCTGCTAAAAAGCGCTGCACTAATGGGTGTGCACCCAGAAGTGCCCCGTCGACAGGGACGTGAAAAGCTGCGATAGCTGTAGAGTACCCTCGGACTGTTGATGCGGCCAGGCCGTCATCTAGTCGCGACTGGAGAAACTCAAGCACGGATACGAGATCTGCAGAAAAAAGATCTGCAATCCCTCTATCGACACACCAGGGCGCATAGCAGGCCTATCTATCGTACTGAACGTTTGTCGAATCCCTCCGCGAAGCCAGTATTGTGTCTGCAACTCGTGCAGGAATACCGCTCTTCTGGAGGCGATTCCTGACAGTGGCCAAGCCACCCATTGAATCCTGAGATTCGGGTGGAGGGCCCCGTTCTGGGATAGGAGGTCCGGTCGTAAAGGTAATATAACAGGAGGCTGAGCCAGAAACCTGAGTATTACTTGAAACCCACTCTGCGCCGACTAAAGAGGTGCCAGGAGCACAATTAGTCGCGCAGGCTGAGTGCCTAGCTGAGACAGGACCTTGGTGTCTGGTTATTTAACCCAGACGCAAACAGATCCACCTGTAACGACCTGTATAACAGGGAGAAAATCCCGAATATCCCCGGGTCGAGCCTCCACTCGTGAGGAGCGAGGATCCGGCAAGACAGAGCGTCCGCACGGACGTTGTCCACCCCCGGGAGATAAACAGGTAGCACCCTGATATCGTGAGAGTCGCACTATAGTAGGAACTGCCACGTCTTTCGTCGAAGCGACGGAGACGCCGTTCCCCCCTGCTTCCGGATGTAAGTCATCGCCGTTTGGTTGTCCATCTCTAGACGAACCACTTGGCCACGAAGCAGATCCGGGAAGCGTTGGAACACCAACCTGACCGCTCTCAGTTCTAGCACATTGATATGCAGTTTGATCTCCTGCTGGGACCATAGTCCCGAGGCAGTGTGATCATTCAGAACGCCTCCCCAGCCGGAAAGTGACGCGTCTGTTTGAACTGTGAGAGACGGAACGGGAGTGATTCCCGACCTCGGTCCCTGGAGGTGTGTAATGAGCCACTACGGAGTCTCGAGCACAGTCTCGAGATCTTCCGAGTTCGCCCAAAGTCGACGGAGTGCTTGTTGAATGGGACTCATTCTCAAGCGCGCCCGCCAGACCAAATCCACTGTCGCCGCCATGTTGTCCAGTAACTGGAGCCATGTACGAGCAGTGTGACTTGCGCTTAAGGGACTTGATATCTTGTGACAGAGATACACGTCCTCTCACCGTGTTGAAATTAGCCACTAGGAAGACTAGATTCTGAGTGGGGCTCAGATCTGACTTCTTGAGATTGACCATCCACCCTAGAGTGATCAGAATATCTATCACTTGTTGTGTAGCTATCTGACTCAGGGATTGCAATAGAGCTCTTAGTAACCAGTCGTCGAGGTACGGATTTTGCAGAACCGACCTTTTGACCTGGCCACTTGGGCGGGAATCAACATCAGCTTGGTGAACACCCTCGGGGCCGTGGAGATCCCGAATGGTAGAACCCTGAACTGATAACACCTCCCGTCGAAAGAAAACCTCAGGTATTTCTTGAACTCGGGGTGTATTGGTATGTGGAGATTGGCTAACGTCAATAGACTTAAAATACGCCTATCTCCTGTCTCGACAGTTGAGATCACTGTTTGGTGACTAGGAAACAAGTCGAGTAGAAGCCCTCGCTTTCCTGTCCCTCGGGACCCGGTTCGATCGCAGCTTTCATAAGAAGTGCGTCGACCTCGGCACGGAGGAATTCCGCCTTCTCTCGGGTAGCAGGCACCGGAGTGTGCTTTATCCCGGAAAAGTGGAGGAGCGGATGAGTTTTCCACCGAGGCAAATGGCCATCCCTTAAAATGGACGGGGTCCGGGGATTGTGATGTAACTGTCTCCCATTCCTTCAGGAATAGAGCCAGTCGGCCGCCTACGGGGACATCCGGCTGGAGGCAGTGGACCCCGGCTGTCTGCAGTTCGATAACTTGCGACTGTGGGTTCACCCGGGGCTCTTCGGGTGCTAATGGGAACCCATCGTTCCCAGCCCCGCGAAAAAGCTGTTGGCCTCGACCAGCTGCCTTGCCCCGGCCCGTGCCTCTCTTGCTCCTCCCGGCGCCCTTATACCTGAAGGAAGCGCGGCTTCCAAGCAGGTGTGGACGTCTGACCCGTGCGTTAGCGTAGGAGGGGACAATTGGAGAGGCCCGCTTACGCGGTTTTAACGCTTGGTACCTCCAACAAGGCCTTATGAGTCTTTGATGGAAGTATACAATTGAGCAGCCTCTCGGACCACCTGCTGAGCCCCAGGGAAGAGGGTGGCACCCTCTTATACGGCAAAGCAAGTAGGTCTTGGCGTGTGTAAGTCGAGTATTTAGATACCGACATCCACCGCCTGCGCATGCCCATAACAGCGCACATCATCTGCGAGGCACAGCTACGAATAGCGTCCCGCGCAAGATAACTGAACTTCCGTTAGTTGCGCGGCCAACTCCGAAGAGTCGGCCGGCCCCTCTCCCGCTAACTCCCTCTGTACAGCCGACAGATACGCGGAGTGTACGGACACACGGAGCTGTTGGCATGCATTATGATATTGCTCCTCAAAGCATATGTAAGCAGCCTTCAACTCCGCACCGCACACGGGAAAGGGGGGGCAACCGCCGGCCCTGCTTGACCTTAGTCAAGTTGGGTGTCTCCGACTCTGGCATGGGCGCAGCCACCTGAGGCAGTACCTGGACAATCCTGTCCCGCACGTGTCTCTGCACCCGGCCCGAGGCCGAGTCCCGGTGCCGAGGTGCCGGAGGTTCAAGGGAACCCACCTGGCACTGGGCTAGGTATCCACTAGTGAAAGCCTTGGCCTCGGAAGAGGCGTCTGGCTCCGCTAGGGAAAATTGTGCGTCGGTAGTGCACGGGCCGGTGCCCGCCACCACTACGCTGGGGAGCGACCTCGAGCCGGAGCCGAAGCTCGGTCTCGGATCGTCCCCGAAACAAAGGGAACCAACCTGGCTCCGGGCTAGGTATCCAGTAGTGGAAGCCTCGGCCTCGGAAGAGGCGTCTGGCTCCGCTAGGGAAAATTGTGCGTCGGTAGTGCACGGGCCGGTGCCCGCCACCACTACGCTGGGGAGCAACCTCGAGCCGGAGCCGAAGCTCGGTCTCGGATCGTCCCCGAGACCAAGCGAACCCCCCTGGCTCCGGGTTACGAATCGGAAGAGGCGTCTGGCTCCGCTAGGGAAAAATTGTGCGTCGGTAGTGCACGGGCCGGCGCCCGCCACCCCTCCGCTGGGGAGCGACCTCGAGCCGGCGCCGAAGCCCGGTCTGAGATCGTCCCCGAGACCAAGTGGCCTGCCTCGGCCGACGCCGGGCATATCACAAGGTCTCGAAGCCGCGTCCGGCGCCGACAACGGGGAAGGCTCGGTCCGCATCTCCTCTCGGAGCTGAGACTTTACCTCCTCCATCATCGACGCCATCTGCGACTTAAGTAACGCAGAAAAGTCTGCCAAAGACAGTGCAGGAGAGGGTGCAGTGCTTACTATGGGGACCCTCGAGCCTTCTCCCCCGGCCCCCGGAGAGAGAGCGGGGGAGACAATCTCGGCAGCTTTTTTTTACCCTTTTTAGATGGGGAGGGGGGGGATGTCTTAGTAGATATGATATCTACCCCCGCCTTTAATAGACCTCTTTAAAGTGGAACAAGTCAACTTGTCTCTTTTTGGGGGCCCCGGGGGGTAAAGGCAATGTCCTCCGCCAGACATATTAGGCAGCGTTCGTGCCTGTCTTAGAACAACCCGTACACAGTTTGAAGGTCTTGTAAACAAGACCGTAATTTCTGAGGTGGGCGGGAAGGGTATCAACGTGTATCAGTGCGATATAAAGATCGGAAAGATACGTGCATAAATTGTGAAACTAGAAGCAAAGGCGTAATGTAGAATGCGATTTGTAACGCGATACTAATAGCCAATGTGTAGTATAATTATAACACCAAAGGGGCGTGTTACGCGCTAAGGTGTAAAACCCGTAAAAAAAAAGGTAAGTGTAGTTTATGAATTAACACACCACCTTGGGTTTTGTAAAGGAAAAAATTGTAGACCAATGCTGTATGATATAACAAAACCCCAAGCCGTTTCTTAATGGCCTTGGTGTTACATGGAACTTTATTACATGGAACTACAATATGGACGCCATTACGGCCATTTGAATTCAAAGGTACCGTGCACGTGGCGTATTATTACAACTCTATAACTTCACAATGCGAGGTATTACGCCTTTGCAATGAAAGAAATGTACCATACATACAGTTTGGTCAGCCATGGTTCTTGTCGAACGATAGATTTCTCTTATTTTTGTCTTGTGTGAAAAATCAACACGTCTGTCTCTTACAGATGACATAAGGAAAGTGATTTGGGTGAGAGTTGCTCCCCCTGGCGTGAGGCGCCGTTGGGGGTGAGGCCCCGTAAGGGTGGTCGTATATCATCCAAAAACGAAGTTTTTTGTGTGGTAACATTTTTTATTAAGGAAAATAGTTACAACTATGTCATGTAGATTTTCTTGAGCAAGGAAAATGCAATAAGTGCCCCAAGGAGGATTTAATCAGAAAGAGAATGTTAAGTTCTCGACAAAAATGTCTTACCTACACATACAACAAATATGGATGTAGCAAACAGTGCCTGTATCAAACCTAGACTTACCCCATCCACCTACCACCTCAACATGCTCAAGGAGTAGTAACCTAATACTTATGCAGCGGTAGAAACTAACATGTTTGATCCACTAGTCCTTATAATGATAACATATAGCAAAACCCTTAAAAAGGGCAAATTTCTACTAGTCCTTATGATACCTTAACTATTGGGCAGTTTGGCAAGGACTACAGGACTAGTGCCAATTTCGACGCTGTTATGAATACTATTGTTCATGTAATAACAAACTACATACATATTACAAATTGATTTGCAACTTTATAAATGAAGTACCACAAGACTGACCGACTTGATGCTTGATTATGCCTCATCAGCATCCATCCAGTTACTCTCTGTCCAACACATATCGCCATGGCCACATCTCCACTAACACAATTGGTTGACGTGTGTATGTTTGTGCATGTGGGTATTGTTTTAAAGCCACACTCTAAACCAGACAATCAAATGACTGATATTGTATACAATGTTCCACGCAGTTGGGTACACTGACAAGCTGTAAACTAAGTGACCAGTCGACCACCCGATCCATTAACTTGCCTCTTGAGACAAGCACAGGTTGCTAAGGACTACTGCTAACCCTGAATCCCCAGGGTGTGGGTAAACTTACCGCAGGAAGATGCCAATTCCAGCGCCGCACCTAGCTGCATGTTCTGTGGCGGCGCCGACTGACAGCCCATCTAGATCAGTCTGACAACAGTAGCTCTGTGAGCACAACATCCGTCCACAGGCCAGGCACATTGTCGGGGCACGGCTGTCATCTCCGTCCGACTTGGGGCACCTGGGTACCAACAAGAGAGACACGTTAACCTCTCACTGGTTTGACATTACAGCACCATCAGCTATATTTGCTCATTATCCAGCTGGTATATTGTCTGAGAAACACTCAATCAATAGTGTGGGGTGGAACATTATGTGAAAATTGTTACTATGGCTACAAAGGAGTTTAAATAGCTTTCTGTAATTTTGAACTAAACAACAGTTTTAGTGACATACACACCTCATTAATGTAAAATATAGTGCTATGGCACTGTAGCTCACCTGGATAAGTGTTCAACAATCTATTTGTTACAAAGTTTGTTGGTTTGTTTGTTGTTAAACACCTCACAAAGCAATTTTCCAGCTATAAGATGGTTACTTAACAAAAGTTGCCAAAACTATTAACAAATATGAAACAAGAAACTAAATTTCCATAAACAGATTTTTCAGTATAGCTGCCATGTCGGCCATATTGAAAATCAGATTCACACTTTTTGAAGAAATTCAAGCATCACCACTGGTGGGAACTAGCACGTGAAATTTCAGCATCATTGGTCCAGTGATTTCTAAGGAGGTGTTTACAGATGCCACCGGACAAACAGGCCAAGAAACAAGGTCACTGGACTCAATGACAGGATTTGGCAGGGTAGTGACATGAATTGGTGAGGGTACTCACGTGAAGGTGGACACCTGGTTGATGAGTTCGCTGAAGTCCTGGGGGAGCACCACCAGCGTGTTGACCTGCAGGGGGTAGTGGACCAGCTGGACGCTGCTGGCCGACAGGCGCTCCTTCAGCTTCCGACTGCAGCACCAACTGAGGTAAACAAGACCAACTAACATCAATCAAACATTCACAGGGAATGAAAAAATAAAAGAATTGGTTCTCAGGCAATGCCTTTTGAAATCATGTGTGGGTGGGCGGGCTGTGTCGTTTTTTGTTGTTTTTTGGGGGGGAGGGGGGGCTTGTTCAAACTAGTATGCAACCCAATAAACTGTGTGTACAATCAATCTGGGATAGGCTTCAATGCATAAACAAGAATGTAAAGTCCTATTGCCACCATGACCATAATACAAGATGCACAGTAAAGCAGTGTGCATGAAAAGGGAAGTAACTGTGTTATATTGGATTGCAATGTTTTTAAACATTAGAATTTATTTTGTTGTTTTTTTTATATGGAAATAAAAACGAAAAGTGCGGCAGACTTTATGATGATGCACGAGGTGCCTGAGAACCAAGACTATTATTTTTTTTGTGCACCTGTGCACCCTGATCTGTTGGTGACACACTTCACACATACTGCAAGTAGGTCTCCGAGTGACCAGTTGAGCAAACACATAATGCCAGATCAATATCAAAAGAATCTTGCCTCTGGATTAGAGTGCTTGTGATGTCGCCTTGCTTCTCAAACAGCTCCGACATGCAGACAGGCAGAGCCAGGTACCGACACAGAATCTCAAACTCATGGGTCTTTTTCCCTGAAAGGTACAAATTCTGGGTTAGTTCTGTTCATGCTAGGGAGGAATCCCTTCCCCTGCAAAGACTGACCGGTTGTGCGTTCTTTCTTTAATGTGTATGGTGCACCATATCATATACAGCAATTGTGTTGCAGTCATTTGACATTTAGATACGATCAAACAATCAAATAACATTTGACTAAAAGGGCGACAGCAGAGAATTAAACCACAGATGAAAACAAAGCTCTGAGAGACAGCAGTACAAAGCTTTTCTCAGTCCTACAGTGCTGAGGGTTGAAACATGAGGTATGTCCAATTTGTAACATAAATAGGAATAAGAAAGAATAAATATGAGTGGCAGTTTGTTTGTTGTTGAACACCGCACAAAGCATTATTGCAGCTATATGATGGCGGTCTGTAAATAATCGAGTCTGGACCAGACAATCCAGTGATTGACATCATGAGCATCGATCCACGCAATTGGAATACAATGACATGCATCAACCAAGTCAGCGAGCTTTTTACAGCAACGCAAGAATGGGTTGCTGAAGACCTATTCTACCCCGGATCTTCACGGGTCGTGAGTTGAAGTACGACTGTGCTCACCCTCAATATGGAGATCCTCTGGTGCGATGACGCCGGTGACGTAGTGGTAGAGGATGGCGGCACAGCGGAGGAAGGGGAGAGCAGAATGGTGGATGTACTGCAGCAGCTGGTGGGGAGATGGAGACTGGTCCGTCTTCGTGCTGCGAGATGACAAACATGCACATCACAATCACTGACAACAGATACAGTTGGCCATACAACGTGCAAGAAATATACTGCTCAAAAGAAGGTAAGGACCACCCGATTCATTCATTTTACTCTAGCTATTCTGTCATGCCAAGACAGGATAACTTTAGCAATATTAGGGAACTGCATCTTTTCACTTGAATAGTTCAGCTAATGTTTTAATAAACATTTTAAAAAATAGTATCAAGAAAAAAAAATTATGAGGATATAATCTACAATTCTTTCAGCCTGAAAGTGAGTGAAAGAGTTGGTTTTAATGCCACTTTGAACAGTATTTCAGTTTTATCACAGTATGTCAGCGAAGTGTGGGAGAAAAGCCTGAAGTGATGCAGGTCTCAGACGTTTACCACCACAAACCTAGAAACATAATCGGAGCAAATGGGTCTTTGCACTATAATATTTCTAGGAGGTGTGAAAGCAGTGACAGCTTACCCTGCACACTCTCGGAGCTTGTTGTACACTCGGACCAGCGACTGTCCCTCGGTCTCCCCTTCAACTTCCATTGGCTCTGGAATGTCAAGGTGACATGAGTAAACACACATACAAAGAACATGATCAGGAATTCATCTAGACCAACCTAGAGGCTGATATTCAGCCCCAAGTCTTCAGCAAAAAGCAGCAAAAAATCCCAAATTGGAACTAGACATTTCACATTCGCACTGATCTAGTTATCACTAATATTATGTCTGGATAGGTGACTTGTATGTCACTGGTAATGACTTATATAGAGAAAAAGGCTTTCATACTTAGTTTAGCATTGAATGTAAAGTTACAAATGAATGCTAATTTTGGAAAATAAGAACTTAATAAAATCCCAACTTTGAACAAAATAACGATTTTTCCCAAATTGCCTGCCAAGGACACTTAGTTTGGAATCCTAGCTAAATCCCTGCATAATATAGGCGATTATTGTTAAATTAAACTTTAATCCTGATATGCTGCAACATAGGACCTCATCATTCGATCAACTTGTTTGAGTAAAGTTTTCGTCTACAATTCGTCTTCCTCCAACCCATCACTACATACCTTGTGGCGGCTCATCGAAGGCGAGCATCAGCTGAGTGATGTGAGCTGTCAGCACCAGCTGCAGAGCATGCTTGTTGTTGAGGCCCCCTGTTGGCAGGGTGGAGATAGACTTCAGCTGCTCTGCATACAGGGTCGGCAGGGTCATGGTCAAGGTCACCAGATAGTGGAAGAGGTCAAGGTCAAGTAGACATGGCGATTCCTTGTTCCTCTTCTCCAGTTCATTCGGTATCAAGGCTGAACACAAAGCAATTAATCACTTGATCAGCACAATCTGAATCATAACATCATCTTGAGTAGTGTTTGTTGCAAATGTGATCCTGCATCCAGACAAATGGACACTTGCATGCATAAAACAGAGTTCTCGCTGTCATACAACACAGAATATTAATCTACATTGAAAAGAAAATGAGCTATGGCACATCCAAAAACCTCTTATAAGAACTGATTTTATACCTGCTTCAACATGGGACCGGCATTCAACATGTTGTTTAACAAACACAGCAGTTTCAAATGGGATTTAGAACCATCAAATCTTGTTAACATAATTGCAAACTGGAAACTACATACAAAATTTGTGAACAAATCATTTGTCAAGATGCTTTGTGTATGAGCAGAGTATTGTATTGATCTCTGAGTAGCATTTAAAAGTTGGCAACCAAGCAACTTGATTTATGCCAAAATGTCACACTTCCACCTAAAGTGGTCGCTACACACATACAATTTGGATGGTGCGCTCATCAATTACAGCTAAGTGATGGGTTATCCACACATACAAATCTGATGGTATGCTCACTAAGATTACAGCTACCTACCCGAGAGCAGCCTGACGCAGTGTTGCCGCACCTGGTCTGGGGACATCACCTGACTCACAACTGCCCCGAACCGCACCAGCGACCCGAGCAAGTCAGCCTGCCGAGTCGGCAGTGACCCAAACAGACTCTTTTCATCAGACTGTAGTACTTGCTCTGAAGATACAATCGTGAAGAATATTTCAGCTGTTCCATACTATATTTCATAAACAAACACACACATAGTGGAACAAAGCATAAGTACCCGTAATGTTTTGTCATGCAATACTATATTTATAAAAAAATACAACAACAAACATATACAAGTTGCGTCCCTTAGATATGCCAGGAACCTCTTTCTAAATTTCTGTTCCTGTTGGTTTCACAAAAGTGGGAAACATTTAAGACCTGTATCAATTCAGGCTTTCCTCTGCTTGACTACTGACTGCCACCTACCTTTAGCTTGTATAGTGAAGGCAACTTGAGGCTTTCCTCTGCTTGACTACTGACTGCCACCTACCTATAGCTTGTATAGTGAAGGCAACTTGAGGCTTTCCTCGGCGTGACTACTGACTGCCACCTACCTTTAGCTTGTATAGTGAAGGCAACTTGAGGCTTTCCTCTGTGTGACTACTGACTGCCACCTACCTATAGCTTGTATAGTGAAGGCAACTTGAGGCTTTCCTCTGCTTGACTACTGACTGCCACCTACCTAAAGCTTGTATAGTGAAGGCAACTTGAGGCTTCCTGTGTATGACTACTGACTGCCACCTACCTATAGCTTGTATAGTGAAGGCAACTTGAGGCTTTCCTCTGCATGACTACTGACTGCCACCTACCTATAGCTTGTATAGTGAAGGCAACTTGAGGCTTTCCTCTGCTTGACAACTGACTGCCACCTACCTATAGCTTGTATAGTGAAGGCAACTTGAGGCTTTCCTCTGCGTGACTACTAAATGCCACCTACCTGTAGCTTGTATAGTGAAGGCAACTTGAGGCTTTCCTCGGCGTGACTACTGACTGCCACCTACCTATAGCTTGTATAGTGAAGGCAACTTGAGGCTTTCCTTGGCGTGACTACTGACTGCCACCTACCTATAGCTTGTATAGTGAAGGCAACTTGAGGCTTTCCTCTGCGTGACTACTGACTGCCACCTACCTATAGCTTGTATAGTGAAGGCAAATTGAGGCTTTCCTCTGCATGACTACTGACTGCCACCTACCTATAGCTTGTATAGTGAAGGCAACTTGAGGCTTTCCTCGGCGTGACTACTGACTGCCACCTACCTATAGCTTGTATAGTGAAGGCAACTTGAGGCTTTCCTCTGCGTGACTACTGACTACCACCTACCTATAGCTTGTATAGTGAAGGCAACTTGAGGCTTTCCTCTGCATGACTACTGACTGCCACCTACCTATAGCTTGTATAGTGAAGGCAACTTGAGGCTTTCCTCGGCGTGACTACTGACTGCCACCTACCTTTAGCTTGTATAGTGAAGGCAGCTTGAGGCTTTCCTCGGCTTGACTACTGACTACCACCTACCTATAGCTTGTATAGTGAAGGCAACTTGAGGCTTTCCTCTGCGTGACTACTGACTGCCACCTACCTATAGCTTGTATAGTGAAGGCAACTTGAGGCTTTCCTCTGCGTGACTACTGACTGCCACCTACCTTTAGCTTGTATAGTGAAGGCAACTTGAGGCTTTCCTCTGCGTGACTACTGACTACCACCTACCTATAGCTTGTATAGTGAAGGCAACTTGAGGCTTTCCTCTGCATGACTACTGACTGCCACCTACCTATAGCTTGTATAGTGAAGGCAACTTGAGGCTTTCCTCGGCGTGACTACTGACTGCCACCTACCTTTAGCTTGTATAGTGAAGGCAGCTTGAGGCTTTCCTCGGCTTGACTACTGACTACCACCTACCTATAGCTTGTATAGTGAAGGCAACTTGAGGCTTTCCTCTGCGTGACTACTGACTGCCACCTACCTATAGCTTGTATAGTGAAGGCAACTTGAGGCTTTCCTCTGTGTGACTACTGACTGCCACCTACCTATAGCTTGTATAGTGAAGGCAACTTGAGGCTTCCTGTGTATGACTACTGACTGCCACCTACCTATAGCTTGTATAGTGAAGGCAACTTGAGGCTTTCCTTGGCGTGACTACTGACTGCCACCTACCTATAGCTTGTATAGTGAAGGCAACTTGAGGCTTTCCTCTGCTTGACTACTGACTGCCACCTACCTATAGCTTGTATAGTGAAGGCAACTTGAGGCTTTCCTCTGCATGACTACTGACTGCCACCTACCTATAGCTTGTATAGTGAAGGCAACTTGAGGCTTTCCTCTGCGTGACTACTGACTGCCACCTACCTATAGCTTGTATAGTGAAGGCAACTTGAGGCTTTCCTCGGCGTGACTACTGACTGCCACCTACCTATAGCTTGTATAGTGAAGGCAACTTGAGGCTTTCCTCTGCGTGACTACTGACTGCCACCTACCTATAGCTTGTATAGTGAAGGCAACTTGAGGCTTCCTGTGTATGACTACTGACTGCCACCTACCTATAGCTTGTATAGTGAAGGCAACTTGAGGCTTTCCTCTGCTTGACTACTGACTGCCACCTACCTATAGCTTGTATAGTGAAGGCAACTTGAGGCTTTCCTCTGTGTGACTACTGACTGCCACCTACCTATAGCTTGTATAGTGAAGGCAACTTGAGGCTTTCCTCGGCGTGACTACTGACTACCACCTACCTATAGCTTGTATAGTGAAAGCAACTTGAGGCTTTCCTCGGCGTGACTACTGACTACCACCTACCTATAGCTTGTATAGTGAAGGCAACTTGAGGCTTTCCTCGGCGTGACTACTGACTGCCACCTACCTATAGCTTGTACAGTGAAGGCAACTTGAGGCTTTCCTCTGCATGACTACTGACTGCCACCTACCTATAGCTTGTATAGTGAAGGCAACTTGAGGCTTTCCTCTGCGTGACTACTGACTGCCACCTACCTATAGCTTGTATAGTGAAGGCAACTTGAGGCTTTCCTCGGCTTGAGTACTGACTGCCACCTACCTATAGCTTGTATAGTGAAGGCAACTTGAGGCTTTCCTCTGCATGACTACTGACTGCCACCTACCTATAGCTTGTACAGTGAAGGCAACTTGAGGCTTTCCTCTGCGTGACTACTGACTGCCACCTACCTATAGCTTGTATAGTGAAGGCAACTTGAGGCTTTCCTCTGCGTGACTACTGACTGCCACCTACCTATAGCCTGTATAGTGAAGGCACATGTGCTCCAGGCCATCACAGACACCCTCGGGTTCTCGTCATCAGGGTCCACATTCAGGCCAAACTGTCAACAGAGGTCACATTTAGGAACACGGCACACCACAAGACACTGACAGTTGAACAGAAATTGTCTGTCTATGACTTTTCAGCAAACTAAACAATACTCTCTGTCGTCATCACTGCTATTTGCAGTTCTTTATCAGGCTGCTTTTATCAAAGATATTAAAACATTTTTAATCCTAAGAGCCATCTACTAAAACAAGGATTTCAGATCAGAATGACGTCATGATTTTGAGTTTACAGACAGGAGATGCTATGTGTTACTGTGGAAGGTGAGCAATACATCTAGTTTTGCCAGTGAAGACCTGTTTGTCGTGTTCCTACAAGATCCACTTACTGAGTACACATCACGAGCAAACTTCTTCAGCATCTCACGCATCCCCTCAGAGAAGTGGCCGCTGAAACATGAAGAAGATTCATTTAGTTCATCATACATTGTCTTTCTGTTCCCCAGGCCTACCAAATTGGAAGAAGATAGTGAAGGCGAGTTGTTCTACATTGCAGTCAATGCTACAGATACACTCCCAAACATCATGAGAACCTTGGGTTCAACGGTAATATATCTAATCATGGAGCCTACATACCTTGCTTTGTCATACATACTCCTACAGTAGTATATCTAATCATGGAGCCTACATACCTTGCTTTGTCATACATACTCCTACAGTAGTATATCTAATCATGGAGCCTACATACCTGGCGTCATCATACATACTCCTACAGTATTATATCTAATCATGGAGCCTACATACCTGGTGTCATCATACATACTCCTACAGTAGTATATCTAATCATGGAGCCTACATTTCTGGCATCATCATACCAACTCCTACAGTAGTATATCTAATCATGGAGCCTACATACCTGGTGTCATCATACATACTCCTACAGTAGTATATCTAATCATGGAGCCTACATACCTGGTGTCATCATACATACTTCTACAGTAGTATATCTAATCATGGAGCCTACACACCTGGTGTCATCATACATACTTCTACAGTAGTATATCTAATCATGGAGCCTACACACCTGGTGTCATCATACATACTTCTACAGTAGTATATCTAATCATGGAGCCTACACACCTCGTGTCATCATACATACTTCTACAGTAGTATATCTAATCATGGAGCCTACACACATGGTGTCATCATACATACTCCTACAGTAGTATATCTAATCATGGAGCCTACACACATGGTGTCATCATACATACTCCTACAGTAGTATATCTAATCATGGAGCCTACACACATGGTGTCATCATACATACTCCTACAGTAGTATATCTAATCATGGAGCCTACACACCTGGTGTCATCATACATACTTCTACAGTAGTATATCTAATCATGGAGCCTACACACATGGTGTCATCATACATACTCCTACAGTAGTATATCTAATCATGGAGCCTACACACCTGGTGTCATCATACACATACTCCAACTGTTGTATATCTAATCATGGAGCCTACACACCTGGTGTCATCATACATACTTCTACAGTAGTACATCTAATCATGGAGCCTACATACCTGGCATCATCATACACATACTCCCAGAGCAGCTGGAAGTTCTTGGCGACACTCTCGGCCATCATGCGTGTGATGGTGGAGATCGGGCATGGCTGGAACAGGGGGAAGTCTTCTGCAACAGAAACACATCATCCTACATTCACATCACACTGACACAAGCACGTTTAGCCCACATACTTTGATGTGCAGATATAAGAACATGCTCACTGCATGTGTTGAAGAGATAAGTATAGAAGTTGCAGAGCATGTTGTCTTATGATGATGTCAGCAATATTCAAGCATGGGGGATTGGGGAGGTCACAGGGAATTGGGGACCACATGAGGAATTAGGGAAAACATGGGGAATTGGGACCACATGAGGAATTGGGAACCACATGAGGAATTGGGGACCACATTGGGAACTAGGTGCATGTGGAATTGGGGACCACATGGGGAATTGGGGAAATGAGGAAATAGGTACCACATGGAGAATTTGGGAACTACATGAGTAATTGGGGACCACATGAGTAATTGGGGACCACATGGGGAATTTAGGAACTACATGAGTAATTGGGGACCACATGAGTAATTGGGGAACACATGGGGAATTTGGGACCACATGGGATGAACAAGTAAGGTGACACATGTCCTACCTTCGGACTCCTGGTCCTTGGTTTCCTGGATGCTGTTCTGTACAGTCTTCTGGATGCCATCCAGCCAGTCATCATACTTCAGGTCCACCTCTTTCTCCCTACACACAACACACAGCAGGTCACCCTCAAACAGGTCAGACATTGGAAGGACTGACAGACACGAAATGAAGCTGATAACAACATTAATCTGATAAACTGTTCTTTCTGTGAGTCCTAGAATACCAAATGCTAGTGGATTCCGTAACATCACAGCAATAGCATGGCAGTGGGTGCCGAGAATGTAGGGCGGGGACGACTCAAACTTTACTACCCGGGTACCTGATCCTGTTTTACATGACACGCTAAAGGCCTCAAGAGTTTGGTACTACATGTCTGATAGGGAAATGTGTTATCGGAACCCTAGGGAAAAACTATTTAGATACACGTCAAAAAAGATCTGATCATGCATGTATACACTGATGCTTTATCTTTACTAAGAGGGAAGGAATGCGAGCATTGTCAGAAAGAACTGCCCTGATTAGCGATTTGTAATGTGGCCATGGAATTTTATTGTTATTGTCATTAAACAATCTATCATGTGACTAACCACGGGTGTGGGTAGTGCAGTGGGTACAGACAGATCCTACACAGGAGCCACCTGCCCCGAGTGCCTGAGTTACCCCTCCCAGCCCCACTAGAATGGTCTTTAAAACAGCCAAAGTGGTGTGAAGAACCAGGCTGCATGACAACAAGTAGTTCAAAGCAAACAGTTACATCAAGTGTCCGAAATCGCATGGCTCATAAACTTTCTGTCACGTTAGAAGAAATTTATTTCTAACTGCTTGACTGTCTAGTGGAAAATTTAGGCACTTATTATTGTATCTATTTTGACCGTCAGTAATGATTTGCAAGGAAATGCAAATTTTGTAATAATGCCCGATGCAGCAATATTCCAGCTATATGACAGCATTCTGTAAATAATTGAGTCTGGACCAGACAATCCAGTGATTGATATTGTGAATAAAAGATTTGTTTGTTTGTTGTTTAGCGCTGCACTCAGCAAGTTTCAGCTATATGGTGAAAGTTTGAAAAATATATATATCAAATTTGGACCAGTCAATCAGTGACTGACATCATGAGCAGATCCATGCAATTGGGATACGACCAAACGACATCAATCAAGTCACTTTGCCTGACCATTCCATCACCTCTTTCAATCAAATCTGGATGAGACAATCCAGTGACTGACATCATGAGCATCGTTCCATTCAATTGGGATACGATGAAATGACGTCAATCAAGTCACTTTGCCTGACCATTTCATCACCTCTTTCAATGAAATCTAAACCAGACAATCCAGTGACTGACATCATGAGCATTGATTCATGCAATTGGAATACGATGACATGCATCAACCAAGTCACTTCGCCTGACCACTTCGTCACATCTTACAACAAGCATTGGCTGATGGGGTCTGCTATCATCACAGATAGAATGTTACAAGCAATGTGAGAGGTGTGTACTCACGTATCTGCCAGCATGGAGACGAGAGGAGGGACAATGGGTATCACAGTGTTGCTGAGGCCCTCACAGAGGGGACATAAATATTCCATCTTGTCTATGTCGTAGCTGTAGCTGTGGCGGAAGCGTAGAGGTCGCCGCCGTTCCTTGTTCATCACATTGTCAAAGTACCTGGGGATAAATCACACAATGTTAAGCACACCCCCACTTTTCATCATTTCAAGTCAGCTTTACTCTCTGCCTGTAAAGCTTTTCCTTCACTGAATCATGGTTTTATTGCAGAGTAGAGAGTAAAGTTGCTAAGTGCCTATCACAAAAATGTCTTGATGACTACAACACATTAAAAAACAACACAAGTTTTTACCCTTTTTGATTAGGATCTTTAATTTAAACCAGACTAGTGCCCTGTAAAAGCCATGATTCCTTCCCTAGGTAATAAAGTGACAATATTCAAAAGAGTTTTCACATTGTTTTTTTTCAAGTTGAAATTGGTTAAGTTCTGTTGGTTCATACAATTAGGATATAAACATACTGTGATATTCAATTTACATGCAGGTCACCTATAGATTTATCTATGTTACTTGTCATGCACCTCTCCTTTTGTGGAACTCTTTTACTCTACGATACAGCTGGTTGTTGTATAGCTGTCAGTGCAAACATGAAGTCACAAGTACTAAATGAAAAGGTGTATAGATCTTGGTCTGCATCCAAACATTGTATGAACGTCGTCGCAAGCTCCAATGTCTATACAGTCTGGCCTTCACTACAAAGCATGTAGCACTGCAAACTGGTAAACTATCATGACGTGGGCACCCCTAAAGAAACCTAAGCAAGCCTTGCAAAGTTTCGTCCTACACTGCACTTCACTAATATGACGTCATATTGCTCATTGTGATGCAAAAGACTAGTCTATAAATAAAAGCTTCCATGGTGATGCGGAATTTAAATCAGCAGTTTCAATCAGAGAGGGTTTGTTGTGATTTGATACTTTTGATTGTCAAATTAGAATCGAGTATCTTCAATTTCCGGGTGGAATATTGCTATGGACCAAGGAAATAGAATCAGGAGTAAGGTGGCTTCCAAGGACAAATTCAAACTTTGAGGCTAGGTGGACACCTGTGATAACCAATTGATGAGGAGTGAGTGAGTGAATCTTGTTTGCCACATGTAGCAATATTCCAGCTACATCAGAACCAGGTAAACCTCAGACAGAAATCATGGGCAACAATCCATGCCATCAGCGCAGGATGACAGGCATGGGCAACAATCCATGCCATCAGCGCAGGATGACAGGCATCAACCAGGAGATGACCACCTGATCTGAACTAATCACTTCTTGTGACAATAAATAAATGAGGCTGGGGACCGAATCTAACCTGGCTTCCCACTAATGATTCCCAACACTACTGAAGGGAGAGCTTTGTCCTACCTCTGCCAGCAGTCGTGGTGCATCACGTGGCCACAGGAGCTGGTGTAGGTGCCGACGAGGAGGTCTGGGGGCATGAACATGGGGTCGAACTCTTCCTTGTTCTCTGCACATTTGCCCCGACACTGTGACAACACAGTGGATCTAAAACAATCGGGTTCACATGTCACTTGCTACGTTAACACACGACAAGGTTCATATGTAGACACAAAACAACTTGTAATGATAGTTACAAGGTACAATTCACCTTTCAAGTGGCTCTAAGACATCATAAGTACCCCAAACATATCTGACATAACACTTTCAGATTACTGCAAATATTAACAACAGTCAAACAGAATCACAGCAGAGACATCATGAAGGGGCTTCACATGTTTTATATAATCCAGGCCTTTGGAATTTTAAGAATCTGTACTTTACCAAGAAAGTGTTATCCCAAATATAACATTTGTTACAATTGACAGCTTTCAAAATGGTTTTGTGTATTCATAGCTTTTAGTCATGAGAGCTGTGCCAATTTACACTTATCAGAGGGGTACACAAAGAATATGATCTAGACAGCCAGTTGTCAGACTTTCATTTCTGTGGAAGCCTCACTAGATGAGTGGGTTAGATCGCTGACTTTGTGTGCTAGCGATTAGATGCCTCACTCTGGCAATGTGGATTTGAATCCTGGAAGGGACTCAACCCCCCAAAAGTACTAGAATCTGTTCTTTATCAAGAGAGTGTTATCCCAAACATAACACTGCCAAATGAAGTACAAATTGTTGAACCTACCGCTGTACAAAAGCTGCTAGGACCATAGCTTTCCCGCTACATGTGACTTCCTGCTCCTCCTGACACAGGATGCATGTGGCGTGGATGGGCGCCGTGACGACCGCGCTGCTGCGACAGCTGCCCAAGGCGACAGGGAACCCGACAGGAAGAGAATCACTGGAACAGAGGCAGCCTACGTGTCAACACTGAGTGAGGTTTATTCCAGTGGTCTGTAAATAATCTAATCCGGACCAGACAATCCAGTGATTGACATTGTATGCAACGATCCATGTCGCCAGGTTACGATGACACGCCATCAACCAAGTCAACTGAACCTGACCATTAACTGACCAGCAGAGATTCTAGCCTGGAATCCACATGAGGGCTTTACTTCCGTAGTATAAATCACCAGTAGAGTGATTCAGCGGGTGATTCAACAACATCCCTGTTGCCATGGTGGCCATGAATAAAGACTTACAGGAATAATATTTTCATGTCATCATTGAAGGTATTATCCAGCAAAGGTGAAGACGTCATCCTTACAGCATAGAGCATATTACACATTAATATTTGCAGAACTGTTGCATAATCAGCAAAATGATAGATTCAGCATGGTTTCCCTGGAGGAATCTAAGGCATGGGACTTAAAAGTGACGATGGGTAATACAGTATGCGATTTTCGTCACTAGTCCGAACCCTGAGCAAAGTAAAATTCTGTTTGGTCAAGTAAGATCTTCTAATAAAAGACAATATAAGACAAAAATGAACTAAAAATGATACTAAGAGCCAAATTTGGGATGGTAGACTCGAAAGCTTTTTTGCAGACTGGTAATAACATCGAAGAGCAGAACTCACAAGGGACACTCAAGCTGTTTTAATCATTATTACCCTTACAATCAATACAACTCACCTCAGATCCATGTCAGAGGTGGCAGCCTTCAAGTCTGTGCTGGTGTTTTCAAAGAGGTCAGAATTCTCTGCAATGAAGTTCCTCTGCATCTTGGACATCTGGGCCATGACCCTTGCCCTGCGTTTAGCTGCCCGCTCGGCCTTCCTCTTCTTCTCCGCCTCTGTCTTGTGGTCCCGGCCACTTGTGATATTCCCCAGCGTCCCCACATCCACAGAACTGTCCTTCATGGCACAGATCTCCGCAAATTGCTGCACAAAACATTCTTGAATAAGTGTTGGACCAGGGCCATGTTCCACAAAGTCATCTTAGTGCTATGACAATTGTATCTCCCATAAACAAACAATGTCATTTAGAAAGTGGTCAAATGAAACAATGATATATTTGGGATAACACTTTCTTAGTAAAGTACAAATTCCAGTACTTTTTTGGGTTGAATCCCATCCGGGATTCGAACCCACACTGCCAGAGTGAAACACCTAATCGCCAGCACACAAAGTCAGAGATCTAAACCACTCAACCACCGAGGCTTCCACATTTATCTGACTTTCATTTTTGTGGAAACCTCGGTGGCTGAGTGGGTTATTTCATTTTGGTGAATGGACACTTCGATCACCATGAATCTGTGGCAGTCTTCTGGAACATGACTTATTTAAAAAGAAAGCACTAGTAATTTCAAACTGTATCCTCAGCACTTTGTAAGCAAATGTTACATGACAACCTCTCTCAGTCATGGCAAGCATCCTTTCACTTAAAATCATAAGTGTTTTACTGTAACAAGTTTAAATCCCTTCTAAATATTGAAAGTATTTAAGCATAGGTGATCTCCCTCAACATTTGAGGACATACTATTCTTGATTCAGATGTTGCAATTTCGAGCTTGCTGTTGAGACTGGCAGAAAGCTCAAAGGTTATCTTACTGTTGAAGATGAATTGCACATCTTCCATGTATGTGACTCCTACTCTGAATTAAGAAAGAATTGAATTGCTAAATGTTTTAGTAAATATCATTCAATTAATTTTTTTTCTATGATGCAGAGTGAAAGAGTACTGATATAATCATAAAATGTTTGTTTATTTCTATATCCTCAAAATAAATAATGAAACACCCAATTGTAAATCTGATATAGACTGTGCATGCATGATCATGGTTTCGTATGTATTTTGGGCCAGCGGCCATTACTGACAGAAGCTGTCTGTCTGCATTGTAAATATTTTAATAGGCTAAAAATAAAAAATAACAGTAGGAATGAGGAACAAAGTGGAAAGGCCACAAGACATAACATGATTTGATTGAGCAAGTTAATGAACATGGTATTATTCTGCTCTTAACACTCAAGCCCATCACAGCATCACTCGTTGTACCCATGTGAAGAATCAAACCAAGCTGCCAAAGGAACCAAGGAATGTTTAACCACAAGGCCACCCAGCTGCCCCGTTCTACAGCATCCTACAGATCCCGTCCTCCAGTGTGACCCACCTTCAGCATCCAGGTGAGTAGATCTTTGACTGGGTCCTGGCTGACGTTCTGGTTGCCCACCAGCGTCTGCAGCAGTGACAACAAGCCATTCTCTGCAAACACAACACAGTCACAATAAACTTGTGTCACACCACCGGCCTGGTTGAAACACTTCACAACAAGCCATTCTCTGCAAACACAGCACAGTCACCATAAACTTGTGTCACAACACCGGCCTGGTTGAAACACTTCACAACAAGCCATTCTCTGCAAACACAACACAGTCACCATAAACTTGTGTCACAACACCGGCCTGGTTGAAACACTTCACAACAAGCCATTCTCTGCAAACACAGCACAGTCACCATAAACTTGTGTCACAACACCGGCCTGGTTGAAACACTTCACAACAAGCCATTCTCTGCAAACACAACACAGTCACCATAAACTTGTGTCACAACACCGGCCTGGTTGAAACACTTCACAACAAGCCATTCTCTGCAAACACAGCACAGTCACCATAAACTTGTGTCACAACACCGGCCTGGTTGAAACACTTCACAACAAGCCATTCTCTGCAAACACAACACAGTCACCATAAACTTGTGTCACAACACCGGCCTGGTTGAAACACTTCACAACAAGCCATTCTCTGCAAACACAGCACAGTCACCATAAACTTGTGTCACAACACCGGCCTGGTTGAAACACTTCACAACAAGCCATTCTCTGCAAACACAACACAGTCACCATAAACTTGTGTCACAACACCGGCCTGGTTGAAACACTTCACAACAAGCCATTCTCTGCAAACACAGCACAGTCACCATAAACTTGTGTCACAACACCGGCCTGGTTGAAACACTTCACAACAAGCCATTCTCTGCAAACACAACACAGTCACCATAAACTTGTGTCACAACACCGGCCTGGTTGAAACACTTCACAACAAGCCATTCTCTGCAAACACAGCACAGTCACCATAAACTTGTGTCACAACACCGGCCTGGTTGAAACACTTCACAACAAGCCATTCTCTGCAAACACAACACAGTCACCATAAACTTGTGTCACAACACCGGCCTGGTTGAAACACTTCACAACAAGCCATTCTCTGCAAACACAACACAGTCACCATAAACTTGTGTCACAACACCGGCCTGGTTGAAATACTTCACAACAAGCCATTCTCTGCAAACACAGCACAGTCACCATAAACTTAAGTCGCACCACTGGCCTGGTTGAAACACTTCATGACATTTTATGCCATTCTTTGCAACTTATTTAGTGTTTTCATTTTTAGGACATAATTTTTGCACAAATTTAATCTGGACACAAGAAGAGAGTGACTTGAAATTACCTTTTACAGCCTTATTGAGGAAATCAAAACTTGTGTTGTTCATATCAATCGCTCTGCGCTGTTCATGGAGGGCTATTCCAATAATATATAGAATCTGAAAACAAAGATGTACATGTTTGGATGGCAATCTGGAGCAACAAGCATAAATTACACACATCAACAATAAGTTGTCTTGTAAGGAGACAAAATGTATAGGAATACAAGACCAGTGTTCCCCCTTACCCTCTCAAACTGGGCTTCTGACCATGATCTTGACCTTTGGGCAGCCGTGCGCGTGAGAACAACTCGCATGATATGCAGCATGACGTCACACTGTAGGATGTCGACCAGAGGCTGGAACTGGGAGGTTAAGGACGGAGGCACTGGAGGGGGGAGAGCTGCAATACAAGAGTGAGTGAGTGAGTGAGTGAGTGAGTGAGTGAGTGAGTGAGTGAGTGAGTGAGTGAGTGATCATCATCTTCATTTACTACTGATTTCTTCTTGATTTCCATAAATAAGAGTAAAAACAGACTAAAATGATGCTTAAAACAAGCATATTTTATGCAAAATTCAGTATTTATTTTTCCCTCTTGTGTAGATCTGTGTGTAAAACAGACAAAGTGATTTGCTTCGGAGACACAAACAGTGTAACTGACAAGTGGACATCTAGCACCCTCATCTCCACTATTATCAAACACTAGTTGTGATAAGTGCAACTTGTGACTGATAACAGTAATTCATGTTATCAGTAAGTGGATGCTCAACAATCTTGTGTCAAGTGTCAAGTGTAAAGTTTCAAACCTTGGTCTTCATCCTGTTGCTTCTTCCTCTTTCTCTGGGTTTCTTCAGACTGAGGAAAAGAGACACAAGGTCAAGTATTGTACAACCCCTGGATTGGTCTTGACACAGGTCAAACAATACAATCAAACATAAGCATGTCCCCCACCAGTAGCATGTTTGACTGAATGTAAGACTCAAGCCTGACTACAAGAGCTTTGTGGGGCTTGTTACAAAGTCAGTGACACTTGAACTTATTTATACACTCCAAGCTGACTTTAGTCATCTCAGTAGGGTTGTGTTGCTTGGGAATATCACTCATAGCTGGGGTTATCCATTGGATAAACTGTCATTTTTCATTCGTTTCATTAAAAAAATATAAATGATAAAAAAAACAAAAAAAACATTAGTTGAGTACTTTATTGATTAGTGAGGAAAAACAAATGGTTCATTGCTTGAAAACCTGAACAAATTGAAATCTTTGAGTTAGGCCCTGGAAACAAACCCTTCCCTCGTTTGAAGCTACATATAATTTGTTGTCATGGAAACCAAAAGAAATGAAAAGGCCAACATTCCTAAATAGCAAAAGGAACCAGTCATGGCAAGATTGATATCTCTGCAAAATTTGATAAAGAAATATTGAACAGTCTTTGAGTTATGCCCCAGAAACAAAACAAGACGGAAGGAAGTATGGACAGACAGTGCCTATTCCTATACCCCCCTCCCACTTATTGGCAGGTATAACAATATAAGATTGTTTGAGTAAAACAGAAAAGGATGTAAGGTGGGACTAATTCTAAAAAAACTTTATTATTTAACCATATTTATTTCAAGACTTTGAGAGTGCCTTCACAATGAAAGGCCATACCTTGGACTGGTCTGTTTTGGTGTAGTGGTAAAAGTATGGGCAATACTGGCTGTAGAACTCATCCTTCAGCTCGTACTTCCCCTTGTCAGTCGATGATGGCTTCCTGTGCAGCAACACACACACAGTTTGAGAATGAATATAGATTTACACAACTTTTGGCAGTATGGCATCATGAATTGTGATCATGTAAAGAAGTGATCCTACATCCTTGGCATCATGGTCCGCTCGGCTCTCCTTCATCCTCTATCCACACAGGTCACACTAGGACACAGACAGCACCGAGCAAATCTTGAAGACCGATGTTACAGATTTAAAGGTACAATTTCATACTTAATCTTTCGACATGTTCATGGTACTGTGTAGACTACCTTCCTCAACAGACCATGCAAACATTGTAACCATTTGCCATGTAATCCTGATTAACATCTTACAATAACAAGCCACACAACCGCCTTGAAGAGGCAGGCCACTCATGTAACAGTTTTCAGATGAGGTCATTCTGAATATTTTAACTTTCCCCTTCCTAACAGTTTTCAGACAAGGTTATTCTAAACTGGGATTCCAGAGTTATATTTTGGTGGGACTAACGAGTCTATGCATAGTCCAATCAAAATCACGTAAAGAACTAGACATCCGGTTCGTAAACAACATGGATTTTAACGTGCAGATTTCAGTCGACTGCAGGATTTGCAAAGCATTCGTAAAGTCAACTGGGCATCGACAGATATATTGCAAATCATTTCCTGTTTTTAATCAAGTTGCTCAAGTGATTTGATGTACTTCGCAGGGTAAGACCTTTTTATTACAAAAGAGATCTTGATTATCGATCAGATCGTTTTGACTGGGTGCCACCATTTTGTTTGAAGCAAATGCAAGTGATATGAGAGATGGAGTCTGATTGGTCAGTAGAAGGGACATAACTCGTAATAGCCACTGTTGGCACTACGATCGAGCCCAGAAATACCAGCCTAGTTCGGCAAGTGTGGAAACTGGACTTTAATAGTCAGTTAACGCCCTTGCCTTGAGAAGATGTATCTCACCTCCCATCTACTTCATGTGTTTGACTGGCTAGATATTTCAAATTGTGACTCATGATTTCTTAGCAAATTGCACTGAATCGAGGAACAGGGTGATACATCACCCTGAACAACCAAGGGAGCTGACTTTTTCCATGGCTGTACATCGCCTTTCCTATCGAATGAAACAGTTCTTGTCACTTACCTGAAGTTGGCCACCTCGCTGACAACATCTTCAACCCCTGTCTCATTGTTGTGCTGGAAATACATATCACACATGCATCTAGGATGGCAGAACACTGCACCAATAAAAACCATACTGATCACACAATGTAACAATCAAACGAATTAGTACACAAATAATTATTCTTGACGAGATCAATATGCAACAAGAAGGACCGAAATTCGCTTTCAAGTTTAAAAAGTCTTTAAAATGTCCTCTGCTTCATTACAGTAACCTGCAAACCCTGAAATGTTACTCCTAGATGCAATCTTGTTTTCAAGCAGATGAGAGTCAATATTCATCACGTGACGAGCCAATGTTCGAGGTCAGTCTCTGTCATGTGATTTGGGGGGTCTACATTGAAATGTGCACTCAAAATAAATGCATTGTTTCTTTGCCTGGTATGAATTAACCAATGGATATGCAAATTCTATCTTTATGACTTGCTGTCCCTCCTTGTTGCTGTCACTTAATGTCAACTCACGCACTCATCATGTTCATTTCATGCTTTGGGTGTAATGGGATATAATTAATGTGTCTTTCATTCAGAAACAGGTTAATGATCACAAACCAAAGAGTGCAAGACATATATACTCACATCTTCTGGTAATGCCTTGACAAGTTCACTATGGGCCATCGGCGCTATACACAACTGATGGATTATCTCCCTTTTCACTACATCCTGCTGAGTGATCTCCCCTATGCCAGGCACATAGCGCTCCTCTGCGGACAGAAACCCAAATCTCTTGTACTGTACACGCCTACTACTGATTAACAAGACCTAAACATCATTTACAGTGAAACCCGAAATCGGCCATCATAGTCACATGATGGGATTCGAATAAAGGACCATCTGAACAGAGGTCTGATGCCTTGTCCACATGACCAAAGGGTAAACCCCATTAGCAAGCTGACAAGGTACGGATGTCAACTGTGGGATGACTCAATACCCTGCTACAATGTGAATGCAAAGCCATACTTTGTTCCATGCCAAGTTTTGTGGATTCATAAAGTTTCAGACTCCGCTTAGCTGTTACTCGATCATTGCTGACTCAACGAGTACGGTTAACTGATCATTGCAACCCAACAAACTGAGACCAACCAATTGTATTGGACTGGGTTCTCATTGTACGAATGCCTAGGGAACCATCATGGTAAGTGAGTGAGTGAGTGAGTGAGTGAGTGAGTGAGTGAGTGAGTGAGGGCGAGTGAGTGAGTGAAAATATCGCAATATGACAAGGCAGAAAAAATAAAAAAACATTTTGCTCTCCTTTTGTTAACTTGAAGCAGTCATGTGACCCTTGTTACAATTATTTATATGTTTTCTTCTTAAAGTAGGAATAAAGTCTTTCAGAGTGATGTCCTCCTGATGTTGTATAAGAGCAAGAGCATGCTTGACTCCGACTGAGTGAGTGAGTGAGTTGGGTTTAACGATGCTTTGAAAAGTATTCCAGTTATATCACATCATGTCAGCTTAATGTGGGAGGAAAGCCCGAAGTGATGCAGGTCTCAGACATTTACCACTTTGGTGAAACCCACAAGCATGAGTATGGTGCTGACAAACCTAGAAACATAATTGGGGCAAACCAGGATTCGAACCCATAATTATAGATTTTTGGGGTGCCCAAGGGGCACAACTCTGCACAGAGAATTGCAGCACCTCAGACCACTGGGTCAGCCGTGCCCCCTCATGATAAGTGAGGGAGGGTGATGAATGCCACATTCAGCATGAGTCAAGTCATATCAAAGAGAGGGCAGTCACACACAGGGTGTTCACTGATGGACTAGAACTGCTTTCATGACTTTCATGACTTTCATACATACATCACATATTGTCCCCTAGTGAGTGTTAAAAATGATCCCCAGCAACCTATGCTGGTTGAAGAGGTAACTTAATGGACCAGGTGGTCAGGCTTGGTGCCTTGGTTGATGACATGTCAATATGCACTGATGGCGTGGCTCATAATATCAATCACAGAAATGTCTGGCTGAGACTCGATTATTTACAGCTAGAATATTGCTGAGTGTGACATTAAACAACAAATACAAATACAAAGAAATGCAAAGACAATATATTGAAAATATCGCAATGTGACAAGGCAGAAAAAATAAAAAACATTTTCCTCTCCTTTTGTTAACTTGAAGCAGTCGTGTGACCCTTGTTACAATTATTTATATGTTTTCTTCTTAAAGTAGGAATAAAGTCTTTCAGAGTGATGTCCTCCTGATGTTGTGTAAGAGCAAGAGCATGCTTGACGCCGACTGATGAGATGTTCTAGTAACATGGACAACAACCATCACCACACTGTACCCACATGTGGAACTGAACCCATGATGCTGACAGCAAGTAATGCTGTAACCACTATGCCATCCAGCACCCAGTACCAAGCACCCAGCGACTCACCCAGGACGATGATGAGAAGGTTGAGGAACTCCTCCGCTAGCATGACGGTCTGCCGGACCGAGTCCTCCTGTCCGCCCGGGACATCATATTCAGGTCTACAAGAGAGAGGCACCATCATGTCAACACAGAACATACATTTCCAACACACACATGGCAGTGAATACTTCACAACTCATTATTAGATAAGCAAGGTTTTAGGTTCAGTTTATTGTCCATTACCTGGCCCAGTGTAGTAGGTTGAACTTATGCAGGAGAGACACAATGAAGTCATCTGGGTTCATCAGCGATGCACCAATCTACAACATAAACACATGGCAAAATGTATGCTTTAGCATGTAGGATGTAACGGATGATGGAAACAGAAAAATGTTTCTTTGGTTCTAATGTACACTTTCCTATCAAGATCCTGAGGAGATTCCTGACTAAGGGTATCTAGTTTCCTGACTTATAGGGTCCAGTTTCCTGTCTAAAGGGGGCCAGTTTCCTGACTAACGGGGTCAGTTTCCAAACAGGGTCTGGTTTCCTGACTAATAGGGTCCAGTTTCCTGACTAACAGGGTCCAGTTTCCTAACTAACGGGGTCCTGTTTCCTGACTGATGGTGCCAAGTTTCTTGACTTACGGGGTCCAGTTACAAGACTATAGGGTTCAGATTCCTAACAGGTTTGGTTTCCTGACTAACATTGTCCAGTTTCCTAACTGACAGGGTCCAGTTTCCTGACTTTCCGGCTTTAGGACTGACAAGTTTTCAGTGTATAGGACTCAGCTATGGGGGGAATTGATTTGTTTCACTTTCCAAACTTAGTATCAACAAGTTAAAGTAGGCTACCTATTTCTTGGGGACTGTGACTGTGTGTCATTCTCACCTGCAACATTGCTATATCCCTGTCGTACATCTCGCCACGACATCGCACATTATGATAAAAGAAAATCTGAAAGAAAACACAAGGAAATATCAAACATCCAGCTGCTTGCAATGCTGCTACATGAAGACATATCGACCGACTACTGGCTACAAGGCCACAACTGACAACTGTGTGTATATCCTACATTGACTGAGTGTATTCAGCTGAATCAATTTCCTGCAGCTGTGCACACCCAGTCTCACACTCCAGTGCTGGGATGACTTAGCATTGTTCCATGCCAATTTGCATATCACGTGACAGACTTTTCTCTTCATTGAAAACAAACACACTAATACTGAAATCAGAATTCTAAATAATGATGGATGTCTTACAGTGTTATTTACAGATTGTGTTGCACAATAATTAAAATATTCCACTACAAAAACGACGAGGAGTGGGACAACGTGTCGTTGCACATCAAAGAAACAACATCGCTAGCTGTCCAGATGTGTTGGATGTCTACACGTGGAACTGTACAACCAGTGTAAACAAAGGGTAAATACAAACATCGTCACATCTTGCTGGCCTGTGGTCTGTGGCAAAGGTGCTCGGTCTGGGTAGGAGAGCAGCGATAGAAATTGGCACTTGTCCTGTAGTCCTTACCAAACTGACCAAAAGTAAAGGTATCCTAAGGACCAGTAGGAATTTGACCTGTTTAAGTATTTTGCTGTACGTTATCATGATAAGGACTAGTGGACTAAAACTGTCAAGTTCTATCGCTGGAGAGAGGTCCAGTCTGTCATTACCTGGTTCAGTAGAGCAAACCCATTCCTCCTCCACATCCCGGCCTGTGTCTGGGCTATCATGACCTGAGTCCGCAACGGAGCCTCCATTAACTCCATGGGCTCCAGACGTTTCTACAATAGTAAACCCATAATTGTACAACCAGCATGCTACATTGAAGAGTACAGGCTTACATATCAGTGTTTGAAATAATTCTAAAACCCAACAGGACCGAAGGGCATGTGACCCGAACTCAGACATTATAAATACGGAAAAGTCATGAAACATAAGAGTCTTGATTCAGTAGAAACAATGCAAACAAACACATGAGAATCTACGGGGAGTCATGATAAAACTGAATATGTAAGTAGTCTTAAAATTATCATCCAGACAGTCGGGCAGGTGGAAGAAATTGCAGCCTGACAGAAAAGTTACCAGCTACGGGCTGGCGGGCAGGCAGTTATTTCTGACACTGTTCCATATACAGGCTATTTGGAACACGAACTGAACAAATGACAGTCAGTTGCGAACCACACACACAGTGTGGACAGAACCACAAACACACACAGTGTGGACAGAACCACACACACACAGTGTGGACAGAACCACACACACACACAGTGCGGACAGAACCACACACACACACAGTGCGGACAGAACCACACACACACACAGTGCGGACAACCACACACACACACAGTGCGGACAGAACCACACACACACACAGTGCGGACAACCACACACACACACAGTGCGGACAGAACCACACACACACACACACAGTGTGGACAGAACCACACACACACAGTGCGGACAGAACCACACACACACACCATGCGGACAGAACCACACACACACAGTGCGGACAGAACCACACACACACAGTGTGGACAGAACCACACACACACAGTGTGGACAGGACCACACACAGACATCTAGGCAAGTTTCCCTGTTGTAATATATGTGGTCCATACACAAAGGGGTGCCAGATCTGAAAACTATTCAGTTAAAAAGCCAAGAACTGAGCGTCTTGAACAATTTTAAAACATTCCCCCAAATAATCAAGGTCATTCAAGCTGAACATTCAAATCTGTGGATTATTGTCTTGCAACCATACTATGCCCTCACCTTTGTACTCAGCTCTGGGGAGTTGAAGGAAAGTCCAAACTTGCCAAGGTGTAAATGTAAAGCTGAAAGAAAATGAGAATTTTTTATGAGTGAGTTAGGAGTAAGTGAGTATGGTTGTACGCCGCATTTAGAAATATTCCAGTAATATCACAGCTGGGGCATCAGAAGTGTGCTCCACACATTGCACCCACGTGGGGAAGCGAAGCCGGGTCCTCGGTGTGAAGAGTGGACACTTTAACCACTAGGCTACTTCACCGCCCCTAAATTTCACTTGAAAATATTGAAGTAAACATGAGAACATACATTATTTATATATCCCACCATGTTTCTGGAAATGCAAAAAGTGAACTATAGTAAACATGGTAAAATGTACTAAATGTCAAACAACAGCCTGCCCCCAAAGGAGGCTGATTCCATGTCATATAACCCATGTTCATTCGTCATTCTGACCTACGTCTTCAGCTATGACTTTTCTAGTGTGACATCATTCCAACCTTACGTCACAATAAGATTCGAATGAAGTCAACAATCTTCAGCAATGACATTGTTCCTAGTGTGATGTCATTCCGACCTACGTCATAATAAGCCGTCCCAAACACACTGGTGATATTTGCACTGGTGGACATACGATTTCTAGGAACTTTGTTATTTCTAACCCAATCTTAAAGACAATGACACGTGCAATCAAATGACTGTGTAGACTATCAGTTTGTCCACCTGCTTGTGATAGAGGTTGAATACATGAGCTACTGTAAAACATCTCCATAAAACATTGTACAAATATCTGCTTTAAGAGCATGGTCACAGTTTAAAGTTCAAATCAAGGTCAGGTGAGCTAACAATTAGGTAGGAACTATTTGTTTGTTTGTTTGTTTGTTTGTTTGTTTGTTGTTTTATGCCACTATCAACAATATTCCAGCCATATGACGGCGGTCAGTAAATAATCGAGTCTGGACCAGATAATCCAGTGATTGATATCATAAGCATTGATCCACGCAATTGGGACACGATGACATGCTTCAACCAAGTCAGTGAGTCTGACCACCTGATCCCGTTAGTCACCTTTTACAACAAGCATAGTCGCCTTTTACGGCAAGCATGGGTTGCTGAAGACCTGTTCTATCCCAGATCTTCACAGGTCAGGTAGGAACTAAACTCATCAGAGCATTAACATGAACAGCCTAAAGACAGATAACAAAAGCTGGCTGACTGTCCTGGTAAACTCGATGGTACATGACCAGATGAGCCAAAGCTGAGACAAATAATTTCAGCGCTATTGCATCCTTGCTGCCAGATTGTTCTCACCTGACAGGAACCTTGTGAGGGGGAGATGGATTGACGTGGGCTGACCCGACACATCGTACTTGACAGACTTGGTATTGTAGCCAGCAGCTGGAAGGACACTATACATGTACTCACCACCAATAGAAACACAAACCATAGAAACACAGAGAATTTTTACGTTAAGAAGTGATTTTTCCAATGTGTACCGCTTAATGACAAAACTAACAATCTGTGAAGTGTAACCACAGTGTGTCCTTATGCTTATCACGATATGCTTCACGTGATTTCCGAACTTTCCACGCTAACCCTGCATGAGACAAAGGGTGCATCTCGAGTCATGGATCTATGACGTCACATGTGATGCGTTCATGAGCCTCAGATCACTCAGCATACCATTGTGCTGTTTGTGCATTGAACCAATCTAACATCTCTTGAATACGTGTAGTTCTTCATATATTACCGAACATGTATGGTATGAGCGTTTCGTTTGCTGGAGAGTACGGACACACTTCACAAAGCTATCAGGAGCCTGGCCACTGCTGCTCTGCCCCACTGTAAGTAAGTGATGACATAAAGAGTTTGTGACCAAATAATTGCCTTACACTGGCAGTATTGAAGCTATATGATGGATCAAGCGTGGGCCATGTTAACAACTGGTTCCAACACATGCAATGATCTATCCATCATGTTATGATGAAACACACTGATTGTGCCAACATTACACAGCTTTGGTTCATAAAGACATTCCCTGGAATACCCAGGTGGGAGAAGTGGCATGTGATAAAGATTAAATGACATTGATGTTGGTATTGTCACAGCAATCCCTGTTATGACTGGTTGGAAAAACATAGATCGTCAAGTTTTACAATTGCATGTTCCTAGGTACAGCTGAGGTGAGGTTGGTGAAATCTGGTTTAAAGTCCCGTCCAAGATTATTGCACTTATATAGCGACGTGCATGCACGTGTGTGGCTGCTTGCACTAGTCCGGACTGATGCCAATTTATAGTGCTAGCTCACCGAGATACCATGCTGCAGTTTAACACGAATACCCCACTCAGACACAGTATACTGATCCCCAGCCGACCAGTCCTTGTTTAAGCCCTGAGGCCAGGGATCGAACCCCGGATCTTCCGCTTTCCCGGTGGAGGCTCTACCACTAGACCACGGGGGTGGACCCTAGGTACAGGTAGGACCTCACCACTGGTTTCCTGTGTGTGAATCAGAGGACTGGTCTTACCCTCACACTTCTCCCGTTTAGCCGAGTCCCTGCACTGGTACAAAGCCTCTAGTGTTTCCTTGTAGGCAACTGTCAGAATGTGTTTCTGAAATCAAAGTTATTTCAATTTGTACCAAGAGCAGTAAACATTATTATGTTTTCTCCAAATGACAAATTACAGGCATGACAGTAACTGATTAATTTCCTCTATCTTTGCATCAATGTTCAAATTCTAGAGATGAGTAAAAATGAAAGAAAGAGAATTTAAAAAAATCTACCTTAAAATTCCATATACAAGTGATATAATGGATTATGCAAAGTCATTATCAAGATGATTTATTATCACATTACCATTATCATAAATGGTCAGTCACTTTTTGATACTCTTGAGCCTGAAAGTATGGTGTCCATGTCTGACTTAAACAATTGTTTGTTTATCAAGTGCAACAATAATGCTGGAACAAAAACTATTTCAGGTTGTTCATACAATGGTCTATTAATTAAAGTTAATTTCTTTACAATAGAGGGAGATGGGCAGCTTTGTGGTCTAAGTCAGCAATAATTGATGTGCAGAGTTGTGTCCCTTAGCTTTGCCAGGATCCACTAGTGTTGAATTTGAATCCTACATCTGCCCTGATAACGATCATTGGTCTGTCAACGCCAAACCTAAGTGGTAAACAACAACAACTGGGCAGTAACTCTCCTCACTCACTTACCATTATTATGGACATGATCCGTGAAGATCCGGGGTAGAATAGGTCTTCAGCAACCCATACTTGCCGTAAAAGGTGACTTTGCTTGTCGTAAGAGGAGACTAATGGGATTGGGCGGTCAGACTCGCTGACTTGGTTGATGCATGTCATCGATCCCAATTGCGTGGATCGATGCTCATGATATTAATCACTGGATTGTCTGGTCTAGACTCGATTATTTACAGACCGACGTAACATAGCTGGAATATTGCTGAGTGAGGCATAAAACAACAAACCAACCAACCAATCCTATGGACACCTTCATCGTACCTTGGTTGGAGCACTTGGGGCTTTCCTCCCACAATATACTGACACTCCATGGCTGGACAGTTTAAAGTGACATTAAACTCCAGGCTGGTAACTGACACGGACAATCCTAATTCCAACTAGTGCAGCATGATGACAACAAGGTGTTGCAGTTCCATCACTGTATACTTACATCCTCGGCACACCAGCTGGCAAACAGCTTGAGGTCATCCTCCAGCTTCAGCTGCAGGTTAAAGGCCCCCTCCCACTCCGGCTCGAACTCCAGGTGCTGCCCAGTCTGCCTCGTCACTGCGTCCATCCCCTGTCAGACAAACACCACACTCAAGTCTCCACATACAGGACATCCGGTGATTCTCACGATCTCATTATACAATTACAACTAGCATCATGTGATGTTGTTCATTTCAGGTGTTGATTTTCAACGCAAATAAGGTCTGGATCAAATGCATGTGACACAGTCAATGGAATGTCATGATATGATACGTATCATCATATTTTGTGAGCAATATGTTACAAAGGCTTGGAATTTCCTGAATATTTGCTCTCATATTTGAAAACATAAATGTCTCGTTTCACTCAATACAGTATTTCATATAAAACTGAAGTGTCAAAACCCAGGTAGAAAAAGACTAGAACAGAGGCTTTTGATCACTGTGAAGTTAAGAATACCAAATAACGCTTCCATTATCATGGTACCAGTTCTCCCAACGAATGTGTGAAAAGATATGGGAATAAAATATGAATCGATACAGGATTATAATATGACATGACAAAGGTAAGTGCATATCGAGTATCGTATTGTCTGAGAATATTATCGATGCACTGATGTAATGGTGAATAGAATCCCTAGAATACATAGCTGACAGTGACGAGTCTGCCACACGTTGATGATCAATTGCCCTGATTAAACCTTCTACTGTAGGAACAAAAGGAGAGTTTCTATCTTAATTGTCTGGTCCACTTTCTTTGTACAAACTTATCCAAAAGGCCGATACATCATCCTATATCTTACTTGCATAATCTTTAACAAGTCTAATAAGGCCACCACTCCATTAAGAAAGTTTGTGCGTAGTCCATCAGACCATTCTTCCGAACAGGTTGGTTTCGCAAGGAGTGCATATCTGAAGAGAAGAATGGGAATGTAATGGCAAGGTGTCATCCACAAGACCAAACATAGCACAGTGTGTCAAACCCCCCAATCTGTCAAGGAGTGCTCCGATTCTGAAGGGGGCGCGGGTGGCCCTGTCATCTCAGGCGCTGTAATTCACGTTTCTACTCCCAGTTCGCCCGATTATGTTTCTAGGTATGTCAGCACCATATCTCTGCTCGTGGGTTTCACCAAACTGGTAAACATCAGAGACCTGCATAACTGATCTGTCCTCCCACATCAAGCTGGCACGCCATGATGTAACTGGAATACTGTTCAAAGTGGCGAAAAATCCAAATCACTCTCACTCCAACTCTGAAATGCCAGTTGAAGTCTACACATAACAAGTCAGTCCGCTACCAAATACCCAAATAAGTCCCCCATCAAGACGTTATCCTTTACCAGTGGTAATTAATGGGGTCCCAGGATGCTTATTTTTTGCTCCTATAGAATTTGAATGTAGGTCCCCTGCATCTTTAACTTGTCACATGGGTTCATGACCCCTTGACTTTCATGCCGATACCATGCTTTGCTCGGTCATAATGTCCTGCATAATCAATCTGACCCTGACTGGCCAGTGTGCAACTTACTTGAGATCATAGAGCATGTACCATGCCCGCTTATAAACTGGGTTGCGATCATTCCGGTCAAAACAGAGTTTACCATCCTCTGAAAAGGAGATGCAAAATGACTTTGAGAACATCTAAAGACGAAAATATCATGACTTTAATAACACTAAACATCTTTTGGAGGTATTAACTTCATAGAATGCTTTCACTGTTGTGAAACTAGTTGAAAGACTCACTGTTTTTCTTGTTTTCACAAGGCCTGAGAAATGACTTCAGTATGACACTGAGCAGATCATACTCCACGATGAGGGACCGAGCCTGTAACACAGAAGTTGAAGGTCAAGGTCTCACATACAGCTAGTCAGCAGGGAACATGTGGGATGTCCACCTCCTGGTCAGCAGGTATACACTGGACACTGTACTCATCAGTGGTTTCAAAGGCCATTCAGTACAAACGATAGGGAAATAGAGTCAAATATATAAACTGTACCAATATCAAAAGCAATATTACAAATTTTGACAAAAAGCTATCGACAGTTTTCAGGTTTTATTACATGGATATATTTAGTCAGTCAATTTTCGATTAAAAAGTATAATTGATTGAACATGCTGAAAACAGCTGCCAATTGTTGATGTGGTACAACACGGTTCCCTCAAAATGCAGGATCTTTCAAACCCTGAAGACTGGGCTTGTGTATCTTAAACACTGGTTCTATAAAAACAAGTAAAATACAAAAATGTCGAAATATGAGTGAGTGAGTGAGTGAGTGAGTTTGATTTTACGCCGCTTTTAGCAATATTCCAGCAATATCACGGCGGGGGACACCAGAAATGGGCTTCACACATTGTACCCATGTCGGGAATCGAACCTGGGACTTCAGCGTGACGAGCGAACGCTTTAACCACCAGGCTACCCGACCGCCCTGTCGAAATATGAAATGTGATCAGTCTGAACTTTGAAGTGACTCAAAGGCTTGTTAACATTAATCCTCTGTAATCATTATCATAATCATCAAATATGACAGATATAATTTCATGCCATTTGTTGACTCTCATTAAGATACACATACCAATTTCTTAGATCTGAAAGAGAGGTGTATTGTAACTGATTGTTCTTTTGTAAAAATATTAATAAAGATTATTTTGATAAAAATTGAAATGAAGGACAATTCAGAACCAAATGTACGGTATATACAAAGTATTAGTATAAACAGGATCAAAACAAGCCTGCAATTCTAGATTATAGAAAGCAGGTGAAAAGGTAACAACCAAGTGGCATACATACAGTGAAGTCTTGTTCTCTCAATACTATTCGGACCAACAGTATATACAAATTTATGCGGAGTTTGAGGCAAACTGGTGACAAAAGTGACAAATTAATGTACACTTAAAGCACAAAATAAACAATGTAACAAAGAGATGTCATTGCAAAGTAAAAAAATAATAACAACTTACGAGGGGCGATTGATAAGTTCTAAGCCTAACAAAGAAAACAAAGTCAGTTTGATACCAAAGCTTTTTATTTTTGGACATAGTCCCCTTTAAGGTCAACACACTTCTGCCAGCGATGTTGCAATGCCATTACGCCACTTTTGTAGAAGTCAACTTCTTGGTCACTCAAAAAGTTGTTGACCGCTGTAATGACGTCATCATCTGACTGGAAATGAGTTTCAGCTAAATGGCTTTTCAACTGTGGGAACAGATGATAGTCCGACGGAGCCAAATCAGGTAAATAAGGTGGATGTTGGAAAAGTTCAAAGCCACACTCATGGATTTTGGCCATTGCTATCAGTGATGTGTGTGCTGAAGCATTGTCGTAATGATAAAGCACACCTTTCGTCAACTTTCCACGTCGCGTAACTTTGATTTTCTCTCTTAACTGTCTCAGAAGTTCCACATAGTAAGCCCCTGTAACAGTACGGCCTTTAGGAAGCCAGTCCACCATGATCACACCTTCAGAATCCCAAAACACAGATGCCATGACTTTCCCAGCTGAAAGCACAGACTTTGCTTTCCTTGGAGTAGGAGATGTGACATGTTTCCACTGTTCAGACTGTTGTTTTGATTCAGGTTTAAAGTGGTGGACCCATGTTTCGTCCATTGTAACAAATCATTTGAGAAAGTTATCTGGATCACCTTCAAAAAGCTTGAGGTTCTCCCTTGAGAGATTCTGTCTTTTGATGTTTCTGATCAGCTGTCAACAGTTTGAGGACCCATCGAGCAGAAACCTTGTGCAATATCTGTCAGAATGAAATGCACTCGCTCCTGAGAGATGTCCACTAAGTTGACTATCTGTCGCTGTGTCACTCGTCAGTCGTCCATGACTATGTCCAGGATTCGCTGTACCATTTCAGGTGTTGAAGACACAACAGGTGGACCAGGACGGGGTTCATCATCAGTGCTTGATCGCCCACGTTTAAACTCTGCCACCCATCTTTTCACTGTTGCATATGACGGGGCATCTTCCCCTAGTATGGATAACATATCCTAATATATATGGCATTGGGTGTTAAGCCTTTCTTGTAAAGGTATCTGATAACAGCTCGCTTTTCCTGTTTCTCCATTTTAAGTCATCTCATAACCCCCCTTGCAGTCAATATTATACTAAACTAAATAATGTGTCCAATACAACAATCCTCCTGTGTATATCACTGTACTTGATCAGTCTATCACCACCACATAGGAATTCATCTGTACCACACTCCTTCAGAGGTAGGCTCACAACTTATCAATCGCCCCTCGTAATAACAACAAACCAGAAGCAGCCCCGTCCCTGATATTTTCTCAAAGCTGTAATATTGTACCACCATGTACTTCCAGTTAAAAAACATCATTTCCAAACCCTAAAATTAATCAATACAACTTCTAAAGATCCAACAATTTCATGGAACTGCTAATAAACTACTTACATCATCTATACATGTTCAAACATAATTAATATGTGTTTATCAAACTGTTTATATGCTAACAGTTTGTTATCTTCCCAAAAATAGTTCAGAATTGTTAAGCTACAAAGAAACTATTAAAGCTTGGTTGATTGTTCCTGAATAGTGTTCAGAGATTTATCAATGAATAATAGCCAACCTCACAGCCAAATACATAATTCAAGTCAATGACGTTCGAGTTAACAAGGCTTCACTGTACTACGAAGTATTTTCTTGAATACTGTTTGGAATAATTTTGGTTTCAAATCAAGTTTTCAGCAGTTTATGTTTCGGAATAGAGGGAATAAAATTGTTAACTCTACGAAAAGTGCTCCAGGAACATTACTCTACATCTAAAGGCGGCAGCTGCATATAGTTAGCACATTGGTGGCGTTGGCATACGATAGTCATATAACCATATGCTGCATAACCTACCAAAGTGGGAACTGTGAAAATTTGGACTGAGATACATGTTATGGACACGGATCGGTAATGGTCATCCCGTATAAAGTCCTTCATTACTGTTGCATAGTGCTACAAATATAAAACAGCAGTTTAGAAGTCAGAACATGTGAGACCATTAATTGCTAGATTTTCATCTTCACCTTCAGATATTTGAATTTCCCATTTCCCCCCTCGCCCACTTTTTGCTTCAATGATGGTGACATAAAAAACGAGCAATCAAAATATTATGGCCTTATTGGGAATTAAGTTAGAATGATCACAGTCAAAAAGATCTTGAGGAAAAGCTTTCTTGCTTTTTCTTGCCACTTTTGACCAATAACATTATCAAATTTCATCCTCATCTTTAAACAAGACAAATGTGTCATTTATTGGTGCACGGGAATGCAATTTGCTTTCATTTTTCCCTCAAGAATTTCCCCTCTTGTCCTGTGATCACTCTAGACGTGAAGCATATAGAGTTTTGAGATTTTCCATAGTCAGATCAAAATATTATGAAAAAATAATCAATTTGATGACATTTCCTGAAGTCGATAAAAAGAAGACTCCAATTTGAATGTTTACAAGAATCTCAGAACCCTCTGTGCTATTTCTTCCCTCTGGAAGGCAAAGATGTGGTGTGATGGGAGATATCACAATCATCCCTCACACTGAACCTACCAGACTGGGCACTGTAAACATTTGTACTGTTAACGACGTAACAGACACGTCGTGATCATGGTCGTCTTTGCAAAAGTCCTGAAGGAGTTGATCATACCGCTGTGGAGAGGCACAAAAGCATGTGACATCATCACAACCACTCTCAAAACTACCGACCCTCCACCAACTACCAGCAGCATAGCAACATGTTGGCAGCAAGCACTTAGGAACTACAGTGTAACACGAGGACACCTGTGTCAGTCATATACAGCAGTGTACAGCATGTACTAGCAGGGGTTGATCTAGGATTCCAAACTGAGTCCTCCTGGTAGGCAAATTGGGAAAACGAACTGTTTGATTGGTATTTTTTAAAAGTGGGTAGGTAACAGGAAAGACAAGATATTTTAATGTTGACAACGTCTTTATTCTAAGAGGTGCCACGTTTCGGTATAGATCCCTATACCGTCATCAAGCAAGAGTGACTCTTGCTTGACAACGGTATAAGGATCTATACCGAAACGTGGCAAGATGTTATTTTCCTTACTTCAGAGGTATGTTAACATTGCATGCAATATTGTAGGACCAAGCATTACATCATCTTCCTCTTTATTGGTCCTGTTATCATTGAAACAACCTGACCAAGCCATCACATTAGTTATCACCATGATAACTATAACAGCAGGAAGTGAGAAATATGTAATTTCAATTTGGGAAATTCAGCTGACATTTGCTGCAGACTTCGGGCCGAATTTCAGCCTCTGAACAGGTCTAGATAACCCCTGCTAGTCATGGTGAACATCACCTACTTAACTTTCATGTTACAAGGCAATGGAGTCTTTGGAATTTTCTGTTCATGTTTGCTACAAATTCTTTTGCAGTAAATGGTTTCAAATCACTATACTCTGTTAAATCTTCTATAACTGCTGTTAAAACAAGATGGAAATTATTGAGTTAAATCTTGTGTCAGATTGAACTACTCAGTCAGGATCAGCCTTCTACAACCTTCAAGCCATTTCAAAACAGTTGAACAGTGAAAGGCGTGAGCAATAATTCCAATCAATATTACAGCTGCAACCATGACCTGCAGATCATCATCAGACATCAGCAAACAGTAATCTACTGATGTACCTGGCCAGGCAGCTGTCTGTCCCAGTCGTCAGTGTATATATACTCACCGCCAAAAGAAACAAGAAACCATAGAAACAAATAGAGAAGTATGTACATTAAGAAGAGATATTTCCAATGTGTACCGTTTAATGACAAAACTTACAATCAGTCAAGTGTTACCACAGTGTCTTTATTCTTATCACGATATGCTGCACATGATTTCCAAACTTTACAAGCTAATCCTGTATGAGACAAATGGTGCATCTCGAGACATGGATCTATGATGTCACATGTGAGGCATTCACGAGCATCAGTTAAGGCAACATAACAGTATATTTGTTTGTGCATCGAACCAATCTAATATCTCTTGAATATGAGTAAGTCTTCACATATTAATCATCATGTATGGTATTCATGTTTCCTTTGGCGGTGACTATATATATCTCCTCCTAGTCTAGTCATGGCTCTTTATGTATGCCAGCCTCTCACTGAGTCAGTACACAGTGAGTGAGTGAGTGAGTGAGTTTGGTTTTACGCCGCTTTTAGCAATATTCCAGCAATATCACGGCGGGGGACACCAGAAATGGGCTTCACACATTGTACCCATGTCGGGATTCGAACCCGGGTCTTTGGCGTGACGAGCGAACGCTTTAACCACTAGGCTACCCGACCGCCCCGAGTCAGTACACAGAGGCAGGACACTCGGTGATTGGTCCAGTAGAAGTTGTGTATGGCAATAAGAAGCAATGTGTGGGAGTAACAACTTCTTCATTTAAGGACTGGATTTATAGGAAAACTGTGCAAAGTCTCAAGGGCCCCGATCCATAAAGGCATCTTAGCACTAAGGTGATCGTAACTCCCATGAACACTGGCTTACGATAGTCGTAGCACTAAGATCGGATTTGTGGAAGGATGTCCTGATCGAGGGAGCGTGTCCTGCTACAAGTCTGTAGTGATGCAGACAAGGCTCATCCTCCATCTCCAGGAAAACCTTACTTTTGTCTCGTTGAGACCGACTTGGCCTTTAGTTTGGCTCTCAAGGTCACTTGAAATAGAAATTGTGTTTGAGATGGCCATACTTGATAGTACTGTCTTGCAAAGAAGTCTGTGTGTTAAGTTGTAATGTGCCCCTTGTATACTGGAGGATTGAGGAATTATGAGGGTCCTGATGGGGGGCTCCCATAAGCAGTAAGTAGTAAAATTTAGGGTACTTTTTCATTAAGCAGTAATTTTTCTTCTTTTTCAATAAAATCGTCGCTGTATTATTTTTTGGTGGGTCCCCATATTTGTTTCACAAAAATGCCAAATGAATTTTTCAACAAATATTATAATATTATCACCAGGTTATTTTACCTTTCGTTTCATCCTGACAATTCATATTTTTAATACCGGGTAAAATCTCAAATCGCTAAACATTCTAGACTGGTCCCCTGCGTCAGTTGCGCAGCCTGCTTTCTGTGGCAAAGCATTTGGGTCTTGAAGACAGACTGTTTTTGACCATTTTAATCATTTTACGATAAGCAGTAAATTATTTATTTACTTTAAGCAGTTATTTTTTTGGTATTTTCCGTTAAGCATTTACGATAAAAAAAGATGAATTTTACGTTTACGATAGTGTTTGAAGGGTGTTTTACGTTAAGCATTAAAACCCATCAGGACCCTCAATTTTCTGAGCAACCTATTCTTAATGTTTGGTCTCTCAAGTTTGGACTTTTCAAGAGCTTGGAACATAGTGAATGAAGTGGTTGTTACCATGATTATGGTGTCAGAAATATCCCTGAGAGCTGAATGTACATAAGCATAGATACCAGAAACATGACATGACAACAAATAGCATTGTCATACATATTTCATCTCTTACATGAGACATGTTGAAGATGAAGAAAATAAACAGTTCAACATAAAATTCACAATGCCTTTCAGAAAGTAGTCAAATGTAACACATTGTATTTGGAATTACACTTTCTTTGTAAAGTACAAATTCTGGTACTTTTAGGTGGGAGAAGTAGCATCCAGGATTCGAACCCACACTCTCAGGGTGAGGCACCTAATCGCCAGCACACAAAGTCAGGAATCTAACCCACTCAGCCACCAAGGCTTCCACACAAGTGCATGCCCCAACAACTGGCAGTCTAGATCACATACCTTGTGTACCACTCTGGTAAGTGTAAATTGGCAATGGCTCCCAGGGCTGGAAGCTATGAATAGTGCAAGCCCCAACAACTGGCAGTCTAGATCACATACCTTGTGTACCACTCTGGTAAGTGTAAATTGGCAATGGCTCCCAGGGCTGGAAGCTATGAATAGTGCAAGCCCCAACAACTGGCAGTCTAGATCACATACCTTGTGTACCACTCTGGTAAGTGTAAATTGGCAATGGCTCCCAGGGCTGGAAGCTATGAATAGTGCAAGCCCCAACAACTGGCAGTCTAAATCACATACCTTGTGTACCACTCTGGTAAGTGTAAATTGGCAATGGCTCCCAGGGCTGGAAGCTATGAATAGTGCAAGCCCCAACAACTGGCAGTCTAGATCACATACCTTGTGTACCACTCTGGTAAGTGTAAATTGGCAATGGTTCCCAGGGCTGGAAGCTACGACTAGCGGAAGCCCCAACAACTGGCAGTCTAGATCACATACCTTGTGTACCACTCTGGTAAGTGTAAATTGGCAATGGCTCCCAGGGCTGGAAGCTACGACAAGTGCAAGCCCCAATAACTGGCAGTCTAGATCACATACCTTGTGTACCACTCTGGTAAGTGTAAATTGGCAATGGCTCCCAGGGCTGGAAGCTATGACTAGTGCAAGCCCCAACAACTGGCAGTCTAGATCACAAACCTTGTGTACCACTCTGGTAAGTGTAAATTGGCAATGGCTCCCAGGGCTGGAAGCTACGACTAGTGCAAGCCTTGAATGCGTAAGGTCGCCGACATTGTGTGCCGGCGATTAGGTACCCCACTCTTAGAGTGTGGCTTCCAATCCTGGATAAGACTCCAACCAAAAGGTTCTTGAATAGATGAGCTGTTTTAACTTCATAGCAGTGACAAAATACTAACTATTATAACAGCGACCTTGATAAAGAATAATTGCCTCCAATATGAGTGTTAGAACTTACCTTAGTAAAAATGCCTGCAAACAGTTTCTTGCACTCTTGGTCCATGAGAGCTCTGAAATAAAGGGACAGAACTCTGATGTTAACACTTTGGGATGTAAAGCAATTTACTTCAGCTGCATTGAACAGAATGTATGTACTTGTCTTTTAAGCACTGAATACTGACACATCACTGACATAAAAGACAATATCATCTGATGCAGACTACCATTTGACTAAGTCTATCTACATTCATGCAAATATTTAGCAATGTCTATGATCTGAAGCCAGATATGAAGAGCTGAAGCCAAGGCTAATGACTTTATTCTGCAGCATTAAAATAAACCATAGTTTCTGTATTAATTCTGTGTTGGCGTTCACATAATGTCCAATACATATTTTCTTGACCTTGTGATTTTCAGATGCACTGTGCATATAAAACAATAAAATTATGTTCTTCTCATAACACTTGAAATTCCAAAATAAGTGTTTGTATAAAATGCCATTATTTGGTTCATCTAAACATGCTAATTCCATCATGTCTATCACAAGAAATTTCAAATTAAATACCTGTTCTAAATATATACTACTCAAAAGAAGTTTTATTCAGAAGTCATATTACTATAGTTAATCTGTCATGGCAATAGCTACATGAACGAATCAGGTGGTCCTTAACTTCTTTTGAGTAGCATATAACAAAGCTTTAATTTTGGTACTGTCAACAGAACTGTTCTAGTTTTCATGGAACCTTCAACTGACATTACAAGCTAAGTGACAGGCCGTGCCGTCCTACAGTCAAGCATTGGTTAGTACATACCCAGCCATAAGCAACTGATGGCTCTGTACTCGAGCAACTGAAAATACAAACACACATATGTTGAGTCACCGTCCATGATCCAGGTCACATACATTAGTAGCTAGGGATATTGTGGACTACACGGATGCTTAACACTTGAGTGAATTCACATCACACAGCATTCACTGGAATGCTGGCTGGAGAACTTCGCACACATCTCCACAGAGTCATTTATCTAGGATGCTCAACTAACTGCCGCTGCCAGTGACAGGCAAATTAGCAAATGGAGAATTTTAAAGTTCTAATTTTCTTAAATACTAACATTGTACTTTGAGACTGCATTCAATGCAATAATATTAAACTAAGCATTAAAACCTCTGCCTCTAAATTGGTGCTGTTATCAGTTAAATACGGCTTACATCTTAATAAGTCGCAAAGAACAACGACGAATAAGGTAAGGTTTATGTCACAATAAAACTTCTATCATGACATAATTTCTGGGGATTCGGACGTACACTTCCCACTTGATGACGTCGTAAATTGGACAACATTATTCTTGAGGGGGTAGTGACTTGTTCCCCTTAGATATAGCCAGGCAACGAAATGGCTGAATGATCGCACCCAAAAGTGGGTGAGATGTGGCAATCGTTTTTGGGAGAAAAGGTTCCAAAAATTGACATGAGGATTGAGAAAATGCAGGAAATACCAAAGTTACCCCCATGTGCATAAAATAGACTTGTCTAACATGGCTGTGATCGGATGGTATTCAGGGAGTCAATATTTTAACATGGGAAACTTTGTTTAAAGCCTGTAGATTCTAAATAATGTTGATATCTCATATAAAAAATAAACGACTCGTGGACATTGTTTATAATACAATAAACACTGCAAAGTGAATAAACCACTCGGGGCTGCACTCATTTGTTTCTTAAATATATTGACAAAAATATGGAAATCTTAAATTCCAATTTGGGAATTTTTAATGACATTTGCTGCAGACTTGGGGCTGAATATCAGCCTATAAGCAGGTCGAGATAAACCCCTGAAACATGCTGGTAACTCAACTCTGGAGTGATATATTTCACTGAGAACTGAGGTTCACTGTGATGAGAATGGGGTTTAACATCCCATTAAAGATGATTGCTCTTAAAAATAGCAATGCACATGCACCTGTGTGTTGATGGTGTGTGGCTGCATGTACTAGTCCAGACTCTGGCCAGTTTTATAGTGCTAGTCCACCGAGACACCATACCAAAGTTTAACATGAAGACCCCACTCAGACACCCCTGCCCAGCCAGGTAACAACATATACCATTTTTAACGTCTATTGGTGTCACGTGGCCGGGGATTGAACCCCTGACCTTCTGCTCCCTGGCAGACGCTCTACAAGACCATGGATCATTAAAAACTTTCTAAAAACTGAGCTTTTGTGTAAAAGCGACTATGCTTGTCCTAAGAGGTGACGCACGGGATCGGGTGGTCAGGCTCGCTGACTTGGTTGATGCATGTCATTGTATCCCAATTGCGTAGATCAATGCTCATGATGTCAATCACTGGATTGTCTGATTCAGCCGTCATATTGCTGAGTGCGGCGTTACAACAAACAAACCAAAAGGTTGCATCAAGGCATGTCAGCTTGATGTGGTTTGAAAGCCCGAAGTAACTTAGATCGTAGGCACTGTTCACCTTAGCATGTCTGGGAGAACCAATGAGTAAACAGGTGGTGTTAAAAGATCAAGGTCCTTCATTTGAGTGAATCGGGGATTCAAACCCAGGACCAGCAGATCGTGGGACATTAGGAACAGAATACCGCACCTTAGACCACAAGACCAAGTATAGTTATACTTAGCAATAAGTAAAATATTTTGGTGACCTCTCATCGTGGTCGTGGTCGTGGTCGTGGTCGTGGTCACTCCAGCCCAGAGTAGAACCAGTGACCAATAGTGCTTGCTGATAAAACCAATTAAGATAAGGATCAGATGGTAACAATTTGGCAGTTTGTTACAGAACAGATTGTGTGTCATCATACCTCAGTCACATTAGTCACTAGTCCGAAGCCCAAAATTCTGATTGGTCAAGTAAATTACAGTTATTACCACCTCACGGAGATACAGCTGATATATTAGAGGCTGGGGCACAATACATCACTGACTGGCTGCCTGAGTAATCTGCAGGGGACACTGACCTTTCCACAGCTGTGTGTCTGCCAGGAGAACCCGCTCCATGAGTGACAGGGGAGCATCCTCGTCTTCTACCTCCATCGAGCTGGCACTGGACCGTTTCGGCACCTGCATCGACAGCATGCAGAACAACCGCCGCAAACCGTCTGGAAGTATAGGTAATCCTGTCACATTTGGTCATTTCATAATTAACACAAACCCTGCCACTGTACATACTGTAGATCTATCTCTCAAAATCTCTGCTTTACGTTATGATATAATCAGTCTCTTTGATTTTGAAATGACACAGTTACTCTAAAGAGCTCATTACAATATTTCTTTATGGTCAAAATCCTCAAACATGAATTCACTCACACTGAAGCAAAATGAGTCAAAAACTGTGTTTACGTCAAGTCACCATGGTCAGCATCAAAGAAAATTAATCAATCAACATTTTCTTAGAAAGATCTTGTTTTGACATTTTTTACAACAAAGAATCCTTACATTTTTTTAAAACATCTTACATAATTCCAGGTAAAACGAGTAAATCTGTAAAATGATTAAAACCATAATCAATCATTAACGAGTTGCCACATAATGATGACTGACTGAGATATTGTAGTTACTAGTAGACACCAGTCACTTCATGAGAAGAGTCTCACCTGACTTGGAGATGATGTTCTGCAGCCACTGAATCATCTTCATGGCAAAGTTCTGGTGGGCTACAACTGAGTTGTGCATCACCAGCACCTTGAGGGGCTTGCTCCCGTGACGTGAGGTGTTCCGCTGTCAACAGACGCGAGTTTTAGATGGCAGGGATAGACACGGACACAGTTCCTTGACCATATAGAGGGGCTAGTTGTTCCCCTTACAATCTAGTCATATGCCATAAGCTGCTGGTCCAAAATGACCTGTGGACTAGTCAGATATGACCAATAGTGTCTACCCCTGACTGCGGCATACCCAGCAATGGCATTAGGGCTGTAACGATTCACCAATACCTGCGATATCATCGATACTTAGTTACATATGATACTTTAATCATCAGTTTGAGAGAACGTGATACGTTATATATAGAACAGGAACTGATAGCGTTACCTCCTATAATGGCAGAAGTGGCATAGCACCACCTGTTAGCATGGCAGAACACAAGGACGTGGTATCTGACGAACTGTTACATTTAATAACCATCCCTTCATTTTAAACTGTTTTGTTCTTGTGGTTTTCTTGATAGTTTTTGAGATAGTAATAAATAAATGTATGAAGAAAGAGGTTTTAGAGCTGTATTTCAGTGATTTTATCATTTCTGACTATTTGATGTGGTGTATCATGATACCAGTAGTATCATAAGTCAGTATCAGATACGAATCGTTTTGCACGATACCAGGCGATACTCAGCTCCAAATGACATACTGGTGGAATGTTACACAGTCAAGATGCAGCTTCTATATGAAAGCAAAACATCAATACTTAACTTTTATGTCTTGAGATTAGTTTTATTCTAATAGATGTGAGGTGACATGGGGTTTGTGTGTGGCTGCTTATGAGTCCGGACTAACACCAGTTTTATAGTGCTGAGATACCATGTCGCAGTTTAACATGAATGCCCCACCCATAGACAGTATACTGACTCCGACCCAACCAGTCCTTGTTTTAGCCCATTGACATGAATAATGCCGAGCGGCAGGTAAGGAAACAACATATTCTAATAGACATGACAGAGGTTAACTGAACAATCCACTTAAATTCTGTAATCTCACCTGAATGATTTCCTTGGCTCTATCACATTCTGCCTTAGTTCCAGTCCGGACATTGCTTCTTCCCTACGATGATAAATTATTTACATAAATATCCTAAAATGACTTCCAAATATTATGCTATTGATTTAAATGCTTCAAACAAAATAACCAGTTATTTGGATATTTCAAACAATGTTCCGATTTACACAGAAATACAGGTACATTCACTGACGTTAACTTCCTAGTAAGTATTAAAGCCACTGATGAAGCTTACCTCTCGGTCTACAATGGTGGCAAAGTCTATAGCTTGTCTCGGGGTACAGTCAATGGCTCTCTGGAGGGTTGTGATAACCTGAATAAGCAAAATGAATTATTAGGGTAAAAATATAGTTCATACATATGAACTACTCATTGCTTATCTCTTCTCATTCCTGAAACTTTCTGTGCTGTGTTCTGACATCTCCCCCCAAACGCATCCCTCTCACACGCAGGTGCACCGGAACCACGTGACTGCACCGCCTGACTCACTCTGGGTCGGTGGTTGTTGGGCAGTAACCAAGTCACATGATTGTGGGTGAATGTACCTCTAATCTACTGGTGGGTATCTTTAGTGCTTCTACGAGTGGACCAAGTTGGTGAATGCCAGCAACATCTGCTGTGGCGATATTTCTGAGGAAAAGATTTGCAAAGACGGAAACCGATCTCCAAAAACATCCCTCCATAATGGCTGGGATAGAGCAGTTCCCGTGTAGGGCTGGAGTCGATGCTATAGCTCTGACTTTGAGCGGGTTAGACACTGAAGGTGGGTCCAATCTGCTGCCCTGTAAGTATAACTGCTCTCATCCAGGAGATTGTTGTCCTGGAGACTTTTGAAGAACCTCCCGGGATGTGTCTTGCTTTGATCTGACTATTTGTTAATTCGTACATCTGAAAAGTTAACCTCAGAAGGGTTGCTGACTGTGTTGTGCCTTGGAGGTTTATGGAGGAGGCCACAGTTGAGTTGTCTGTTCTGATCATCAGATATTTGTCTCTCAACTGTAATGCCCAATGAGATATTGCCCAGGTTACAGCCTGGAACACTAGGTGGTTGATGTGGAAGAGATTTTCTTCTGTGGACCACACCCCTGATGCTACTTCTGAGTCAAGGTGGGCACCCAAGCCTTGTCGTGAGGCGTCTACAAGTAGGTGTTGATTATATTCCGGCTCGTTCAAATAGGTTTCTCCACAGACATTCGACTTGATTGTCCACCATTGGAGATGTTTCTTCAGGCTTGGAAGTGGAGGTCTGAGTTCTTGATCGTCCAAGAACGGTTTGAGAAACCTTTGGATGGGATGCTGATCAAGTCTGCCCCGTACTGTCAAAGCTTGGGAGGAAGTGAGCCGACCTAAGATCACTTGCCATTAGTTGACAGAAATCTGTTTGTGAATAGCTTCTGGAAGATAGTCTTGGATTTTGATCCAACAATCCTCTGGAACTGGAATAAGACTTTGCCCCATAAGGAACCTGATCCCAAAGACCTTGAGATTGATTAACCATCCTAGATGGATTACATCCTAGATAGGTTAACAATTTCAGAGTGAAGTTCAGTTGGAGTGTGAGTTGCTGTTTGTTGATGAGCTTGAATCCCATCGTCCAGGTAGAAGGCGGAACAGATCCCCTTGTCGTTCAGAAAGGCCACAATTTGGTCACCCCTGTAAATAACCACAAAGCAGTAGAAATTCAAAAGTGCAGGACTGTCCATTGGTAATGTTGACCTTTGTAAAGGACAAGTAGATATTTCCTGAAGGCTGGATGAATGGGGAAGTGAAGATCAGCATCTTGAAGATAGATGCTTATAAGATATTCATTTTGTCTGATCATTTGCTTTAGTTGTGGTAGGTGGATCATTCTGAACTTGTCTAGCTTAGTCATTCATCAGCTCCCCTTCATCATTCGGCATGGAATCCTCTGGATCCTCGGCCTCGACTGAACAGAGCACTATGTAGGCTGAAGTCTTGCCTTCTCGGTAGCCGTGGTTCGCTTGTCTTTAGCTTTCTGTATACCAGAGAAGCGGCTTTTGAACATCTTCTGCATAGTTTGCCTGTACATTGAGTTCATAGTTTGAACAGATTTGATGATCATTTGGACCTTTGAGTCCTGAACCACTACTTTGTTAAAGATGTGAATGCCGCCATCAATGATGGAAGAAGAGTACCATCATTGTCGCAGAAGAGTCTTTGTATAAAGATCAGACAAATGAGAATTGGCTATAAAGTCCGGCTGTGATGGAACTAGCGTGATCAGAATCAAACTCTTGATTCTTCTTTTGTGTGATCTTCACTGATAGAAACATCTTTTCCCAGGCAGCCTGGGGATTCTTTAGGGCTGCAAACATGGCTTCATTAATGGAGCATGACATGCTATGGCCAAATAAGGAACGTCTGGTAGTGGTATCCGGCTGAGCTAGCTTCTTGTCAACAAGATAACTCTTAATAACCTTGGCAAAGGAAGCATCCCAATTTTATGTTAGCTGAGAAATTGTCTTAATCGGAGGGATGGTCAAGGTATCAAGGTCTTTTCCTTTGATACAATCAGTATTGCTGGAAGGTGAAGAAATGGGAAGTCCCACGTCAACCCAAGCCAACAATCCATGGTCTACATACATGGAAGGGAATTCTTCTGATTGTGGTGACTCCTGTTCATAGTCCGGCTAAAAACACTCCTCTTGGAGGTGAGAAGCATTGGCGTTAGGTACCTGCCAGGGATGGATAATGCAACTGGAGATTTCTTCTTAGATTTTGTAATGCCCTGCAGTAGTGAGTCGACATTCTTGCTGCCCAGAGAAGAAATCTGCACTAGGATGAGAGGAGTAGTCTATGTAGAACGGAGTTCAAGCAGCACTTCCTCTGACGTGTCAAACCCCATCCCTTCATCTGAAGGAAGCGATGGTGTTATCTGATGCTCTTCTGTCTCCTTCTTTGAAGTTGTCTGTGATGATGATAAAGTTGATCGTGAAGAGTCCCTTCTCTTTCCGTCAATCTTCTTCCTCTGCACTGCTTAAAGATACTGTGCAAATTCCTCCTTCTCAAGAGAAGAGCAAAACTAACCTACAGTGGTGAGTACCGTGGTGAGGAGAACATGTGGAGCAGACAGGGTGAGGATCACGATCTGAGATACCATGATGACTAGTGAATGTGATGAGTCAGACTGTGTGGTCACATGGTTCCGGTTCTCTTGTGCATGAAAGGGGTGTGTTTGGGTGAGGTGTTTTTCTGTTCTCTGGGAACACAGGAGAGGAAGTTTCCACTACCTTTTGGAGATAAGCAATCAGTAGAGTCAGGTTAAGGTGGAATCTGTAGTGTTTGAAGCTAATTCGCTAATATTACCGTGATAACATAAAGCCAGACTTTTTGTTTTGTCTGTTGGTAGGGGGAAAAAGAATTCAAGTTAAAACAGTTTTTATTATTTTTATATCTGACTTCTACCGATATGTGCAATGTTATAATCTCTGTCACAAGCCACAACATCGGCTTGCTATCGCCTTTTCACAAATGCAATTACTAATACACTCCAGTGGTGTCGACTGGTCAAAAATCTAAATCTCACCTGATCGTACGTATGAACCTCGTCATTGAACAGCATGCAGTGATACAGGTTACTGTCCACGGAGTCCTCTGCCTCCAACCCCTCGGGCAGGCTGACCGTCTCTTCCCAGGTGAGCATGTCCACACAGTAGGTCAGTGTGGCCAGAAACAGGGCACTACCGCGGTCAGTCAGCTCGGACGGGAGCAGGTCAATAGGGTTCTACATGGACACAAAATTATTCACAGATTAATGAAATATTAAATGAATTGGCAAGTTTTTGGGTGTATCACAGTGGAAATATGATTTAAAGTTCTGTGTTCTGTGTTGTAGCGCGAAGGTGATCGTAAATCCAATACTTTAACAAAGACTTATGACTGTCGTTGCGCTACGATCGCTATGTGGAACTGGGTCCTGGTCAGACATAACATGAAAACAAGACTAATTTTTTTACTTTTCTATTTCAATCGATCACATTTTGTCCACATGTTGATAATAGCTTTAACGCTGTCATTTGGAATATGACATTAAATAGATACTTCTACTTAACATATCGCCTATGTGTTTAAGAGTCTGAACAAATCAGCACCATAATAGGTTTCAAACTGGTTCATTCTCTTAGATATTGACTGATTATTCTCCAAAGTGTTTTTTTCAAATTTGGTAATGATATAGTAGAATATCCTATTAAATGTTGATGAAATCATATGTATGTCCTAAAGCCATTTGCCTTCAGCTGAATCACTGTAGTATATAACATGTATGAGACATCCTGTTGTTGCTCTCGTGGAAAGATTGAGATATTGAGAGGAGTTGCAATCACCTGCTGATGGCTCTGGTCTAGAGAGGACCTGTGTATACTACAGTAGGGCTCCATCTTCCACGCCTCCACGTCCCCACAGTCACAGTACCCGTTGCCCCCCGACGTGTGCATCTGCAATACCAAGCATCACACGTTGTGGAAGAATGCATGCTAATGTGAGTATACTCACGTCTCAGACACGAACCTCATCTTACCTGACCTGCATTTTCTAAATCTTGCTCTTTTCATAAATATATATGGAACAATGACTTCTTTACATGAAGTAGTTATTGGTAGGGATGGATAGCTGCGGTTTACAGTGTTTCACAATATTTTGTGATGTACAAGGCAGCATTACGATACGTATCACGATATATTGTATGATTCTAAATATAAATTCAGAAGGGCACTCACGACAGACTGCAATATTTGGTTTATCAAAGGTGTCATCTGTTTGTTTGAGACCAAAGTGCTTCCACATTTCGGCTTTACCTTTCACATTTGAAACAACTGACCACACCACAACGGGGACCCCTGATGATGATGATGGAGGTGGGCGAATGGGCATGCTCATAAGGGGGGTAACTGGGAACAAGCATGAAATACACGTATCCCCTGCCAATATGACATGCCTGGTTGTGTGCAAGGCATTAGCCTTCTGGAAATGAGCACTACCGCCATTTTCAGTTTAAATCAAAGTCGTTGCTAAGGAAACTCAAAAAGTATTTTTTTTAAATATCCCAACCTATCAAAAGGCACCAGCTTACCACTAGACCTATCTTTGTGCCAAGTTTGGTGAAATATTATACAGTTTTCAAGATCTGCTCTGGATAGGAGCACAATCACCATTTTCAATCTAAGTCAAAGTTGTTGCCATGGAAGCTCGAAAAATAATTTTTTTAAAAATCTGTAACTATCAAAAGGCACCAGTTCACCACTAGACCTATCTGGGTCATTCTCAAAAAATGTCAGAATTTCAACTAAGCAAAAACATCAAAATTGTCTTTTGTAAAATTCCTTTTTTAATGACTCAGTACACAAAGTAACTTCTGAATAATAATGTTAAGCAAAATGACACCTTAATAATCAATGATGTCCTAATTATGATAATGAAAAATTTGTCTGTCCTGTTACCATGTTAACAATTATATTTTCTGTAACAATATTTTTCAAAGTTCAACACAAATCATGTCAGTTCTTGTTTTTAAATGTATTGTTTAATATTTCAATGAGTACAATTAAAAAGAGATTGGATACATTATTTTATGGACAGATTTGTCCAGCATTTAAGTCAAATGAAAACATTTGAATTCATTCAAATCCAATATGACAAACATACCCTGATTATTGCATCATATATTTGACACATATGCTTCATTAGATGATATATGTTTGAATTCAAATATGTTCTTCTGAAAAATAAAAATAAATAATCAGTATATTTCTATTTTAAGTGCTGGTAACAGGACAGACAACGTAGTAACAGGACGGACAATTGAAAGTAACAGGATGGACTATCGGCTTTGATTGCAGATAACTATAACGTTCAGGAGTTTCAAGATTTTGAAATATCTGACAAATACGAAAAAAGTATGTGCAATTGATTACACCTGAACATATAAGGTGTAATTAACTGAATATTCTTGTATGTAATCTGAACTATAGAAACCGGTCGGTAACAGGACGGACAATTGAAAGTAACAGGACGGACAAACTTATGTTTGCAGTCAACTATCCTGTTCAGAAGTTCAAAGTTTTGAACTCTGACAAATAAGAAAATGTTTTGCTTAATTAACAGTATCTGATCATATGGATGTTATTAACTGAATGTTCTTCTATGTAATCTGAATGTAGGATACTGGTAGGTAACAGCACAGACGGAAGTAACGCCAAAGACAATAACTTTTGCATTTTGGGTTAATCCCTAGAATTACAAAGAATTTAAATTGATTTAAACTTACACTAAATAGTCATGTGACAGTTTTTGTCATGAAGCAACTACACAATAACCAACTTTATCCATGTCAAACATCAACATAATCTGGAGAAAAAAAACTTGTCAGAAGATTTCCTGTTGAAGCTGTATTCTTTTGCAATTGTATTCGCAAATACTCAAATAAACGGTCTGAAAAGGTGAATTATAGTTTCCTTAAAAGTACAATTCACTTGTATCTATGATTATTTGATTAGTGCCAGAATTAAATGGTGCCTTTCATTCACCCAGAAACCACAGGTTGTTTATTGTTTCTGTTTTATCATATCTGTAATAGCTTCCCAGTAAATGTTTTCAACACTGAAGTGGGAAGCAGTGCCTTCAATCTTCTTTCGTTCAGGAATGATGGTAATAATGTCCTCGTGCTTGTACCAGCATTTGTCAAGCAGGAGTCTTGGCCAAAAGAATCATTTTTTATCCCATTTTTTGCCGGCTTGTGCATGCATTCCACATATATATCATAGGTAGAAACATCTATGTATCCAGGATATGGAAAACCATCATATAACAAAACCACACATTTTCCAAGACACTCTTCTGTATCATCTGGAACGGATAGTAAAATGTCACTCTCACTTTTCTCAACCTCACCCTTCTCCACCACACCATCTGTCCTCTCTCCACCTTTCACAACCTCACCCTTTTCCACCACACCACCTGTCTTCTCCACCCTTCTGTTGTTTTTTCATCAGATAACTATCTTCAACAAAGTAGTCTATTTTTTTTATGTATATATGTTTTCTTCTAAACTGTGATAAATTTGAAAACATATCTCTTAATGTTTCATAAAATTAGAATATTTAGTGATTGGATGAGAAACGTTAGATAAAGATGACCAAATGTCTGTGCTGTTACTTTTAAGTCTTAACCATTTTTTTTTATTTAGCTTGGAAGATTTGTTCAGCCATAGCCTCTTGAATGCCTGTGTTATTACAAAAGAATTATTTGTGTTAATATGGTAATTATATTATTGATTGGTTATACTAGGAAAGACAGTTTAAGGTGATGATAAGTCTGTGCTGTTACCACGGAATGTCTGTGCTGTTACTTTTTCATCAGATAACTATCTTCAACAAAGTAGTCTATTTTTTACGTATATGTTTTCTTCTAAACTGTGATAAATTTGAAAACATATGTCTTAATGTTTCATAAAATTTGAATATTGAGTGATTGGACAAGAATAGTTAGATAAAGCTGACCAAATGTCTGTGCTGTTACCAATATTTGTCTCTGCTGTTACTTTTAAGTCTTGAGCAACTTGTTTTTATTCAGCTTGGAAGATTTGTACAACTATAGCCTCTTGAATGTCTGTGTTATTTCAAAAGGAATTATTTGAGTTATTATGGTAATTATATTATTGATTGGTTAAACAAGGAAAGACAGTTTAAGATGATGATAAGTCTGTGCTGTTACCACAGAATGTCTGTCCTGTTACATGTTTGAAGGTAACAGCACAGACAGTAACAGCATAGACAAATTGACATTAATTACACTTTTTTTGAATGAGACCTCCCTTGAAATGTTGAGACCACATGGCATTGTGAACAGTTCATTTTTTCTAATATTCTGAAAAAATGGTTTCAGAAAAAAATATTTGTTTTGGCAAAAATGAGCAGTAACAGCACAGACATAAGAAAAGAGTATTCATGATAGGAATAAATTTCCCTGTCAAGCAGAATTATCCAAAGTCTTCTCTCACTTGAAGGACACTGCTGCCATGATAGTACAGGAAGTAAGCTGTAATTCTGTTATTTTGAATTATGGGAATCTTGAAGGATTATTTATTTTTCAGTTTTGATCCATCCTGGTAACAGGACAGACACTTTTTTATGTACAAGTGTTTCTTACCAAAAACCAATATAAATAAAAGAGTGTATCTTCAAAAGATAAGTTTATATCATGAGTTAGAAAGGTAATGTACAATATATAAACATTATTTACATAATATTTTTTATTTTTAGCAACATTAAACAATGTTGATGTGCAAACATAGGGTTACGGACACACCCTTCAGCTCAATTTAACCGCAATTAAGCAGTTTTAATTAAAATAAAATACCTAATAAGAAATACTGAAACTTAACTTTCAGACACCATGGTATGTTCTACGAAAAACACTTGTGTTTAAACATATCTAAAATAAATATTTTAATTGTTATTCAACTCGGACTAAAAAACTCACTTTTTTTGAGAATGACCCATCTATGTGCCAAGTTTAGTTAAGATATCTCACAAGGTTTTTGACTTCTGCTCTGGAAACGAAATGTGACGGACGAACACGCGGATTGAAGGCCAGAAAGACGGAAAGCCGGAAGGCTGGACAGACAGCACCCATTCCTATATCCTCCTTCCACTTTGTGGCAGGGAATAATTAATTCTATCTTTGGAACTTGCATTTTGGAATTATGGACATATTTCGAAGGTATTGGGCAAGTGTATAACATTAAAAATTGCTATTTGAAATCACCCGATATAACGCGCATAAACGATGATATAGTGATACGTATCGTGGAAAGAATGAACTTTAATTTACCGGTAATACTTTGCACTCTTAGTTATTAGGCTAATTCCACATGTTGAAAGGGGTATGGCAGTACAACAGACATGGTTATTGTGAACATGGATATAGTAATAGGACATTGATAACAATTACTTCCCGATTCAAAATTCGCAAACTATTTCTGCATGTTTACAAGCACTGACTATTTTAAAAGTAATTAACAGTTTCAATTTAATGCTTGAATATTGTACTGCACAAAGATAATCAGTGCTTCAAGTACTGGAACTGAGACCACTTAGTTCAAATGGACTTACTCTGTATCTATGCTGCCTATGAACGCTGTTCTGGAAACAGTCAATACACAGTACACATGTCGGATCATTGGCACAGTCCCTGAAAGAAGACATGTAACGGGTCAGACATCAGTTGACAACTTGGAAATGTTCGTTTATTTGTTAATGCCACAATCAGCAACAGGGTTTTATGCGACACACATCAAATGTAGAGAACTGATGTAGAGAAACAAAGATACTGCGTCCCCAGGGACGCACAATAATATTCATTGTACCAAAAGCGCATCAAGAGCAGTGTTTGGTGTCTGGTATTTCATACATCAAACATGAATTGTCCATATGATTATTGATTCATTGCAGAAAGTAATTAAACGTACAGTATACTACCAGGGCTGGGACGGGTAACTCGGGTACCCGGGTTGGGTGGGTACTGAGTAGGACCCGGGTACCCACAGGACTACCCGGACCCGTGGTTAGTCATGTGATATATTGTTTAATGACAAAAATTATCTAGAACTCTATGGTTACACTACAAGTCACTAATGTTCGGATTTCTTTCTGACTATGCACCCATTCCTTCTAACTCTTCATATGGTTGAATAAAGATATAACTTAATTCAGCTTCAGTGTATGTATGACCAGATTGTTTAATACATATATCCAAATACGTTTTGCCAGGGCTGTGCTAAAAAATGTTCCCAATCGGACAATTTGGGACATCGCCTGAGACCTACTGTGAGTACCCGGGTAGGGTCGGGTAATAGGGGGGAGGGTACCCAGGTACCGGTAGTAAATTTGGACTCGTCCCAGTCCTAGTCGATATTCAGACAAGATAAATCTGTTTAACTAGCATGCTTTGCTTTGAAGATTCTCTAGAAAGATATAAGACGAATTGTTTGGAATGATTATGTTTGTTATTGCAAGAAAGCAATCAGACATGCAACTGGACAGGCACATCAGTCGGCCGTATGATCTGCGAGTGAGTATGGTTTTAGGCCACTTTTAGCAATATTCCAGCAATATCACAGCGGGGGACACCAGAAATGAGCTTCAAACATTGCACCCATGTCGGGACTCAAACCTAGGTCTTTGGCGTGACTAGCAAACTCTTTAACCACTAGGCTACCCCACCGCCCCCGTATGATCTGTAGGTCGGGCACTTCAATGTGGTCGATATTAGGGCTGGGTACCCGGGTTGGGTGGGTATTGAGTAGGGCCCGGATACCCACAGGACTACCCGGACCCATGGTTAGTCATGTGATATATTGTTAATGACAAAAATTATCAAGTACTCTATGGTTACACTACAAGTCATTAATGTTCACATTTCTTTCTGACTATGCACCCATTCCTTCTGATTCTTCATATGGTTGAATAAAGATATAACCTAAGTCAATTTCAGTGTATGTATGACCAGATTGTTTAATACATGTACCTAAATACGTTTTGCAAGTGCTGTGTTAAAAAAATATATTCCCAATTGGACATTTTGTATTTCTTGAGACATACAGTGGGTACCCGGGTAGGGTCAGGTAATAGGGTGGTGGGTAACCGGGGAGTAAATTTGGAGTCCTATATACTACACCATTCCATTACTCTACAGGGCCCTGATATTGCCCGCAAGGACCCTTAAAATTTAATTTGCAAGGAAACCCCCCCCCCCTTATTAAGGGTTAGAACTAAACTCAAAAGTTTTACTAGCCCAGGTAAAGGCAAACTGCCTTTGCAATGTCAAAACAATGGGGAAATTGGGAAGTACAAGCCCCAGGTTTGTGGGTGTCAAGTTCTAACCCTGTTAATCACCTAGTGTCATGTTCTAACCCTGTTAATCACCTAGTGTCAAGTTCTAACCCTGTTAATCACCTTCCTGAATGATATAATCACCTACCATGATTCAGTACTTAGTATTGAGAATTAAGCATTATGATCAGATCTGATTATGGATAGGATACAGCAGTAAGTCCAGATTAATTGCCATTAATAAATTTACTAGGACTTGGCATATTGGAAATCTAGACTATGGAAGCCTGCAAGGAATTTGTTGAGTGCAGTGTGAAAACAACTCATCCTGACTTCAACAACATTAGATTTTGGTTCAGGTACAAAGGTACCTGTGCTGAAAATGAACCCAACAGCACAGACTGCCAGCCACAAGGATGACTTGACAACACACCTGCAAGAGTAGGTTGGTTCTCCTGATTTGAAGACATGGCCACATATCTGAGAAGGTTGGTTTTTGGCCTTGAGTTGTTGTAGGACACTTTCCGAGTCGGCTGTTCCACAGAGGAACTCCTCCATAGGCCGGAACAGGTACTTGCTGCCCATCTGCTCCTCCTTGCTGGAGTCATGGCTGGTGGAGTACACAAGCGGCACGTACACACGGAAGTGCTTCTTCAGCCCCTCCAGGAGCTCGCCCTTCTCACAACATGCCCACCACACCTGAATATGGAGAAAACAGATTTCAGCATACACACAACACCGTCACGCCCACCACACCTGAATATGGAGAAAACAGATTTCAGCATACACACAACACCATCACGCCCACCACACCTGAATATGGAGAAAACAGATTTCAGCATACACACAACACTGTCACGCCCACCACACCTGAATATGGAGAAAACAGATTTCAGCATACACACAACACTGTCACGCCCACCACACCTGAATATGGAGAAAACAGATTTCAGCATACACACAACACTGTCACGCCCACCACACCTGAATATGGAGAAAACAGATTTCAGCATACACACAACACCGTCACGCCCACCACACCTGAATAAGGAGAAAACAGATTTCAGCATACACACAACACTGTCACGCCCACCACACCTGAATATGGAGAAAACAGATTTCAGCATACACACAACACTGTCACGCCCACCACACCTGAATATGGAGAAAACAGATTTCAGCATACACACAACACCGTCACGCCCACCACACCTGAATATGGAGAAAACAGATTTCAGCATACACACAACACTGTCACGCATACCACACCTGAATATGGAGAAAACAGATTTCAGCATACACACAACACTGTCACGCCCACCACACCTGAATATGGAGAAAACAGATTTCAGCATACACACAACACAGTTTCAGCCTAGATACAACAAGCCCACCCCACCTGAATATATAGACTAATAATATTGCAGCATACATACAACATTTGAGTGAGTGAGTGAGTGAGTGAGTGAGGAAATGAGTGAGGGAATGAGTGAGGGAATGAATGAGTGAGAGAGGGAATGAGTGAGTGAGGAAATGAGAGGGAATGAGTGAGTTAGGAAATGAGTGAGGGAGTGAGTGAGTGAGTGAGTGAGTGGATGAGGTTTAACACCACTTTGATATATTTGGGACGTGTGAGGTTAATTTATGAAGAAAGCCTGAAGTGATGCAGGTCTCAGATGTTTACCACTTTGATGATACCCAGAAGCCTGGGTATGGTGCTGACAAATTACGAAACTGGCATGCCCAAGGGACGCAAGGGACTGAGAATTGCGGTGCCTTAGACGACTGGACAACCCCTGGCCCCCTCATCACATATGAACAGTAAAGTTACATAAAAACATCTGAAAACTAATTGTTCTTGTATGAAGTTAGTACCGATCAAAATTTAAACTAGTAGTTGTGCTGGACAATATCATGAATATGATTTAGAAATTGACCAATCCTCTGTCAGTGTATACAACAAATCAATTATCACGATAGACCAATGTCCTTGAAGAGGTTATCTCCCTTGGACTCTGTTGTCAAGAGTCTGTTGAAGGCATTCAGAAGTCTTGAGAGGATACCCCGACACTGTTTAATATGTACTGGGGTAATCAGAAAGTCACACCTCAAATTTCATTTCCAATTGAACATGTTGAAACTGCTGTAGATCATTAAGAAATTTAACTATTACTTGCAGGGATTTACTGGATGTGAAAAGCCAGCATCCCAAACACATGAAAAAGTCATCTTCTCGAGGCAAGGGCGGTAACTAACTATAAAAGTCCAGTTTCCACCCTTGCCAAAGTAGGATGGAATTTCCAGGCTCAATCGTAGCGCCACCAGTGGCTTTTACGAGTTATGTCCCTTCCATGCCCCTCCTATTGACCAATCAGATTCCACCACTTGCATTTGCTTCAAACGAAATGGCGGCACCCAGTCAAGACGATCTGATCAATAATCAAGATCTATATTGTAATAAAATGGCTTTTACCATGTGCATCAAATGACTTGGGCACCTTCATTAAAAAAATGAAAAGATTTGCAAAATATCTGTTGATGCCAAGTTGGTGGTACCCATGCTTTGCAAAGCCTGCAGTTGATTAAAATCTGCTCGTTGAAATACATGATGTTTACGAACCCTATGTCTAGTTCATTATGCGATTTTGATTGGACTATGCAGAAACCCCCCTGGACCCCCAAAATACACAACATGGGAAAACCCCTTTACTTGTCCACAGAATGCCAAAATTTATATACATGAATATGAAATTCAAATTTGTTTAATGTAAACCATGTCAAGTGTTTTTCCCTCATGATGACAAAACGTTTCACATATTTAAGTGTCGTCCTGTCACTGTAGCGTAATAAGCACGATATCTTGATGTCCTGGAGCCATGCTGGGGTATTTGAATCTAAGAACTCTTTCAATCTTTAACATTCAACATTTGAATAATGACAAGGTACCCGACTTTCAGACCTAACTTTGACCACTTGATATGGACACAGATAAGGGAGATTTCACTGAACGCAAATGTACCACCCTATTTCTGATAAAAATAAACCCCATTCCAACAAACATACATAAATCTTTACTGACCATGCTCATGAAACTGGTAAGTATATTCAACAAAGTTTTGTCATATCCTCATCTCTGCATTTTTATGACACCTCAGTAATGAGGGCTTTATTGCCTGAACATTGGATAATAACCATGGACTAAGTGGTAGCTCTGCTCATTCATCCCAATAATGTTGACACACATCTCCAGTACCACAAAAGAATTGGAAAACACACCAAAGCAGGTGCAAGAGGGATACAGTAACAGATATTTTAACTCAAAATCTTACTCTCCTTGAACCAACATGACCAATTAGCATGACTAGTTCCACAAAAATGATAAATTCTGTTCTTGCTCTGAGGTACTCATTCTGTTTCTTTTTACTGGTTAAACACAGTTTGTATGCTCACAACATGTTTGTCAAAATAAGTGGGTACAGAATCACTGCCAGGTGTTTTCATTAGGGTTGAGACCCGTGAAGATCCAGGGTAGAAGAGGTCTTCAGCAACCTATGCTTGCTGTAAAAGGCGACTATGCTTGCCGTAAAAGGCGACTATGCTTGTCGTAAGAGGTGACTAACAGGATCTGGTGGTCAAACTCGCTGACTTGGTAGATGCATGTCATTGTATCCCATTTGAGTGGATTTGATGCTCATGATGTCAATCACTGAATTGTCTGGTCCAGATTTGATTATTTACAGACCACCGTCATATAGCTGGAATATTGCTGAGTGCGGCGTTAAACAACAAACAAACAATAATTTGGGGTAAAACGATACAGCAAAATCCTGATTTGATACAAACATGTATCACAATACATGGGTCACAATGCAATACGTATCGTGATATTCATATTTACATGTAATCACTTGACAACTCCTCGTCTAGAAATATTTCAGAGCAGGGTCCAAAGATAAAGCTAGCTGTAGATTCATGTTCGTAGCGTCTTTTTTAGTAAAGAACTTGAAAAGTTTTTGCAATATAAACTTACAAAAACACTGGGGTGAGGATGGGGGTCATTAAACTAGTAGTAAGTAATTTATTTTAACAAGTGTAACAGCTTGTATCGATACAGATATAAATGTATCATATATCGTATCATTGCATGAAAACTTACAATGCACCGGTGCACCGTTGTATCGTTTCACCACTAGATTTCACACTAACAACAACAGTGTGTTTACCAATGCCTACCTTTAACGAGTCTAACGGAGAACTGTGTGTTGCCATCATCAACAGTCACATACAAAGGGGTAAATGGCCTCCAACAGTACAGGACAGATAGGCAAGCTGGTGTTGAAAAGAACTAGCCCTCCAAAAGCCTCACCAGCCACAAGTGTATTTTGAACTAATAATACATCCTGCCACTGTCCTCTGTCCATCTAAGGCCTGATATGATTATTAAACAGCATGTCAATAAATCATATTGCACTGTGAATAGAATAACTACGACATACAGGCATGTGTGGTTAGAATATGTGTGCTTTTGTCTGGTCCACTGAGTCACGGATGTTAAATACAAGTAGGATGTAAACCCACAAGTAGGATGTAAACCCACAATCATACATGTTTGGCATGCCCAAAGGATGCAATTCTGCAACAGCGAATTGTGGCACTTAGATGACAGGGCCACCCAGTTCTTTTTAACACTGCACTACGCAATGTCTGTAAACAATCGGGTCTAGACCAGACAATCTAGTGATAAACATCTAGGCATCGATCTATGCAGTGGGGATACAATGACATGCATCAAACAAGTCAGCGAGCCTGACTACCCATTCCCATCAGTCGACAACCATGGGTTACCTTTTACGGCAAGCATGGGTTGCTGAAGACCTATTCTACCCCGGATCTTCACGGATCCCAGCCCACCTCCCCCCCCCCCCCCCCCCCCTTGGCCTATGCAGAACATGGGCACCAGAACATCAAGCAGAGTTATAAGATGAGCCATTTATCAAACTATCTTTACAAACCTGAAGTCCATGTCTTTTCAGTTTTACGACTGGCTATAAAGATTTATAATTGGAATTATCGTCAATGGGAGAAATATTAACAATTATCGATTTAAAACTGTTGACATCGATAATAACTCACATAAACTATTGTGATGAAATAAAGTTTAGATCTACCAAAACAGACTTGTCATTATGAATAATGGCAATTGTCGAAGACGGAAAGCAAGTGTTTTTGTTATATCTCACATGTCCACAACATGCACAAAGTAATCCATGCATAAATGTGTCACTGCTCACCAGTGGCGTGGAATATGTTGATTTCCTTCAGGACTTTCTTGCATATTTGTTTAAAGTTCCTTCTCCGATATATATCGACAATTGATCGATATTTAATTAGCTACTATCCATCTCTATCATCTATATCGATAGCCATCCATGGTAATTTCCCACTGAGACTATATGTAGCATATCTGACAATTACATGATTCAGTACCGACATGATGCTCATATGGAACAGTGAGCATGGTGAGTGTAAAATCTACTTTAAACGGTTGCTGAAAGATTATTTCTACCAGCTGGCACAGCTTGCAGGACCAATAATAAATGTTTGTTGATAAAATGGATTGGATGGGCACACAATCAATACTGTAACTGGCTATTGATTACCACTGTATGTCACTACTGAGCATTGTTGAGACTCTTAAACATAGGGTCAAGGAGCACCTGAATCAGGTCAACTTGCAGTGCTGATCAAAGTCACTGTCTAAGATAATTACACTTTTCTCGTTTGTTTATTCAAGTTTTATGATCTAAATTAGCGATAAGTGAATTTATTATTACAATTAATTACACAAAAAAAAGGTTTCTATGTCACAATGAAAATAAAAGTCAAGCCCTTAATGCCTACAACAGAAAGTAAACTCTGGCTGGTTCAACTAAGGCATAAGGTTAAGGTGTCCTTGTCATAACCCAGATGTATAATGGGAGATAAACATACTGTGTTGTCAATGTGGCACTAACCTGTAGATTTAACTGCATTAAATTGAACTTGGAACACTGATAATACTCCTTGAACTAAGTATGGTGTTTTATATCATGTATATGATTGAAGACCCAGGTTAGAATTCGTAAGACTAGGGGACACTCGGATGATGCATGTCATCGTATCCCAATTTTGGAGAAGGATGCCCAAAAGGACTGGGAACATAGAAACATGTGCGATCCGATACATATCACGATACCTTGCACACAATCCGATACATATCATGATACCTTGCACACAATCTGATATGTATCATGATGACTTGCACACGATCCGATACATATCACGATGCCTTGCACACAATTCGATACATATTACAATACCTTGCACACAATCCGATACATAACACAATACATTGCACACGATCAGATACATATTAGAATAACTTGCACACAATCCAATACATATGATACCTTGCACACAATCCGATACATAACACAATACATTGCACACAATTCAATACATATTAGAATAACTTGCACACAATCCAATACATATCACGATACCTTGCACACAATCCGATACATAACACAATACATTGCACACAATTCAATACATATTAGAATAACTTGCACACGATCCGATATGTATCATGATGCCAAGCACATGATCCGATACATATCACGATACCTTCCACAGTTCGATACGTATCACGATGACTTGCATGCGATCCGATACACATCACGATACCTTGCACACGATCCGATACATACATTTCATCATGCATGTGATCATGGTGATACAGTCCTTGTAAATCAAAATACCACAAAAGCATGATCACAATCATGACAACTGGTGATTGTATTGCAGGTGTATAATTAGTCAACTTACACCACAAAAAACATTATGTGTGACATACATGCTGCAGTGTGCATATGGCATGCGGAGTGATCCATAGTTTAGATCAATGTGCACATCTGTCATATGTATTGGTTGTCTCTGTGATTTGATATGCCCAAATAGACTCTCATAATTGTTTTGCTCAAGATTACTGATGAGAATATGTACAAGAATCAATATAGTGTATTCAGGAATATACTATGTATAGATAAAGGTGATGACATCACTGTGATAGGGGCTATGACTGTCACGACATATTTCGAACACTACAACATTGTATGTACATATATATACATATATACATACTCACGAAAATGTGAATACCATACATTTTGGATTATATATGAAGAATTACTCACATTAAAGAGATATTAGATTGATTCGATGCACAACTAACATACTGGTATATTGTGTGAATCGACACTCATGAACGTATCACATGTGACATAATAGAGCCATGCACCATTTGTCTCGTGCAGGATTTGTGTGTAAATTTAGGAAATCACATGCAGCATATCATGATAAGAACAAAGACCCTCTGTGGTGATACTTGACTGACTGTTATTAAGTGGTACACATTGGAAAACTCTTCTTAACGTGCATACTTCTCTATATGTTTCTATGGTTTGCATTTCTTTTGGTGGGGAGTATATATATAGGCCTACTTTGATATATAGGTTTGTTTGAACGAGGTAAGATAGGCTATTTTAGGGTGGGAGTTGACATCTATTGAGTGTGACAATTGAGGGTCAAGTTCAATTCTGCCCAGTAATCTGTCTCAAACTCACTGGGTGCCATTGTACAAAACAGCTTTAGCACTATAACTGTTGTAAGCCTATGTTAGGTATGGGAGTAACGATCACCTTAGTGCTAATATTGCTATGTACAACAGCACCCTGGTTTGCAGGTCTGATTGTATGACATTAGATTACGGACGAACCATTCTTACTATAAATAATAAATAGAAGTGAGACAACACATGAAATTCATGTCTTTTCTCTTTCTACAACAATCTAACAATACGTTGATGCGTTTTCTTCATTGGGATCAGACGTATATAGCGGTGATTAGTAATCTCTGAGTAATGTCACTAACTGGGTCACTACCGACTGTCAACTGGTGCACTCAATCCAACCACAATAGTTATTGAAAACGCTCCACATTCAAATAAAAATAGAATACACTTGTTACCTCTTGAACTGTTCTTGCGTTAAATTCGTGTACAACTGAATGTCCACCTGTGATCTGCGCCATCCCTGTTTTATTTTGATCAGAGAGTTTTCATTTGTCCTCCATCTGTTTCCCATTCGGTCAGACAACAGTCGCTTGTTTGGCAATCGTTAATTGCGGGCACTTTAAATCGATCGTCTACTGCAATAACGATGCTCTTTGAACTAATAGTACCATCAATATATGTATTATATACAACAAATTGCCCATTAATTACATTAGTCAGTTACTTCGTCACAAAGCACCATTTTCTGCAATATTTCAGTTGTGTACGAAACTGCGGCTAAGTTGGGTGCATTAAAAATAGGTACTCCGAAATAAGAGCGACAAGTGAGTATCAGTAACAGGTTTCTCGTATCCGTTAACAAGCAGCCATATAGTTTTCAACGCTATAATGTACTACACTACAAACTTGTGGAAAATAAGGAATAATAACGATGCAGTGTAACGTTTCTAATACTCTTGTTTTTAACATTTTAATTGATAACGCTGAAATAATATATTTATACAGAAAAAATTCCCGACGAAAGTAAAAAATCATAAAATAAAATATATAACACGACAACGCATATGATTCAACCAATACATATGCTCATCTAAAAAACGTCCCGTGTTCAGCTTGTTACACACTGACAACAAATATATTCACCAAACTATATTGTGTACAAATGTGCGGGAAATTAAGTCGATTGAAATATTATGCGTAATTACTCGTGTGCTGACCACGTTAGATACTGTGTTTTCTTTATATGAATGGTACAATGTTACTGGACCGGTAACTGAAGTTTTAGATGGATCTTTCATTGTCTATAGTCGGGTATTAGCCATCTCTTGCCTCATTTAGGATTCATTCCATTTAATTCTTGTACTGTATAGTATTAATAATTGAAAATAACATATTAAACCTTCATATTAACGAAATATGTAGCGAGTTTACGTACATTTCAATGTGTACTACGTTCATCTTTAATAATTAATGGCAAATGTCATGACTACACTCGTTAAATCCTAGATTTAAAGTATCATTTGTAAACCTAGTTTCCAGTAAATTATATTACAAGCAGTCTTTGTCCAGTCTATATCAATCTGTCAGACAATAATCGAATGCCTGGATATCGCATTGATGTCAGCCAGCTCAGTTTGAGAACTATACAGTTTGCTCTAATTTCATTAGTTTTCCAAGTCTTCTTTCCTATATTACCAAGGGCAGATAATGCTTTCATAATAACAATATCATGTTTGCGCGATTGTGTTACGTTCCTGGACACCGTTCCACGAAGAACACATGTTCCGGTTGGGACAAACCAGTAAGACAACGACAGAGTTACAGAGGAAGAAAGATGTTCTTTAAGGTTTTCTTGTTGTCAGAGAAATACGTTGTTTTCTCTGTCTGAAAGTATATTTTCTCCACTGGGATCAGGTTGAAACGGCACCAAAATGATTGGCGAAAACGGCACCGGATCTGGTGGAAAACGATCGGCATCATATATAATTCATTAGCTACAGAAAGAGATGAATTAATTTCTCATTCACCGTGTATTAAATTTACACAAACACACAGCGTACATACCTAAACCAAAATATAATGTTTAATGTCGTTTTGACCCATTTCTCTCACAAGTACGCACTTAATCTCAACACACATCTTTGTCCTCACACAACACTAAATATAATAATTATACACATTTCCACTAGGCATACATATTCTAACTTCATTCTGTGCATTCGTTACAAGATTTATACAAACATGTTTATATATGTAGAACTTAGATAAACACATCACCTATATATCAGCCTGGAGTTAGTTGAAAACAATCTACTTTAACAGTTATAAACTATATATAAACATGACACGCGTGATATAGGGAAGGTATGCATACATTTCAACCTGTTTGATAAAAGCTTTGGAATATTGATTCACAAATTGTGCATGTTGTTTTAATCGAAACACTTGTTTTAATCATAGTTTGACTTGCATCGAGACATGTACGTGTATTTCTCTTCTTGTAAAGTTTATAGCTATTTAAGATTAATCCGGACCAATTGCAAGTTTCGATTGTAGCTGATATCGATCTCAGCCTGCAATCGGTTTGTACAAGTGGATGGCGATTGTACCCCCAGCCTAAGATCGCGATCGTAAGGATTTACAATAATTGTAGCTCTAAGATTGTTTTGCGCAAGTGGGCCCAGTCGTGATAGTGCTGAATCATTGCTTAAAGCGGCATAAAAAAAACATACTCACTCACACCTCCTCTCCAAGATTTCTTCCCCCTATTGTCCATAAAAACATTACCCATACAGTCCTGCCTTGTGTACAGGATGCGCTGTCTTCCTAGTTTTGGTGAGTAATTATTTCCTTTAAAGAACGTTGCATGTGTTTTGAAGGTCGGATGGCTTCAGCGTGGTTCCCTGGGTATGCTGCGCTGGCGCTTAACAGGGAAGCAGGCTTGGGGCGGCTTCAAGCGCCACGTCAATGCATATATTCGCCTTGAGATTCCGTGTCCTCGCAAATATTATTAATCTTCATATGTATTAATTAATGTAAACTGTCCATAATAATGAACTCGACAAAACATAAGCACCTAAATAAAACAACAATATTTCCAGTCACACTAACTCAAGACAGAATATCTATATTTATATAAGTAATGGCGGTGCGCAGGGAATTGTTTTTTATTATCCTTCACTTTGATGTGTAAACTGATAATGTCTTCAGTCTCCCTGGTTTGACATAGCTGTTTCTGTAGGCAGACCATGTGCGTGGGTGTTGTCTAACACAACGATCAACACTACTGATCCACCGCAGACCTGGTCATGCTATATAATATAACGTAAACACCGGGGCAAGGAATGTATACATTTGAAAATTGGATTTGACCAAACAACTACAAACGTTACCAAAACGTTACTAGGTTGAAAACAGTCGTCGAAACACTGCCAGTTTAAAGTCCAAACCACAACTGTTACCCGTATCAAATACATGACGATGGAATAATCATTTGTTGTTCGTTTGATTTTAAGCCACCATAAAACTTAGGTGTATTTTATGTTTTTAAGTTATTCTACACATATGTGTGTGATTTGTATTTTATGTTTTGCATAACGAAACATTTAATGTAATATTATGTCCTATGGGTGTATGGCCTCTGACGCAATAGATCATTATTAAAAACATGTCGTACACCCAAAGGGGCGGTTGGGTAGCCTAGTGGTTAAAGCATTCGCTCGAAACGCCGAAAACCCACGGGTTCGATTCCCCACATGGGTACAATGTGTGAAGCCCATTTCTGGTGTCCCCCGCCGTGATATTGCTGGAATATTACTAAATCGGCGATAAAGCATACTCACTCACTCACTCGTACCCCAAATGTAACCCCATGCAGTAGGCGATGAATTACGCTATATAAATTATAAACTTAGATTTGGATCTAAACAAGACATAAATGATATAATGTAAATGCATAGCGGCGAATAAAAAGAACATATGGGTGTATCAGTTGATCGAAGCTTATAAGAAAACACTGTTTCAGTTTACAATTACTTATGGTCTCTTTAACTTGAGGGGACACGGGTGGCCCAGTCGTCTAAGGCGCCGCGATTCGCTGTGCAGAGTTGCGTCCCTTGGGCACGCCAGAAACCTATGATTGTGGGTTCGAATCCCGGTTCGCCCCGATTATGTTTCTAGGTTTGTCAGCACCATACCCGTGCTCGTGGGTTTCACCGAAGAGGTAAACGTCTGAGACCTGCATCACTTCGGGCTTTCCTCCCACATTAAGCTGACACGCCGCGATATAACTGTAATATTGTTAAATGCGGCGTTAAACCCAACTCACTCACTCACTCACTTTAACTTGATCCCAGTAGCAGTTGAGATGTAGATTGGAGAGGCTTATTTAATTATAAATTAATTTTATGCATCTAATGAGCCGAATGATTAGAGAGAAAGTTTTTCACGTGATTCAGTTTAATTCTATTCCCCATCTGTTTGTTATGCTATTCTCTTCATAATTTACAGATGTTTTTGTCAATCTTTTTTTACGTTTGCTACGCAAATCAATTATTGAAACATTATGTTTATTATTCATAGGCCATTAAAACACAAAATATAAAAAGTACGTTGGTGTAAAAACATCGTAACAGCTTAAGTGTAGGAAAGCGGTCCATTCAAACAAAAGAGTCTCGACTTCGCAACACGTTTTCTAACCGATGAACACTGTAGATGGAATTTGAACATTCGTCAAAATTCACCTAGCCTATAAAACTTTGGCAGAGTTGTCGCGTTGACTGCTACAAGATGGATGAGATTGAGGATGTACATGTCTCCCCTTGTACAGAATCTCTTTACATAAAACCAATGAAGATCAACTATAAACAGGTGGACAATCTGTTGAACTGAAAAGTTTTTAACCTTACCTTGGCAAAGTGTTGGTAAAGCACCAACATGGTGCTTCACGTATTTTTTTGCCTAGTTCTCTATAATATACACAATCATATGTATCATATATCGTGATCCCCGGTAGTCACTACAAGCTGTTTGGGGTATTTTAGTAACTGAAAATTTATTATCATGTCAAGTATAACCTTATTTCACAAACCTACTAAAAAAAAGACTATTGTCGAAGTTCATTGCAAATTAGTCCACACTTTTTAAAATATAATTTGATTAAGCCTTAAAATGTCTTCCTTGTACACTTCAGAACCATGAGATTCATTCTCGGGACATTATTAAAGAACACGATGAGTAAGTTGTAAAGATGTGAAAAATGAAACTTTTGATTAAAACTAGGTGCAAATTACTTGCAATATGCCTTCCATTATTGTCCCATTATTGCAAACGGAAAGATGAAACTCAGGACAGATTTTAATCTCTGGACTATGTGACTTGGCTTTCAGGATGGTAGATCAAAGTATTGAGTTATCAAATGAGTTTGGTGAGATAATGATGGGAGAACAGGATAGGAAAGACTACCTGTAATGGTTTCATATAGTCTCATGTGTTGTATTTGTAGAATGGAATACAAAAAGCGTGGGACGCCATGAAGGTTCATGATAGGTATGTGTTCACTTGTCACTGTCAGTCCCTTTATGGCCCCTGTGGGATTTTTGGGGCAGAAGGGGGCACGGTTGGCCCAGTTGTCTAAGGCGTCGCAATGGGCTGTTTAGAGTTGCGTCCTTTGGGCATGCTAGAAACCTAGGATTGTGGGTTGGAATCCCGGTTCAACACGATTATGTTTCTAGGTTTGTCAGCACCATACCCCTGCTCTTGGGTTTCACCAAAGTGGTAAATATCTGTGACCTGCATCGCTTCGGGCTTTCCTCCCACATTAAGCTGACAGTCCATGATATAATTGGAATATTGTTCAAAGTGGTGATCAAAACCTAACTCACTCACTCTCTCCAGGGCAGAATAGAGCCTCAGTTGGTAGTAGTATCCCTTTTGTTGTAAGAGCTGACTATTTGGGGACCAGGGCCCCGTTCCACAAAGAGATCTTAGCGCTAAGTGGATCGTAACTCCCATACTTTAACATATAGACTTACGGCAGTCTAGCGCTAAGATCGCTTTGTGGAACGGGGACCCAGATGGTTCCAGTGTGTGACTTGCTGTCATTGTACCCATATTCCTTTCTGTATCGGCTGGCCACGTCTTTGCCTGTCCTGAAACTTGATTATTTACAGGATGTCTTGATGTGGCTGAAATTTTGCTGACAGTATCGTACATCCTCAGACATAGTATGGATAAGATCTTCTCATTTATACACTACACATACACGTTTCCTCACCTGCAACTATTTCTTGGCCAATGTGTTCATCAACAACTACCATGCATACATATGCTTAAGGTGTGAAGGATATTTTGACTTGATTAATGTATATTTTGCACATTTTTGCTCTGATTTGAAATGGGTTTGATAGCCTACTGTCAGTATACCAGCACAGGTAGGAGTGCGCAATGTGCAACCCCCTTTTTCCAGACACCTTACATGTTCACTGCACACTTGGTCAAGTCACGTTGTGATTTGGGTATTACCGTATTCGACGTAATAAGCGCCCAGGGCGCTCTCAAAATTAGAAACGGGGCGCTTATTAGAATATTATTTTGATGGAAAAAACAGAGTTGAAAGATGAATTTCGACATATATAAATACGACAGATATATTTTTCCAGAATTTTATTGACCATAATTAAGGGTGCATATAACACACGCATGCGTATTATACACAAATATAAAAGTCTTGTGTACATTGATCAATCGGAAGGGGTGCTAATTGGGATTGTTCACTTATATATATTATAATATATATTATCAAATATCACCGTGGGCGCTTATTAGAGCGGGGCGCTTATTACGTCAAATACGGTATGTGCACTCCCCTTTTTCAGCCTCTGACGACTATATACAACTTACCAGTATGATGGTCCAATTTATCAATGACCATTTACTGAAACATGACCGGCTTACCTGTCGTGCCAGAATGAATTCATTGCCAATTTTGAGATGCTCCTGTATGTGTCCCAAGTAACATTTGTATTTGACTTAACCATCTCTGACAGTCAGTATTTAGGCCAATTGTTCATTTTCAAAACTCCAAACTCTCTTTCTGTAATGCAAGAAAACATACAACACCCTACCTGCTCATCAAGATTCATATAACTAGGAGTGCAAGGTGACCCAGTTGTCTGAACTACCACAATTTTGCAGAGCAGAGTTGTGTCCCTTATGCCTTATTCATACCAGAAATCTTTTAAGGTGGGTTTGAATCCAAGATTCACCCTGATCATGTTTATAGGTTTGTCTGCACCATACCCATGCTCATTGGTTTCAATTAAGTGGTCAAATTCTTGTGACCTGCATCACATCAGGTATTGCTTTCACATCAAGCTGATATGCCATGATATAACTGAAATACTGTTCAAATTGGCGTAAGACCAAAATTACTAATATGAATGGGTCGCACTGCACGGAGCAATATTTTTATTGATAGAATGATGTGTTGTGTTGTGTTGGTGAATAATGAATGAATGAGTGATTATTACCGCATCCTTCAGCTATTTGTGGCCAGGGAATCGATATTTGTATCCGGTAATTGGAAGCATTGTATAATCAAATGAAATAATATTGTGAACCATTTATTACTATTCTGATAAGGCAACTCATAATACATTTTAGCAAGTTGTATACTGTGTAAATATTTATGTGGTGAAGAGAGACCCCTATGTCCGTCAAAATGGGGCTGGGGGGCTGCAATGATTAGCATGAAATCATTTCTTTCTGAAAATCAGAAATTGTGGAAAGAAATTTGGCTTAAGGATTATCCATAATGTTCTCTGATTTACCAAGAAGAGTTCATGATGCTTCAAGCAAAGGTTCTGTGATGCATGCATGTTTTTGTTTCAGTGTGGTGATTCTGGTTTACAACAAAACAAGAAAGGTCTTTGTTTTAGTGAAGCAGTTTCGTCCAGGTAAGTGAATGTTGTTTCATGCACAGTCAGCAATATTCCAGTTAATGAATAATATCACAGCAGTCTGAGTATGATCAGGGGTAGGGGTGGCTCAGTCAGCAATATTCCAGTTAATGAATAATATCACAGCAGTCTGAGTATGATCAGGGGTAGGGGTGGCTCAGTCAGCAATATTCCAGTTAATGAATAATATCACAGCAGTCTGAGTATGATCAGGGGTAGGGGTGGCTCAGTCAGCAATATTCCAGTTAATGAATAATATCACAGCAGTCTGAGTATGATCAGGGGTAGGGGTGGCCCAGTCAGCAATATTCCAGTTAATGAATAATATCACAGCAGTCTGAGTATGATCAGGGGTAGGGGTGGCCCAGTCAGCAATATTCCAGTTAATGAATAATATCACAGCAGTCTGAGTATGATCAGGGGTAGGGGTGGCTCAGTCAGCAATATTCCAGTTAATGAATAATATCACAGCAGTCTGAGTATGATCAGGGGTAGGGGTGGCTCAGTCAGCAATATTCCAGTTAATGAATAATATCACAGCAGTCTGAGTATGATCAGGGGTAGGGGTGGCTCAGTCAGCAATATTCCAGTTAATGAATAATATCACAGCAGTCTGAGTATGATCAGGGGTAGGGGTGGCCCAGTCAGCAATATTCCAGTTAATGAATAATATCACAGCAGTCTGAGTATGATCAGGGGTAGGGGTGGCTCAGTCACCTTAGGCGCAGCCATTTGCTTTGCAGAGTTACGTCCCTTGGTCATGCCAGAAATCTATGATTGTGGATTCGAATCCCGGTTCAACACGATTATGTTTCTAGGTTTGCGGGCACAATACCCGTTCTTGTGGGTTTCACCAAAGTGGTAAATAACTGTGAACTGCATCACATCGGGCTTTCCTCCCACATTAAGCAGACACTCCGTGATATATCTGGAATGCTGTTCAAAACGTTGTTAAAACCTAACTCACTCACTCCGGTGCAGAATAGAGTCTGAGTTGGTAGCAGTATCCCTTTTGCTGTTGGAGATGACTATTTGGGGACCAGATGGTTACAATGTCCTGGTTAGCCCCGATTATGTTTCTAGGTTTGTCACCACCATACACATGGGTTTTGCTAAAGTGGTAAACGTCTGAGACCTGCACCACTTTGGGCTTTGCTCCCACATTAAGCTGACATTGATCCCAACTCACCAGTGACCACTCACTGATCAAATCAAGTCTTGGTTTCAAATAGACAGCAAACATTTGTAAGACAAGAATTGCAATAATGCAGTTAAAGTTAAAGTACAATTTCATTTCATTTATAGTTATTGGTGATGTTCATTTCATTTTAATGAAAATGTATAATTCATTGCCACCTGTGAATGGTGGTTATATTCAGAAGCTTATCATTTTCAGCCATATACCTCACCTGTGCTGAGATGGAGGAAAAAGATGGTCAAACAGTCATTGACACTTCCAAATATCCAGGATCTCTTGGTGTCACTTATGAACTTTGTGCCGGCATAATTGACAAGAACCACAGCACACAAGAGATAGCCCAGATGGAACTCCTTGAGGAATGTGGCTACAAGGTGGCCCTTGACAGCATAGAGAAGGTGGCTTCCTACAGGTGAGTGAAAGTGTGAATGTGGCTACAAGGTGGCCCTTGACAGCATAGAGAAGGTGGCTTCCTACAGGTGAGTGAAAGTGTGAATGTGGCTACAAGGTGGCCCTTGACAGCATAGAGAAGGTGGCTACCTACAGGTGAGTGAATGTGGCTACAAGGTGGCCCTTGACAGCATAGAGAAGGTGGCTTCCTACAGGTGAGTGAAAGTGTGAATGTGGCTACAAGGTGGCCCTTGACAGCATAGAGAAGGTGGCTTCCTACAGGTGAGTGAAAGTTTGAATGTGGCTACAAGGTGGCCCTTGACAGCATAGAGAAGGAGGCTTCCTACAGGTGAGTGAAAGTGTGAATGTGGCTACAAGGTGGCCCTTGACAGCATAGAGAAGGTGGCTTCCTACAGGTGAGTGAAAGTGTGAATGTGGCTACAAGGTGGCCCTTGACAGCATAGAGAAGGTGGCTTCCTACAGGTGAGTGAAAGTGTGAATGTGGCTACAAGGTGGCCCTTGACAGCATAGAGAAGGTGGCTTCCTACAGGTGAGTGAAAGCGTGAATGTGGCTACAAGGTGGCCCTTGACAGCATAGAGAAGGTGGCTTCCTACAGGTGAGTGAAAGTGTGAATGTGGCTACAAGGTGGCCCTTGACAGCATAGAGAAGGTGGCTTCCTACAGGTGAGTGAAAGTGTGAATGTGGCTACAAGGTGGCCCTTGACAGCATAGAGAAGGTGGCTACCTACAGGTGAGTGAATGTGGCTACAAGGTGGCCCTTGACAGCATAGAGAAGGTGGCTTCCTACAGGTGAGTGAAAGTTTGAATGTGGCTACAAGGTGGCCCTTGACAGCATAGAGAAGGAGGCTTCCTACAGGTGAGTGAAAGTGTGAATGTGGCTACAAGGTGGCCCTTGACAGCATAGAGAAGGAGGCTTCCTACAGGTGAGTGAAAGTGTGAATGTGGCTACAAGGTTGCCCTTGACAGCATAGAGAAGGAGGCTTCCTACAGGTGAGTGAAAGTGTGAATGTGGCTACAAGGTGGCCCTTGACAGCATAGAGAAGGTGGCTTCCTACAGGTGAGTGAATGTGGCTACAAGGTGGCCCTTGACAGCATAGAGAAGGTGGCTTCCTACAGGTGCGTGAAAGTGTGAATGTGGCTACAAGGTGGCCCTTGACAGCATAGAGAAGGTGGCTTCCAACAGGTGAGTGAAAGTGTGAATGTGGCTACAAGGTGGCCCTTGACAGCATAGAGAAGGTGGCTTCCTACAGGTGAGTGAAAGTGTGAATGTGGCTACAAGGTGGCCCTTGACAGCATAGAGAAGGTGGCTTCCTACAGGTGAGTGAAAGCGTGAATGTGGCCCTTGACAGCATAGAGAAGGTGGCTTCCTACAGGTGAGTGAAAGGGTGAATGTGGCTACCAGGTGGCCCTTGACAGCATAGAGAAGGTGGCTTCCTACAGGTGAGTGAAAGTTTGAATGTGGCTACAAGGTGGCCCTTGACAGCATAGAGAAGGTGGCTTCCTACAGGTGAGTGAAAGTGTGAATGTGGCTACAAGGTGGCCCTTGACAGCATAGAGAAGGAGGCTTCCTACAGGTGAGTGAAAGTGTGAATGTGGCTACAAGGTGGCCCTTGACAGCATAGAGAAGGAGGCTTCCTACAGGTGCGTGAAAGCGTGAATGTGGCTACAAGGTGGCCCTTGACAGCATAGAGAAGGTGGCTTCCTACAGGTGCGTGAAAGTGTGAATGTGGCTACAAGGTTACCTCTCATTCTGCCTACATCTCATTCTGCCTACCGTTTGTAGGTCGCGTCATACCAAAAGACGTTGAAAGATTGGACTTGTCGGCTCAGAGTCAGTATACTGTGTCTGAGTGGGATATTCATGTTGAACTGCGACATGGTATCTCAGTCAGCTAGCACTATAAATCGACATCAGTCCAGATCAGTACAAGCTGCCACACAAACACACACACGTAGATGCACATCGCTATATAAGTGCAATAATCTTGGTCACGACGTTAAACCCCATTTCCCCTCACCTCACCTCACTAATGATGTGATACGATGTATGATAATGATATGAATACAATGCAAATGGTGAGATTAAATAAATATTAATTACAAAATTATCAAAAGTTTCTGCAAAAAGTATATCCCTCCCATTATCTTGAATCTTTAACATGTCACTTGAATACTGTAAATCTTGAAATTAAGGCGATCGTGAATTAAATGCAAATGCGAGGGGTCTTTGCTCGCATTATTAAACATCGCATTTATCAACAATAAGACATTTTGGTTAGCAGAAATACCAACTTAGACATACGCTGAAAACAAACAACTGTGTATTCCATATCACTGTTTATTGAGCAGCACTTGTAACAAGTCTATGAACAATGTCATTCAAACACTAATTACATCCTGTGAATTGTCACTGCTGGGGTTAAGACAAGAGTTCTACTCACTTATGTCATCACTGATCACACCTGCAAGTCCAGACAGACACCACTCACGCAACACGGTGTCTTTGTTTTTTGCGACTGTCAAAGGCCGACACGAGCCAGCCCACATGTATTGTTTTAGAGGAAGTACCCTAGAGGACCCTAGCTTGACTATTTACAGACTACAGTGATAATTCTGAAATGACTAGACGAAAAACGTAAATCAGCCTTCAATAAAGCAAAACGCGACTACAAACATCTAGACATAGCCCACAAACTAAACCACCAGGTTCAAAAACTAGTCCAAATAGCCAAAAGTAGAGACTGGAAAAAATTCTGCGAAGGTATAAATAACCGTACAGATGCCAGAACGGTCTGGCGCATTAGAGGCCATTAGAGGCTTAAAACGACATAATAAAAACCCGAACATTAACAACTCAACCTACCCCGCCCTAAAAGCAAATAATCTCGCCAACCACTTTTTGGCCGTTAGCAGTAACACCAATTTCAGCCAAAAATTCCAAGATAAACTTAAAACAGAAAAACAAACCCACAAAAGAACCAAACAATAACAATCTAGAAATAAACCAACCCTACACAATAGAGGAGCTCCTCTACGTAATCTAAAACAGGAAAAAGGGCACAGCCCCAGAATTAGACCTAACTTCTTACCAAATAATTTAAAAAACTCCCCCCAAAACTACTCTGGGCACTACTCAAACTACACAATCTCATCTACCTAAACGGACAGGTTCCTACTCCCTGGAAACAGGCCCTAGTCATACCAATCCCTAAACCTAATAAACCAGCTAATCAAGCTAACTCATATAGACCAATATCCCTAACTTCAAACTTATGCAAAGTAATGGAATCAATGGCTAAAAATAGATTACAACATTACCTAACCCAAAATAACATCATAAACCAAGATCAAAGCGGGTTCACTCCTGGCGGCTCAACCCTAGATAACCTCGCCTGACAAGAGCAAGATATTAAGACAGGACAACTAAATAAACAATAAACCACAGGCATCTTCTTAGATTTCTCTAAAGCTTTCGACATGGTATGGCACGACGGGCTAATACAAAAACTTAAAAAAATAGGACTCAAAGGTCAGATAATAAACTACATCCAGGACTTCCTAAACAATCGTAAAATAACCGTGGGTATAGACCAAACACTATCGGACCAATGTCCCCTAGAAAATGGCACTCCCCAGGGCAGTATCCTCAGCCCCACCCTCTTCAGTATAATGATAAACGATCTATTCGAGGGCCTATCCCCTAAACTAAGCACATCAAAATTCGCGGATGATGGAGCCCTCTGGATCCTCACTAAAAGCATTAAAATGGCCCAAAATTTACTCCAAAAATCTCTAAATAAAATACAACAATGGGCTGACAAAGGGGGCTTCTCCCTTAACTCAGAAAAAACAACAGGAATAGTATTAAAACATAAAAACATGAAACCCGCCTCCCCAATCCTCCAGCTAAACAACCAAACAATCAAATTTCATCTCTCCTGGGATGCTCACATCCAAAACCCAACAACTAAATGCAGTAAAGACCTAAACACGCTAAGATGCCTAACTGGCTCTAACTGGGTAGCCTCCAAAGATACCCTCCTCTCTCTCTACATATCACTAATTAGATCCGCCATAAACAACACCCTAAACAACTCTCTATCTAAAAAACTTGACTCAATACAATATCAGGCTCTCAAACTAATTACACGCACCCAACATGGCACCTCCTACACTTCACTTCAGGCCTTAACAGGAGAAATGCCACTAAGTCTACGCAGGGAACAGCTAAGCTTAAATTTCTGGGCCGCGTCCCAATCAAACCCTCTCATCCAAAACTTAATAAACCAAAACATCAGCCCCAAAAACCAAGCTCTAGCTCGTAAACACCCCTTACATACCCCAATATCCAAAAGAATAACAAACTACCTAAATGAACACCAAATTATTAATCTTAAACAAAACTGCAAACAATCAAATATCTTCACCCCTAAACTTAAAATACCCAAAATAGACACAACACTAGCTAGCCAAATAAATAAACAAACCGACCCAAACATAGCTAAAACCACCACACTAGCATACAAACACGAAAATTGGCCAAATTGGTGTCACATTTACACGGACGGATCTTCAGATCCGACCTCCAAACACACAGGTTTCGGAGTCCATACCACACAACCAACTAAAACCACACAATCCTTCCGACTCCCAAACAACCAATCAATATTCACGGCAGAACTAATGGGCATGGCCTCAGCCCTCCATAATCAAGAATCCAAAAACCACCAAAAAAAATCCTTATACTTACCGACTCCCTAAGTGGACTGCAAGCCCTCCAAAACAAAAATACCAAAAAACGACCTAAATTAATAAATCAAATACTTAAAAGCTCCAACGACCTAACTAAGGCAGGCAAACAAATAACATTCTTATGGATCCCCGCCCACATAGGAATATATGGTAATGAAAACGCCGATAAAGCAGCTAAACTTTCCCTCAAAATCCCAGAAATAAGCTTAAACTTACCCATCTCAAAATCAGAAATTAAAAGTGTAAACAAGCAAAGAATCACCAAAAAATGGCATAACCTATATCTAAACTCAAATAGCCAAATCAAAAAAGTACTCAGGAAACCAATAACCACCCCAAAAAATTCTCCATCCATCAAAAACAATCGACAGAGTAATCACTAAACTCCAAACAGGACACACCAACCTAAATAACCACCTAAAATTTAAAAAACAAACACACAACAGGTAACTGCCCACACTGCAAACAACTAGAAACCCCAGAACATGCACATCCACTGCACACACTACCTAACACATCGAACCGCATTACAAACCACCCTCAATCTAAACAAGGCTCTCACTCTAGAAGCAATACTAAACCCACAATATAAACTAGAAAACTCCAAGGCCTTAGGCGTATTCTTAATCAAAACGGAACTATTAAAACGCATCTAAAAACACTATAATCTACCAAATCAAAATCACATAAACAAAAAAACATCCACCATACCCAGCTCCCTTAGTTCTCCTCTCCAACCCCATCGGCATCTATTCCAAATCTCAAAATTCCCAAATTCTATATAAGCAACCCCTAAAGCCCCCTCTTGGGTTGCACACACCACTTTCGCCCCTTTCGGAAACACATTTAATGGCCTGGCCGGGTGTGCAAAATACGCATCAGTCGGAAAGCGCACGTTAAATCTCCAAAGTAAGTAAGTAAGTGATTCTGAAATAGACCTCTCACTCAATCACTCACTCGTTTGTGTGTCCATCGCTCTAGCTTTAGTTTGGAAATCCTGTTGGCTATTTGTTTACACGAAGTATGGTTGCCTGGACTACAAATATTTATGTATGGAATTACTTTGCAAGTAGACTAATAATTCGAGACATGTTATTTTCTGTTTGTCCATGTCTGTAATTGTTCTGTTCAGGAATGGAGTTGGGACAACAGGATCAATGCAGACGATGTACTTTGTGGAGGTAACAGACGCAATGAAGGTTGGGGAAGGAGGGGGCGTGGCACAGGAGGGGGAGATGATTGAAGTTGTAGACATCCCCGTTAAGGAAGGAAGAGATTTCCTAAAAAATGAGAAGTATAATATTCCATTACCAGTGTTATTTGGCATCAATTGGTATTATGAGAATAAAGCAAGTCAAGACTGATGGATGTTATTTGAATCCATGTTCATTAATTTTAATACATCTGAGCCAAGAATCATATCAGTTTATGTCATTGTGAATTATCTGTGGTAAACTGTTTGGTGTAATGAATGATTGTGTGATTGAGGTTGAAACATTTGTCATCCATAGAAATTGTATTTTGTTGTTGTTTAATGCCATATTCCAGTTATGTGACAGCAGTCTGTAAATAATCGAGTCTGGACCAAATTATCCAGTGATTAACACCATGAACATCGACCCACGCATTAGGGATACGATGACATACTGTGAACCAAGTCACCCGGGTCTGACTACCTGATCCATTGGTTGCTGGGGTCATATATTCGTACCTGGGATCAAAAGCAGTTGAAAGGGTATGCTTACTAAGTTCTGAAGTGAAGATCAACTTCTTGGATACTTTATGAATATTTTAATGTATGATTATCAGTATTCCAGTATATTGGTAGTACAACATCGTCTTGACACCCATTTAGACATAGCTGAAAATGCTTTTTTTTAAGGTTATGACATGTTTGATGTCATTATGTATCCTATACCCAAAACATTACAGAGCTACAGAGTTTATTGCTCCATATTTGTACGTATTTTGATACACTAGAACTGAATAAAGACAATCATAATGTTCCGAGAGTTGTTCATCTGTCAAGTTCCCCAGAACTCCAAATGATGTTAAAAGATGGTACTTCTTGTTAACCTGGCACTCGCGATAAAACATGGACTGTATGGCTTGAAGGGTCAGCATACTGTGCCTGAGTGGGATATCCATGTTAAGTCCTGACTGGTACAAACACACCCACCCGCCCACATTTGTATGCACGACCTATTAGTACAATAACTTTGCTTCATTTCACCTCACCTGGATTCCCTAACAGTGTGTGAATCCTTTTCTTCAATGCCAAGGGTGTGTTGCGAAATGCCAATCCCTTGCAAGCGATTCCCTAACAACTGGGCAACTTTAAGCAGCTTGAAATCGCACCAACTGCTGGCTGAGGTCGCTTCGTTCTCAAACCAAAATGGCGACTGAGTTTGACAGCGCACAAGAAATTCTTGACTGGCTCAACTGGGAAATGAGCAGAGGCAGCTAACATCCCAGCATCCTCAGTCTGCTCCACATCTTCAAAGTAGTCATAAATTCTTCGGCACGTCATTGAGGCTCTTCTATTAAGTTATTAATTAAGGCAAGGTAGTTGCGTATTTTGGAAGAGTGCCCAAGCACTTTGAGCTGTTGCTGACCCTGGAATGAGTGATTTATTTGGTTACCCTAAGCGATGCTGGCTTGCAACACAACCTATTTTTGGTGTCGCACCACTGGGATCAGCTTATAACACTGATACACGCTGTGATATAACTGGAATACTGTTAAAAGCGGCGTTAAACCGAACTCACTCACTATAACACTGATGTGCAGAGTTTGCGTTATGGATTATTATACTGGACCTGTCCGCACTGAAATACTGTTCAAAGTGGCCTTAAACTAGTTTGTCCACAAGGCTCATCTCATTCCCACTGATCATTTTGGCCAGCATTAGGACATCTTCCGGAGGCAAGAGAGTTAACTTACTATAAAAGTCCAGTTACCACCCTTGCCAAACTAGGCTGGAATTTCTGGGCTCAATCGTAATGCCACGAGTTATGTCCCATCTATGTACCTCTTATTGACCAATACGAATCCACCTCTCTTTCACTTGCATTTGCTTCAAACAGTATGGCGGCAGCAGTCACGATCGGATCAATAATCAAGATCTAAAAAAGGATCTAAAAAAACCCGGGTCTTACTTCGCGAAGTGCACCTTGATTCATCTTCCCAAGGCAAGGGAGTTAACTGACCATAAAAGTCCAGTTCCTCCCTTGCCGAAATAGGCTTGAATTTCCAGGCTCGATCGTAGCGCAACCAGTGGCTATTACGAGTTATGTCCCTTCTATGCCCCTCCTACTGACTAATCAGATTCCACCTATCATGTCACTTGCATTTGCTTCAAATAAAATGGCGTCGCCCAGTCTGGACGATCTTATCGATAATCAAGATCTATTTTTTAATAAAACGGGTCTTACATTTGCTTTAAACAAAATGACGGCGCCCAGTCTAGACGATATGATCGATGATCAAGATCTATATTGTAATGGAACGGGTCTTACCTCCCGAAATGCATCAAATCACACGAGAACCTTGATTGAAAACGTGAAAAGATTTGGAAACTATCACATCCTCTGCAAATCCTGCAGTCGACTGCACGTTGTTATCGATATTATTTACGAACCGGATTTCGATTTCGTTACGCGATTTTTATTGGACTATGCATAGACTCATCAGTCCAGCCAAACAATAACTCCATAATACCAGCCTAGTTCGGCAAGGGTGGAAACTGGACTTTTATAGTCATTTAACTCCCTTGCCTCGGGAAGATGACCTTGATTAGAAACATGAAAGAATTTGGAAAATATCTGTTGACGCAGAGTTGACGGTACACATGCTTTTCAAATCCTGCAATCGACCGAAATCTGCACGGCAGTAAACGAACCGATATCAATTTCGTTACGCGATTTTGATTGGACAATATATAGACTCGTTAGTCCAGCCAAAATATAACTCGATAATGCCAGCCTCATAACCATTATATGTAATTACTACATTAAATATTTGATCAAAGAACTTGGTGTAAGTGGCATATCAAATAATGTCACATATGAGGCCAGTATGTCAACTGAGCAAGAAATCAGCCATTGTGTCAGTGCTATACTACTCACAGTTTGCTGAGGAATACGTTTTGATTATATACTGAACCGCAAACTTCATCCTCATGGATGATAACGCTCGACCTACCCCATCGTACCAGGGTCGTTCATGCCTACTTAGAGCAGGAGACCAATGACCGCATGGAGTGGCCAGCCCGGTCACCAGACCTCAACCCAATCGAACATTGTGGAACGAGTTGCAGATCCCCCTCTCATGAGGCAATGTCCTTCCGGCGACTCTACAGGAACTCGGCAAAACCTTCACTGAAGAGTGGAACCAACTAAGGCAATGACTGGCGCAAACTCGGAAAGGTCGCATGCGCTGTGAAAGACAAAGACTGTGGTGTTATTACAACACAGTGAAACACCTGAAACATGTCTGAAACATCGCCCGTGGCTGGTTGTAAGAGTCAGTATAATGTTTATTCCTCATTAAAGTAATGCTTGTTGTTAAGTCACACACACCGCCATAGCTACACGAATATGAAGCGTTGACGAGGTTTTGTTTGTTTCGTAAACGCAAAACATTTACCTTGCATCGCTTCAATTATGTGTTCGTGTGCGCGTGTGTGTTTGCAGTATTTAGCCACAAATTGAATTGCATTTAATACCTTATCGACATACCAAAAGCCATAGAATTACTTTCCTATTAGACTCCCAGTAGAAAGATATGTGAAACAAGATATCCATAGACTTTTTGATATTTTTATATGAAATGTATAAATTTAAAGAGTTGTCTACTGTGTGCATGAAAACAGCCGGAACCTAGCCCTGGAGTACTACATATTTGTTCTCCGTTGAAAGTGTCGTTCATTGTCTGCTGGGAACTGAAAAATACACACGGAATTTTGTGTGTCTACACAACATTCATCTTCCCGAGCCAAGGGTGTTAACTGACTGTAAAAGTCCAGTTTCCACCCTGGAAGAACTAAGCTGGTATTTCTGGGCTCGATCGTAGCGCCACGAGTGTCCCTCATATTGACCAATCAGATTCCACCTCCCATATCACTTGCATTTGCTTCAAATAAAATGGCGTCGCCCAGTGTAGACGATCTTATCGATAATCAAGATCTATTTTTTAATAAAACGGGTCTTACTTCGTGAAGTGTTTCAGATCACGTGAGCACCTTGATTAAAAACATGTAGAGATTTGGAAAACATCTGTTGACGCTAAGTTGTAGGTACACATGCTTTGCAAATCCTGCAATCGTCAGAAATCTGCACGGCAGTTTACGAACCGGATGTTGATTTCGTTACGCGAATTTGATTGGACTATGCATAGACTCGTTAGTCAAGCCAAAATATAATTGCAGCCAAGTTCGGCAAGGGTCGAAACTTGACTTTCCTAGTCAGTTAACACCTTACCTCGGGAAGATGCACAACATTAGAATTACAAGGCAGACAATAAAATGAAATAATTATATTCTACAAATCACAAAGTTATAAAACTCAAAACTTAAAACTCCAGTGTCTGCCTCAATAATAATATTTCAGGGAAGATTTGCGTTTTTCCAGAAAATAACTATTATTTTGAGAAATAAAAACTACCCACATTTACTTTTTTTGCGGGTGATTTTTTTACTTGGTGATTTGTGTATTTCAAGTTCTACAATGTAGCTGAGGTGATTAATATTTTTTTTCTAAACTGTAACTTGAGTAGGGTTGTTAACTATCTCTACCTAGATCACTGACGCACCAACCCAATCAGCTGGTTTCAGTTTCTTTGACACTGGTGTCATTTTCGTGTGCATTGAACACATCTTTATAATGTCAGTACTGTTTAACGGCATGCCTGCGACGGAGAGCTGTACTAAAGGGTAGAAACGTGATATACCTTTTTGCAATCACAACATGGTAAGCCAAAAAAACTACCTAGAGTATCATTTTAAGGTGTGTAAAATTGATTTTTAGAACAATGCTTTCATTTAATTTATAAAACTGAAATTGTTTGACAGGATCACATTATATGGATAAATTCAGCTATTTGTAGCTCAAAAGTATATATATCGTTATATTCAGCTTTTTGGTCTTTTATTCAAGATTGTGAATAAGTCTTTACTGGAATTGGTAGATTTTTACATCTGTTGTACGGGTCTTTGCTGAATAAATATTTCTTAACAAAGAAGGTTATAAATGTATGTGCTGTGTGTCGCCCCGTTTTACACACTTTCATTAGGATTTGATAAGAAAAAAATCATTTGGAGTCATTTTTGTATTTTGAGTGCATACATATTACTGCAAAAAATGTACATTGAGTCCAGCAATTATTACTTATTGGATTTCGAATTTTCTAAATTATCCTGGGCGCTATAGGTGGAATATAAATACAACGGTCATATAGAATTTGTTTTGGTTCGTCGGAAATTGTTCTGTATATGTTACCATATTATGTACCGTGTTAGGGAAACTGTCCATGTATAACCCTTTTTGGAACATGAAAAAAGAAAATACTTTCAGATTTGTTTCCGCACTGTTCATTTTTAGGGTAGGCAGAATCCGCATTCCATTTGAAAAAGATGTCTTGCCAAGGCCAACATAATGTTTGGTATCTATAGTATCCTTCTATTCCCCGGGACTTGATCTACAAAGCGATGGAGGAGATAGTAACTCCCATACACTGAGGCTGCAAACCCCCTTTTGGTACGCGGGATTCAGGGTTTGTTTTTTCACCCTCACCCTCATCCTTTTCATTCATTTTTGTTTTGTACTTTGGATGAGAGATTGTTAATGGAAGTTTGTGCATTATTTAAATCTATTATGCACAAGAGATCTGGGATTCTCAGTTAGCGACACATGTAGGTTTGTATAACTGTTGACGCCCTGCGGTCTATGAAGTGTATATGACCATACGAGAGCCTCAAAAGTAATTTCAGGGAATATGTCTAAAAAA